CAGTCGACGTCGCGGACGGGGGCTTCGTCGTTGGTGGGGCCCCAGGCGGCGGAGGTGAGCTCGCCGCGGGCGCCTTCGAGTTTCTTGTCGAAGCAGGGCATGATGCCAACGACGTAGACGCCCGAGGGGCCAGACTCGGGCTGGAGGAGTGTTTTTACGGCGGTTCCGAGGATGGCTTGTGGTGATTTTAGGGTCGAGAGGTGGGGGATGAGTGCGGGCTGGGTTGACTCCAGATAGCACACGAACCCGGGACAAGCAGATGTGAGTATCGGCTTCTTCTTCGAGATTCCTTCACCGGCGGGCTGCGATAATGATGCTAGGAGTTCCTCGGCGGCGTAGTGGAGCGCAATCTCTTCAGCGATATTGGTGTCTAGTACTAGGTCGAAGCCCCGTATTTTTGATTGACCGTTCTCCTCGCTCTCCAGTGTAGCTGTGCGGATACCTTCGCTGCCGCAGAGGAGCTGCTCAATCATCCATCCCACCTGCTTTTCCGTGACGCCGTAGGTCACCGCCAAACTCGCTCGTGTCTGTGGGCTCACTAAAGCAATGAACTTCTTGTCTTTGGACGAGGGCGCTGCGAGGTTCGCGAGCACTTCATTGTGCGATTGGAGGGATACGAGGACAGCTTCGGCGGAGGTGACGCATCCAGAGCAGGCGAGGCAGTCAGTCAGCGAGATTTGTGCGGGGGTGAGAGTCTGGGGCGCTTTGTCTTCCAAAATAACTTCGTAGGGGTTCTGTTAGTGTATGTTAGCTTTGGTGGAGTGCGATCAGAAGCTCGGGGGAGAAGATACATCTTTCGGGGGTGCTGCGGGGAGCGTTTCAACGGGCTTGATGCATGCGACTCCGGGGGAGATGAAGTCGTTTAGATCATCGGCGCTCAGGATAGCACTCATGGCTCGTTTCTTTATGTCTTCTTTATTTCACAGGGAGGATTGTGAGGATTATGGAGGGAAGTGGTGGTTTTCAATACTAAATGTTTCTTCTCTCCTGCAGGGCATTGGGCGATGAGATCTTTCTTCGTACAGGAGTTACAAATCCGCGGAAACCGGGAGAGAGCTGTGGCAAAACAATCGTGGGAAGAGGTGTGTCTTGTCTTATCTAATCGATAAGAGAGAGAGGTGGGGTTGACGGAATTTGTCATCACGGCGGTGTCACGGGAATTGACTTTTGAAAACAAGAGAATGACAGGCCAGTGGGAGCAATTGTTTGATATGCCTGGGTAATTATAAGTAGACACGAGCAGGCAGTCCTCAATGGTCTTCAGCGGTATAAAAACGGTGCACGAGATGTAGAGACGTTTCGACAGAAGTATCGCGGTCGTAGATGTTGAGTGGTGATTCCATTGGGAGATTTACTAGTAGAGGCCCAAATACTCAAATGCCTTTTCCCAGAGTCGTGATAAAGAAGCACATGTTTGTAATTGCATGTTTGCTCCAGGACAATTGTAGGTTTCTGTCTAGGACTTTGAGAGGCTCTTTTCAACCATTAGGACACAATCTTCTTCATTCAAGTTTAGTACAGTTAAATACATGTAAGTTTTGATCTATTGAAGGTCTGTAAAGCTTAAGTCGAGGTGAGCCCCTCAAATTCAACACCTTATATCCACTATCGCAGAGATGCAAACCCGCCCTGCAGATGATTGCCGACATGACAGTCGCGTTCATTTACCGCGCAGCACACAGCCAAGCCAAGCCAAGCCAAGCCAAGCCCACCCCTTGCAGAAAAATTTCTCCCGACCTGCGCAGAGTAGGGCAAGACCCCGCAAGAAAATTTTTTGGCCGCGTTGCCTTGGCACGGTTGTATAAAACCGACGATTCCCCCGCACCCTTCTTCTCTCACTATGCGATTTTACTTCATAGGATCATTTCTATAGTAAATCGCCTCTTCTGAACTCTTTACCAGAGCCACAGAATCTCCAACCTGGGGGATGAGGTTAATCCTCCCTATCCAAGAGTGATGCCTTTTTGCCTCTGCTTCGGCGGTGGTGGCTATGATCTCGACCCTTGTCTCTACCTGCCTCCTTTTGGAGGTTGGAGATGGGGGTGGATGGGGATGGAAGTCTGACAGGTCCTGAAAACTATATTTTTTTATATAGTTTTCTTTTTTATATAGTTTAAATAGTCAATAAAAATTATAAAAAAAGTTCTACAGTTTCCCCCCCCTTTCCTTTCTTTTTCTTCGTGTGATCAGATTTTTTTTGTAGAAATCTCCAAAGTGAAAGTGACCGAACAGTCGTAACACTCGCAGACCCAAAGATCGCGACCACCCAGAAACTGTAAATTTCCATGCGAGTCTTGCTGTAGAAGCCGCAACAACCGGTACGCCATCGTGAACCTCGTGCCCAGTCTGATACTGGAGACGATGTGATCTTTTAAACGTCGCGCAGTTGTTTTTAGGCACGATCTACATATTTGGCGTGGGATTAGGGTTCCCAAAAGCCACTGTTCTGCTCGGGAAAATGGGGCATTCCCGAAAACGGAAGGGGACGTCTCCAAACAGCATGAACCGAACAGGCATATTTTAAGAGAGGATCGAAACCCGGTGGGCGTAACACTACACGCACCTTTTCCCCGAGCTCTACATGCAAGACTTACCGTCTGAAAACGAGATACAACATTCTGAGGTTTCTTAATTTAATGATGGGCCCAACTTGGTTGACAAGCCCCGAGATTGATAGCTAGACCAGATATCGAGGCCTTCAACAACCTTGGTATACCGGTAAGAAACGACACTGATATGGTCTAAGTTCAGATCTTTTATCGCGCCATCATTATAAGGGTGCAGAGGATAGGACAGGAACCAATCTTCTACCAGTTGTCGAAAGGATTTATTCGTTGAATGGGTAACAAGATTAAGTAGACAAGGGCGCAAAACCAAAGAGCCGGCTGAGGTGTAACGGGAAGAAGAGTTGGCCATAAATGAAGAAGCCGTGATTTCACTCTATCGTAGCGTAAGCTCTCAAGCCGTTACATACATGTAGCTGTCCCTTTTCTCGAGCCAGCGGTGGTATCAAAGTATCTGCCCCGCAATCATACCTTCACACGGGTCCCAGTCGATATCGCACAATCATTATCTACAGTTTTTTCAAGATCTACCATCTATAGACCATGGAAGGACTGGTAACTTCGGGACTGGCGCCCACAAGTTATATGTATCTAATATCTAACTTCGTAAGAAAGAGGGAGTAGCAATATCGGTAAGGTTTTATGAAATTGAGCATACTCGTTCTTGATCATAGATCAGTAGGACTTGGACTACCTTAAAGTATAGACTAATGCGCATATATAACTACGCCTCCGTACCGATTGCAAGGACTACATGTAGTAAATCATCTAACTAACTGATCGTAAGACCGATAAAGTTCTCGGGTTTTTATCGCGGCTTCTGCGTACGAAAATCAACACAGACCAGGAAAAAGATTCCTATAACCCGACCCCCTCTTATCCTAGAAATTAGTCTACCTTACACCATCTCACGTGTTTTGACTCTTAAGTCTCCTTCTTCGGAACGGTCAGACAGTATGGTTCCAGAACTATCGGGCCATAGGGAACGTACACATCGAAAGATACAAACCTCAAGGTTGGGCCGCATTAGAGCGTGGCTGGAAATCAAAACCTTACTTAGTTCTAAGCTTTTCCACGTAAGATTGGTACAAAACTCTACGAAGGTCTACTACGAAGGTCAGGTTTGGGTTTGTGACGATAGTTTCATTAGCCGAGTGATAGCATATGATTTCACTCGACTTTTGTTATTCATACTGTTAGTAATGTTACCATCCTCAAAGCTGCAGAGAGAGTATAGTGATTTCCAGCAGAACTTAGTATTCCTGTCACTAACTTTGATCTCGCCGGCCCCCACTTGACAGCAGTGCGGGCTTGCGGCACTGACGGGTCAGGAATAAGGGTGTGGGTTGAGAGATGTATCATGGAAAGGTACTTGGTATGTTTGTAAGAAGTACAAATCAAAGAAGCTAGGGGGGTGACGGTCTCTAGGTTAGAACCTACGACACATAGTTGCCGGCGGAAGTTATATAAAAATCTCTATTTCAAGGGTAGGAATCGTCCCTTGTCCGAGTAAAACTAAGGAATGCCGTATTCTTATATATATCCTTTGATTTATTTAAGCTATATTAGTGTAGACTTATTTATATCTGTTAGAAGAAGGCAATGCTCGAAGCTACATGTAGTCAGATAGGTAAAGCTCAAGTGGCTGAGCGCTCCCATTCAATACTTCATCAGGTATCACTCGGTACTAAGACCACTATCACGTGATCTATTAATGCCAAGACCATATAATAAATCTGTCCGTAAGGCTCAAGATCCAATAATAAGCACAACAGCTGAGCTTCCCGCATCTCCCAACATATCACCGGTACATATAGGTCGGTCATCCGAGGGTTTAATAAGCACACGATGCTCTACCCTGTGGACCTGCATATCGTGGTAGATACATGTAGCTAGAGTACCCGGTACATTGCCAGACTAGATCAGACGTGTACGAACCAATCATGAAGTCAGAGGCCCTAAAGCTTTCTACCTGTAAACACTGTTGGCTCAATCATCAGTTTCACATCCCCCACTCGTTTTTAGATTCCCAACCTCTTCACGAATCCACTCGCGATGATCCCACGCCTACGCGTACACGGTACGGGGGACGTGTAGAGTAGAGTACCTACTGCAGGTGCATGCATAGAAATGAAGGACAGGCAGCCACTCAAAGCATGGATTCTAAGCTCGTTGCACCCTGCTATTTACACTCATACTAAGCCGAATGGGCATGGCGGGGTAACGCCATGCCTCACACGGTTCGCCAGTCCAACGCATCCCTTCACAGTTCCTGGAGTATATAAACTTAGTAAACCCACCGGTCTCCTGAATCAGTCCAATTCCAACAACTACTTGTAACTACCTTTGCCCAGAACAATCCCGTAACAGAACTCAATCCATCAATCCACCAATCCTTCAATCTTCCAAATCACATACATACCAGCAATAAACACAATGGCAACTTACTTTGACGGAAAGCCATCATTCAAGGACGTCCCGGTCAAAGATGGCCAGATCTCCACAACTGAATTCTTGTTGGCTTGCGAGTCCGTGGTGAAGCTCTTTGGTATGTAAACAAAACGAACTTCTCCAGCTCCGCTCACCCCAGTAGTAGCTTACTCTGTATCGTTTTTAAGATCTGTTCGAGGCTACAGCCTTCTCTGTTGTCCAGAGCGACATGACCGGAAACATCAAGGTGTGTAATGAGTTATACCCCCACAGGAGCTTAAAAAAAGCATGTATTGACATTAGCCAATTAGAAAATTCGCGACCGTCAGCTCGCGACCCCCGCAAAGTCAGAAACTATACAGGATCTCGTCAAGAACGAGAGGGCAGAGGGCCTGAAAACAGCTTCTGAGGGTCTCCTCTGGCTTACTCGGTGAGTTCATCTATTTCCAATCATCAATTTATCTTTTTCGTTGAGAAGGCATACTAATAAACCTACAGTGGTCTCTTATTCACCTCAACTGGGCTTCGTAAGAGTGTCTCGAACCCCTCAGAAGAGCTATCCACTTCGTTCACCAACGCATACGGCGTAACTCTCAAGCAGCATCACAGCTTTGTGGTCAGGCCTCTCTTTGGTCTTGCCATGAAGGCTTGCCCCGCACGCAATTCGTTCTACGCGAAACTAGGAGAGAACTGCGATGCCCAGCTCGAGGAATGGCTTACAAGCCTCGAGTTGTGTGTTAATATTCTCAGCAAGTGGATTGAAGGCGTGAAGCTTTAAATCTAGTTAATCGGAAATTCGGCGACTTTTTCATAAGCTATTTTATATAAATATTCTACAATTTTAACAAAGAGTCGATTGCGATATATCAATTTTCTTGCGAAGGCCCTTCTGTTTAGCGGCGCTTTTGTCTTACAATGCTTTGTCCAAAAAAGGGAATGATCATGATTATCTAGTAGCAAATAAATTTGGTAAAGAATCAGATTTGGGTACTATATCTCCTCATCTGCCAATTGCGTACAAAGAGCAAAGAAATGCTAGATTGAATCTTTGACCAGAAACAGGAAATAGATATGGAAGAAACCTCAAAACTAATAGGATCTTCCAAAAAGTGTGTAATGCTATTCAAATAGTCAATATATGCCAAGAATAACTTGTACAGATATGATTCAATAGGTACCTTTGCATTCTCACCACATTGGGTGCACTTTGTAGTTCCTGGGACAATGGCGTGTTCACCGGTTGGCTGCTCAAACGGAATACACAAGGACTTGGCACCCATGGATGGGGCCTTTGCGTCTTCTGGCTCTCCGCCCTCATTAGTGCCCTTGCTGCGTTCTTTGATTTCATCCTCACACTCCTCACGGTCACCTAAGTTCCGGTAGAAATAATTGTAAGTAATGAGCTTTATTTGGTATGCATAAAGATGAGATAAGCTTACAGTGGGGAATAAGGATGACATTCTTGGCATTCAATGCCGGGGTGAATTCCTCCCACTTGGTAATGATCTTGGTGTGCTCATCGAATGATTTCTTCGCCTTGATGTACAGATCTGATTGGATAGTGTCAAGGAGAGTTTGAATTGTAGATGCGAGCCCATCAAGAGGAATGGGTGTCTTCTCGCCATTGTCACGACGGACGGAGAGGACCTGCTTCTTCACAATATCCTTGGGACCATACTCAATTCTCAATGGGACACCCTTAAGCTCCCAGTCATTGAACTTGTATCCAGGAGAGTAGGTCTCACGAGTGTCAGCCTTGACACGAATGCCGGCCTTTTGCAGAGTGACTGCGATCTCAGAGACGCCCTCCAAGAGAGTCTTTCTCTCTTCATCAGTAGTTCTTGCGGTGAGACCACAGGGGACAATGACAACCTGGTGAGCGGCCACCTTAGGGGGGAGAACAAGCCCCTTGTTGTCACCGTGAATCATGACGCAGACACCAATGACACGGGTCGACAGACCCCAGGAGTTTTGCCACACATACACCTTCTTATCTTCCTCTGGGTCTCCCTCCTTCCAGTCCGGATTCTCGACAATGATGTTGAACATCTTTGAGAAGTTCTGACCCAAACAATGGGATGTTGCTCCCTGGATACCACGGCCGGTTGTTGGGATATAACCCTCTACAGTGGTAGTGAAGAGACCACCAGCAAACTTCTCTTTTTCTGTCTTTTTACCTTTGATAGTCGGGACAGCGAGAAGCTCAGAGTAGACACCAGAGTACCAGTCAAGGATCTGCATCACCTCCTCCTCGGCCATCTTGCGAGTCATGTGTGCGGTATGGCCTTCCTGCCAGAGGAACTCACGTGTGCGGAGGAAAGGTTGGGGGTGCTTGAATTCCCAGCGGACAACTGAGTTCCACTGGTTCAATTTCAGGGGAAGGTCACGATGACTACGGATCCATTTGGCGTAGTAGGGGTACATAACGGTCTCTGAGGTAGGACGGATAGCAATGTGCTCCTCGAGATCGGTGCTGCCGCTGTAGATATGTAGATATAAAATCAGCGCTTCATTGTGGGCTATTTACTGGAATGTGCATTAAAACATACGCCTTAGTGACCCAAGCTACTTCAGGAGCGAATCCTTCGATATGATCCTTCTCGCGCTCGAGGACCTTTGCGGAAACAAACATGGGAAAGTAGCAGTTTTCAACTCCAATGGTCTTAATGTTATCATCAAACCAGCGTTGGACCTTCTCCCAGACCGCATAGGACCACGGCTATCCAGAGTGTCCAATTAGCTCAATTCATCTTGAAGTCAATCGAGGGCCAAACCTTCAAAATGTAGCATCCAGAGATATCATAGTAGTCCAGCATATCACCTTTGGTAAGAACCTGCTGGTACCAGTTCGAGAAATCGGCTTCTTTCCTTGTAGTGATACCAATAAGCTCCGCGCCGTGGATTTCGGAATCCTTCTTTGTTGAAACTTTCACTGGAGAAGCCTTAGCAACCTCCTTTGAAGCGGCCTGGACGCTGGCCAATCCGAACTCTACAACAGTGACCTTAACGCCAGTTCCCTCCAAATGGGTCTTGATCTCCGCCCCTGAAATAAATACGGTTACATCTGACTTTGAGGGGTGAACCGCGATCTTAGAAGTAGACTCGACCAGACGGCTGTCGAGCACCACCTGAACAGCAGTAGCGTTTTCCTTGGTGATGGAAAGAGGAGAAACTGCATTTAAAGTTATCAATATTCGTTCAATTGTTTGTGGGGGAATGGTTGGATGCTTACCATTAGCCGGTTCTACTCCCAACGCAGTTTGGACCGCATCTGCGGCAGCCATGCGAGGCTCTTTGACATCGACCGCCTTTGCGATGAGGCTAGATGGGGTGTTTGTATCCTCTAGGGCGACAAGGACGATAAGGACAGCGGTCTGCGATTTTGGGGTTTCTAAAAGTCTCCATTATAAGAAATTTGTTCACGACATTCGTGCGCGCGTTCAAAAACACTAGTTACAGCTTCTCTCACACTCGTGCATTTTTTTTTTTTTTTTTCCCTTATAAGAGCATAGTTTTATTCTAGAAAAAGGAGCAGTTTTGGGGACGGAATATTCGTACTTGGCTTGAAAACAAGAGTTTTGGTCAAAGAGTATGACTCAGGAAGTCCCGAGGCTGATTCGAGCTGTGATTTCCACTCGGCCGCATTCGAGCAAGGCCCGTGGGAAACTGTTTGTGCGTCGGCGATAGACATGACGGAGAATTTTTCTGCTGCTTCAGAGGCCATGAACCGTCCAGAGTACTAGGGTAAATGTCGCGCGTGGTGTCTCTTGAAATAACAGGCAGCGAATGATTTCTGGTATTTTGGCGGGGTTGGGAGGGGTTGTTTGTTGCACAGTGGGGCAGATACGCTAGAGTAGGTACGGTCACGTGATAGCAGATCCCTACAGGAGGTAAGGGATATATACTTCCCAAGAAGGCGTTAAGCCTTAATAAACCCGGTCAAACCCCTTTGGGCCATAATTAGGATGCTCGTAATATGTGAGCTTAAGTCAACGGATAATATCTTCGCTATGTATAACTTTCCTTGACTAAACAAATCTATGTGAAAAAAATACTAATGTTCCCTCAAAGTCCAAAAACTGGTGCAGCTATATTATCCCAATTCTCGTCCCATCGATCATGAGTCTCTTTCATAGCCCCCATCTTCAACCTTTCCAACTCCCTTGAGCTCGGATTAAACAAAGTCTATTAGGGAATGTATTAGTCAACAACGCCTGCAAAATTGTAAGATATGAATCCAATGAATAAACAATACCTTCAAATTTTCACCCAGATCTTGACCATCCTTGAATACAATTCCGTTCTCACGATGCTTCACCAGCTCCCTCAAAGCATAAAATCCGAACGCAGCAACCGGAACGCCCACGCCAAATAGGTCCACAACTTTCATTGGCAGATCTACACCAGAAGTACTAGTATGCAAGCTGATTCCCAAGTCGGCACAGGCAATCATCTTTGGGTAATCCTCCGATTCCAGCCATACAGTCTCTACGGTGATAAATTGAAATTCAAGCTTCTCAATCGTAGCAATATACCCATCCTTCAGGGGTCCTTTGCCAGTGATAATTGCAAGAATTGATGGAGCTGAGCCAGGCTTGAGAAAGTTTGCTCCACTCGCATAACTGTCATATGAAAGAAGGGCTGCAAGCAGCTGAGAGAAATCTTCGTCTGGTGTCCAGGATGTGGAAGAGGTTATCATCTTGGTTTTCCCTGAAAGTATAGCTGCTGCATGGCGTTTAGTTGCTGGGTGCGATTCAAGAAATTCCTTCTTAGCAGCAGCGTCTAGCGGGACAAAATGCATTGGTGGTCGGTCATACAAAGTTCTGATGGGAGCTTTGATTCCCATATCATCTTTTAAAACCTTTGCCATAGCATTTGTAACTGCAAAATTGGCGTATGCGGCCCTTCCAAAGACTTTCTCGTAAAATTTGCAGAACCACACAATAGGATGCTCGTTGAGCTTCATCATCAAAATACTCCATCCAAAATTGTGCCAATCAATAACAACCTTCTGCATTCTCAGCTTGCTAACGAACTGAGTGACAATGAGAGTAGGTATGGCCGGTGGGTTTTGTAGAAGAATATAGCCTGCTGATGGCGGGATTACGTAAAGAAGGCAGTAAAGCAATGAGGTGAACTGAAAGAATGCCTTGAAAGGTGCAAAAATGACGAATGTAAGCGGTGTAGAAGTGTTGAATAACTTTGGAGGCACCGGAAGAGGGTATCTGTGTATATTAGTATTTCCGAGTAGCTCAGGACGAGGAAGTGATTCTAATTGAAAATTAGCTCGTAGTTCAGAAGTGTATAGTTGAACTAAAATAGACCTTCATATCCCACAAGATCCACTATAGCTCCTTTCCTTGCCAACGACAAGCAATGATGCTGCATCCTTGGACTCCGGCCAATATCCCCTAACACCAACACGACAACTCGCTTCTTCTCAGTGTTTGATGGATGATGCCTTGTAGGTAAACACATCAACATTAAGGTAAATGTCATCGAGAAGAACAAGAGCGGAGTCGCCCAAACTTCAACGAATGTGGTAAACATCTTGGATGTTGCGAACTCTATCGCAGTACTGTGGACTCGAGAAGATGTCAAGCGGATAAGGTTGTTTTATATAATACTGGTGTCAAGGTACTTCGTCACAGGAGTCTGATCGAACTCCTTTTCTAAATCAAGAAGCTGAACCGGTTAGTTGAGGGCTGTGAATCAATTCCAGGGGTTCACAAAGATCTTCTCTGGGACTCCCGCGATTGATACTGGAAGGAGGACAGGTTGCGGGTGACAGGGCTGAGCAATTAGGGCTTCACTCCTTGAGCCTCATTCTTGGCGTATACTAGCGCAGTTTCGCACAGTGAAATCTTGGCAAGAAAGAAAAAAAATGAATTTCGAGGTTGCTATCCTCTCCAGCACCTTCAACAGACAGAACCCCACATACCATTCCCTTCAGCTTCTTTTCTGCATTTGCCCACAATGGCGATTCAAAAGAAGGTGAGCTATCTCCTCTTGTTTACCCGAATGTGTTTTAATTGAGTCGTTTTTTAGCATGGAAAAGGTCGTCTTGATAAATGGTACGCAGAAAGAAAAGAAAAAAAAAGATCCCACATCCGACACCTTAAGATTTCAAGAAACTAAAATCTTTATAGGTACAAGCTCGCCAAACAAAAAGGCTACCGTGCTCGTGCCGCGTTCAAATTGATTCAGCTTAATAAGAAATACAATTTCCTCGAAAAGAGCAAAGTAGTCCTTGATCTCTGCGCTGCCCCAGGTTCCTGGTCCCAGGTTGCTGCGGAATGCATGCCCGTAAACTCCCTTATTGTCGCCGTTGATCTCGCGCCAATCAAACCTATCCCTAAAGTTATTTCTTTCCAAAGCGATATCACCACAGAAAAATGCAGGGCCACAATCCGAGGACATTTGAAGTCATGGAAAGCGGATACCGTCATGCATGATGGTGCTCCAAACGTTGGTACTGCGTGGGTTCAGGATGCTTTCACACAGGCAGAGCTTGTTCTCCAGTCTCTCAAGCTCGCCACGGAGTTTCTGATAGAAGGAGGAACTTTCGTTACCAAGGTTTTCCGCTCTCGTGATTTTAACAACCTTATGTGGGTGTTCAATCAGCTGTTCACCAAAGTTGAAGCCACCAAACCCCCATCGTCACGTGCCGTATCTGCGGAAATCTTCGTCGTTTGCAGAGGTTATAAAGCTCCTAAAAGAGTAGACCCTAAATTCCTTGACCCCCGGAGCGTATTCGAGGAATTGCCGGACGCTACCCCGAATAATGAGGCTAAGGTCTTCAATCCGGAGGTCAAAAAGAGAAAGAGAGATGGTTATGAAGAGGGCGATTACCTGCAATTCAAGGAAGTTCCTGTCAACGAGTTCATTGAGACTACGGATCCAATTCAAATGCTAGGAAGCTTAAACAGGTTGTCCTTTGAGGAAAAAAAGGGTGGAGATCTAGCGATTGCGGCGATTTCCAAACTCCCAGAGACAACCGTAGAGATCCGAAACTGCTGTCAGGATCTTAGGGTCTTAGGCCGAAAAGAATTCAAACACCTGCTCAAATGGCGACTTTCCGTTAGGGAAAAGGTAAAATTTCCTACACTCGGGCGTCGTTACGGGACTGACGTGTAATAGTTTGGATTGGTAGTCAAGAAAAAGGATGACAAGGTCGTTGAAGCCGCCGAAATCACCCCTATGGACGAAGAGCTACAAATCGAGCAAGATCTCGAGCTTCTCAAACAGAAAGAATCCGCCGAAAAGAAACGTGCAAGGCGAAGAGAAAACGAGAAAAAACAAAAAGAGATCGTACGGTTACAGCTTCACATGACTACCCCGATGGAAATCGGACAAGAGCAACAATGGGACTCCATGTTTGGTCTTAAACCTGTCGATAAAGCTGGTGCCCTTGGGGAGATAGTCAAGGGCAAAATGAACGTGGTTGTTGAAGAGGATGACAAGAAAAGAAAAGATTTAGATATGGGTGATTCGGAGGTAGATGACACAGAGGATGAAGAGGCAGACAGGATGGAGGCCGAATTAGATGGCTTGTAAGGCACCATATCGAATATTTTTATTACCTTTACTAATCAAATTTTGCATGATAGGTACGAGCAATATCGGGAAAGAAAAGCTGAAACCGATGCAAAGTATAAAGCCAAAAAGGCGAGAAAAGAGCACGAGGACGGCGAATGGCATGGTATAGAGGAGAAGGAAGAAAGTAGTGACGATGAGGTCGTGGTTGACGAAGCGGAGAGCAGCGATGAGAGCGATAGTGAGGATGAAGATGGTGAAACGAAAGACAAACTGATGACAACCTTAGACGACAGTCACGTTAAGGGCAAGGATGGCTTAAGCAAAAGAGCTTCCATGTTCTTTGATCAGGAAATATTTGCAGACATTGACGACGAAGTCGAAAGTGAAGACGGATCAGATCTCGAGGAAGGTGAAGGGGATGATGAGGGCTCAGACGAAGAAATGGGAGATGCAGATACAGCAGTCGATGCGAGTGACGAGGAAATGGCTGATGAAGCTGAAGAGGAGCTCGCAGGGTCGGAGGATGGTTTCGAAACTGAGGAAGAATGGGAAGATGACGGTATTGAGATTGTCAAGGGAAGCAAAGATGAACATTGGGATTCAACTCAAGAACCTAAAAAGAACGGCAAGCTTGGTGAGTTTTAATATATCTCATTCTGCGTAGGTTGTACTAATACGACATTCTAGATATCAACATCATCACTGCTGAAGCCATGTCTCTTGCACAACGAATTGCTTCAGGGAAAAAGGCCAAAATTGATATTATAGATGATAATTTCAATAAGTTCTCCTTCCGGGACAAGGATGGCCTTCCTGACTGGTTCCTTGACGACGAAAACAATCATTCGAAGCCTATACGTCCTATCACCGCCGAGGGTGCAGCAGCGATCAAGGAAAAGATGCGAGCTTTAAATGCTCGGCCAATCAAGAAGGTTCAAGAAGCTAAGGATCGCAAAAAGTTTAAAGCTCATCAAAGGATGGAGAAGCTGCGTAAGAAGAGTGCATTGATGGCGGACGAGGATGGTGTTACGGAGAAAGACAAGGCACAAAGCATCACAAAGCTTATGCAAAAGGCAGCGAAGAAGAAACCAAAGAAAAAGGTCACAGTCGTTGTTGCCAAAGGTGGTAATAAGGGCCATGGAAGGCCGAAGGGTGTCAAGGGTAAATATAAGGTTGTTGATGCCAGGTTGAAAAAGGATGTGAGAGCACAAAAGAGAACCGCAAAGAAGAATAAGGGAAAGAAATAATGATAAACACTTATGGACAGAAGGCGATAATGTGTATATGTACTTTTTTTGAAGCAATAATTTCTTGGCCCGTTATTTACAGACTCTTCAAAAACATTCGTGGTTTAGAACTTAGCCAGTTTTTTTTTTAAGGAAAGGGTCTCTTTACCCTGTCCCAATAGTAGCTCTCCGCAAGAGAGGTTAATATTCATAGGTACATGTATATAGGACACGCAGTTGTGCTGCCATGCAATGGTATCAACAAGTAATTGTATTCTTAGAGTTACATATTTTATCTGGTGGTTTCTGCGGGCTGGATGTTTATATATATTACAAAAGCCCATGAGTGGACCATTTGGTTGAATTCTAACCTCTGAACCTAACAGGACATAAGTGTTCGTCGCTATACTTAAGGTGGAAATCACCGGATATTCCGGTATACAAAGAGTTATGAGTGTAAGAACTCCAGTTTAATTGTATTATCAAGTAGCGATATTTCGCATATCCGCAAATATTGTAGTTACACCCTTGTGGATGGTAGGTACAGTCACCCCTAGCCCTGATGTCATTCATTATCAGATCGATCTAATCATTGAGCCTCAAACTCAACGCTAACAAAAAATAAATCTGCTTGAAATTCTCATGATCCCCAACCACTAGTACAAATTTCAGTGCCATTGGAACACAAAGCTTCAAGGCTAGCTGTTCCGTGTTCTGCCATTCGTCTAACTGAATAACACCATCCTATCAGCGCATTTATAGTACCCCAGCTATGGCACCCAATAAACGTCAGCGCACCTCCATTATAGCAGCTGGTGGGGGTGTTGTCGCTACAAATACTCTCGCCGCTTCACCCCAGACACCATTACACTCAAAGATTTTGGCCCCTTTCAGAGTATGATGATCCCAATTTTAGCTCTATGTTTTTATCGACTTAAAGTTGATCAATCTCACCTATTCTAGGCTCTCGGTCACATCACTTCGACATCTGCGCCAGCGACTCCATTTACTCTTCTTCCATTAGGCAAGACTTTTCAAATCACAACTGCGCTTTCAAACACCCTACAAACCTATGATATCCGACGTTTAAATATCTTATTCGTATCTTCTCCTGCTACTCCCGGTCTCATCCGCCGAGTCATCGCCCATAAGGACCTCGTATACGCTGCCTTCGACGATGAATTGATCCGCGTTTGGATTTTCAAGAGAGGAAAGAAGATCGCTGAACTTGAGCCGGTCAGAACACTGCAAAGTGGAGGTAAACGGGATGGGAGATGGCGAGAGCTCTTGATATTTGGAGACTGGGTTGTTGGCGCTTTCGATTGGGGATTAGTGGTATGGAGGAGGACAACCGGAGAGGTTTATACTGAGATTGAGGTTGTGGGTGAGGTCACGGCTCTTGTGCATCCAAGCACTTTCTTGAACAAGGTTGTTGTAGGGAAAGCGAATGGATCTCTAGAAATTTGGAACGTGAAAACGAGGTATGGCTAGAGCACTCATTCGATTTTTTTCTAGTGTCTCAGATACTAAATTATCATTCTACAGCAAGAAGATCCACACTATACTTTCACCCCTCCCTGCGCCAATAACTTCTTCAAAATCCGCTCCGGCCATAACCACTCTTGTTCAAACTCCAGTGATTTCTATCCTGGCCATTGGATATTCCACTGGAGAGATACATCTTCACAACATTCTCACTGATACCCCATTGTTCACACTAAACTCTGCAATGCCAGGGAGCATTGCAGCGTCATCTCGGGGGAAAAAGCGTGTAACAAGCATTTCATTCTGCACGGATCCAGCAGTTGGTGCTGGCAAAACTAAAAGGGAAGGCGAGGGAGGGGGGAAAATACTTGCGGTTGGAGATGATGACGGAGATGTCACTCTTTGGAACCTCAAGAAACGAAAAGTTGTTGGTGTCATGAGAAACGTGCATGAGGGCCCTTCTGGATCTGGTGTAATCGTGGAATGGTTAGCAGGCCAAAATGTCCTGGTTACCAGCGGAGGAGACAACAGCGTCAAGGTTTGTGCAATTTGTCTTCTCCACAAGTTGAAATACTTATATTCTTTTAGGAATGGATATTTGACTCTCCTCACACAACACTTCCTCGTATCCTTCGATCACGTTCCGGGCACTCTCAGCCAATAACAAGCCTTACATTCTTCTCGCCGGCAAATTCTCATTTCCTTCTTTCATCATCCCTCGATCGTTCCTTCTGGGCTCTTTCCCTAAGGAATGACGCGCAGTCTTTTGAATTCTCTCAAGGTGCTACTGTTAAGAAGGTTACAAAGGCAGCCAAAAATAACCCCGCTACAGCCTCACTCGCGGGGGCAATCTCGGGGGCAAAGGCCGGCCCTATAACATGTATTGCAACGTCTTCAGGCGAAGACGGCGCCGGGAGTGCCGGGAGAGACTGGGAGGGTGTTGTCACAGGGCATAAAGGCGAGCGAGCCGCGAGATGTTGGAGCTTCCAGGGTAAAAAGATCGGACGATGGGTCCTCGAAACTAGGGATCAAGGAGAAGTTAAAAGTGTCGCTATCTCTGCATGTGGCACTTTTGCATTGCTTGGATCAAGCAGTGGCGGAATCGATATGTATAACCTTCAGAGTGGGCTTCATAGACGTCGTTTCCCTGAACCCATGACAGCTTCACAGGCGAAACAGATAAAATCCCAAGGAACTGCACTCGGTCGATTCGGCGTTGCCGGAAAGGGAAAGCATACAAAGACTGTAACTGGCTTGGTTACTGATGCCCTGAACCGTACTGTCATTTCCACTGGGCTAGATGGAAAGATCAAGTTCTGGGACTTTAACACTGGTGTTCTCCTCCATGAGATCAACTGGGAAAGCTTCACAGCGATCACTAGGGCCAAGCTACATCGACACTCTGATCTTCTTGCTGTTTCTTGCGACGACCTGTGTATCAGAATAATTGATATTGAAACACGGAAGGTTGTTCGTGAGCTTTGGGGTGCGGCGGGAAGGATAAGTGACTTCTGCTTTTCTAACGATGGGCGATGGATACTTGGGGCCTCCACAGATAGCATAATTAGGATATGGGATTTGCCTACCGGCCATCTCATCGATGCTGTGCGAACAAGAAGTATAGTTACTGCAATGGCGTTTTCTGGAACCGGTGAGTTTTTGGCAACGGCACATGTCGACAGTGTTGGCGTTGACCTATGGTAAGATAGCACTGGTAATTTGGTTATATATTGCATGACTTCCTATGCTTACCGAAACATCTTAAATATAGGACAAATCGGACACTTTTTAGGCATGTTCCGACTAGACATCTGAAGGACGATGAGATTGTAGATCTCACTTCCCCAACAGCCTCTGGAGAGGGCGGAATCAGTATCATTGAGGCAGCGTTCGAAGATAGCGAGAAAGAAGAAAATAGCACAGGAGTCTACACAACCGCAGATCAATTAAGCGATAAGATGTTGACTATGTCGCTTGTCCCCCGCGCAAGATGGCAAACATTATTGAATCTTGATGTCATTAGGGTAAATTAAACCTACAAATCATTTATCTTGGAACTTGACTAACACAAAATTTTAGCAACGTAACAAACCCAAAGAAGCTCCCAAAGCTCCTGAGAAGGCACCATTTTTCCTTCCTTCCCTCGGAGATAAGGAGGGTCCTCTTGCAATTAAAGGCAGCGATACTACGGATGAATTGGCGACCGTACAAGCGCTCGAAGCTAAAAGGTCTCGTGTCATACGCATGTCCCGCAATGCCGGAGAAAGCGAATTCACGCACCTATTAATTGATGCCAACGGGGACTACACCGCTTTCCTTAATCACTTCAAGACACTCCCTCCCTCTTCGGCGGACTTGGAGATTCGTAGCTTACAGCCCGAGGAGTTGGTGCCGTTTGTTGACTCATTGACTCAAAGATTGAGGAGTAAGAGAGATTATGAGCTTGTGCAAACGTGGATCAATGTATTCTTGAAGTGTCACTCGGAGTCGATTGTTAATGATGTTGGTGCCGAGAGTGGGGAGAGGGGGTTGAGGGCTGCCTTGGGGGAGTGGTCTATTGAACAGAAAAAGGAGGCCAGTAGATTGGCGGAGTTGGTCGGATACTGTGCAGGCGTTGGAGAATTCCTGCGCAGTGGACGCTAGATATGATAAAAATACATAATTCTGATGATGGGGTGCCTTGAGATCAGGTTGACAATTATCAACTACTTGTAAATTTTGGGGCTGTATGAGTAGAAAGTGGATATCATTCTTTTTCTTTTTTTTTGTTTATTAAAAGTTTTAGACCTGTATGTGTTCTTAAACAGTGAATGTTCTCAGCGGTTCACCCAAACAAAATAGTCGATAGACTCGTAATCTTATGAAATATAAACCCCTCTAGAGGAGTGTCGGGAATTGACCCGAATCTCGTCCAGTGTACTCTCACTATAAGAATACGATCGGGACTAAAATATGTATCCTTATTCTGAATTATCCTTTAGCAAGTGAGAGGATGCTAGCAAAACGGCACTTACGGACCAGCCAGTGGTATCCATAACGTGAATATCGCCACTCCCCGGCCTTTTTGAGCACAAATTGGCCCTTGCTATAAGGGTACCGATTTCCGGTACCGAGCGTACCCTTGTAGGGAGGGCCAACTGTAACGAGAAGTTCATGCAATTAATGAGTTAAACAAAAACAAAAAACAAAAAACAGCAATAAGGAGGATAATGGTATATCACTCGATATGTCATACAGTTTGAATAGACATAGAAGCAATCTCAAATTTGCTCTTCTAGTATCACATGTGAGGGTTGGGCTTTAATTGTGTCTACCTAAGTAATATTCCAAGTATACAAGCTATTTGAGGTAGCGGAAACATTATTTACACCAAAACACAAATAACAGTAAAGTACAGTTAATCATCCGCTTCCCTCTTGCTCCTCTTTGACCCACCTCTGCTGCCGCCTCGACCGCCTCGGCCGCCCCCAACCTCACTGTGTCTTCTCTTTTTGCCCTCCTTTGCCCAATATTCATCCTTTTCTTTTTTCTCTCTTGCGGCTTTCATCTCCAAGTTTTCAGCCACCTTTTTTCGGTAAATATCCCTTTTGGCCTCTTTTGCCTCCCTGCGCTTCGCTTCCTTTTCATTCTTCATGGTAGAGATCTTCTGCATTAAATCCCTGGCACGTTTCTCTTCACCGCCTAACACAACCGCACGCTTGCTCGCATATGTCTCTTTCTTCCGCGGCTTCATCTGAGCAATCTGGGAGGCGAAAGGAAGATCTTTCTGAACTGCTCTCGGTACACGGAGAGGGTTGAAGTTCCTCTTCGGGCGCTCAATTTTTCTGTACGCAGAATTTGGAAGGTTTGGTGTTGCGATTGCCATATCTCTCCTCAGCTCTCCAGTCAATCTCATACCCTGCCATAACTTTGCTTCTTCGCCTTTCCCTTCCAGTAATAGATTCGTGACAGGGTTGTAGAATTTCCTAGGTTTGACAGGATACCAGGCTCTCAAGAAGACAATATCACTCATGAGAATTTTGTCCTCAAAAGTGGCTCTGAAATGACCATCTGGTTTTGCAAGTGCTCTCTTAATTTGGCCACGAATTCCAGAGACTGTCCTAATTGCGGCACCTTCAAACTTGGCAACTTCCAGGGATGAAGTAAACATGTCCTTGATGAAAGACGTGTTTTTCCATATTTTATATGGGATACCTGTAAGCTTAAGCTTTTTGACGATTTCAGTGGACTGGTCTACGTTTAGAACGACACCAGTAGCTGAGACGCGGAAACCGGGGGTTTTCGACGAAAGACTTTGAACCGCGCAGAAACCAGTATTTGGTGCGATAAGAGGGCCGTAAAAAGTACCAAAACAGTGCATGTGTTCTGGAGTGTACTTCAACATTCGATTCCTGGTTCTTGAATCTGAAGTAGAATAGACCGGTATACTCTGGAAACGACGCCAACCCAATGAGAAAATCAGGGGATCGTTCGTTTTCAAAATTTTCTTATGCCATCTATGTCTTTTGATCCGAACTTGTAAGAACCCGAATCGATCTTCGGTGGGCGTCAATCCACCGATGAGAATTGGGTATATGGGGTCGAAGTTCGTTACAAACTCGTGCGGGACATTGCTGAGAACCACTCTGGCGTAAGTACCTGCTCGGTAACCCTCTACTCGCACTCGAGTGCCATCGTCCAGTTGTTCAAATTCGGCTTTATTAACGGCTAATTGTTTGGCAATCTTGGCTTTTTGGGCATCGTACCAGTCATCTTCACCAAATCCTTCTTCATCGTCGTCTCGTGTGCCGGTCTTGTCGTTATTGATCCCTTCACGATCCTCTTCTTCGAACCGTAGTTTGAGTTCCTCTTTCTTGCGCGCATTCTTTTCACGCTCCTCTTCCAGAGAAAGTTCTTCATTATCCCCCCCACTTTCCTCCCCCTCTGAGCTGTCCTCATCATCTCCTTCATCGTCATCTTCGTCATCTTCGTCATCTCCTTCATGATCCCCTCCGTGTTTCTCGCCAGTTTCCAAATCCTCAAAGACACCATCTCCTTCGTCATCGTCATCATCTGCAATGCCCTCGAATTCGCCTCCCCCACCTCCTTCTTTTTCATCCAATAGATTCGCGGTAATAAATCTGCTCCGGAGATCTTCCAGAGCTGCTTCCTCGCTCCAGTACTTCTCCAATTTCTCAAAGTCATACATCGGCATGCTCCTGTCCAGGATTTTCTTGGTCTTTTTACCCTTCTGAGTATTAACCTCATCGTCGTCATCCTCATTTTCGACCTTTTTGAAGAAATCCTCTTCATCACTTCCTTGGGATTCAGCAGATTGTTCACTGGCTTCTACAACATCGCCCCGCCATTTCTGAATAACTTGATTAGGTGTAAGAGTCTCATCGTAGAGTAGCCTGCTCAAGCTTGTCGTCCGGCCATTAGGATTGTTTGACCACATTTTCTTTGCGTTATCAGCGAGATTTGATTTCCACTGTGGTACGTCTTCATCGTCGCTTTCTGCTACTTCTGCATCTGATGGCAATTCGCCATCATCGAGAGACCTTTCAGAGACGTCAGACAGTGATCCTAGGTCGGAATCACTATCAGCAAATGCGACGTCGTCAGTGCCGCTCCCAAACTTAGTGATATTGTCTTGGAGGGCTCTTCCGGGCTTTAATGATACTGCTGTGGCCCGGTCATCGTCGCTTGCGTCTTCGTCTCCGAAGAATTCCTCATTTTCTTCCTCTTCATCGTCATCCTCTAGTTCCACAGTATCGTTTTCGTTAGGTTGCTTGTCCAATGCTCTTCCCTTCCTTATATGCTTTCTCCCAACGTTTCCAACGTCTTCGTCGTCATCTTGGACCTTTTTTATCATTTCACCGTTAGAGAACAGTCTTACACCTTCTGCCTCTCCCTTTTTCCCTTTTTGTAGCCCTACGACCAATCTCTCGCCCACACCTTGGCCCTCTGCACCCTCTTCAAAGTTCTGAGATGGAACATTGATGTAAACAGCATCCTTATCAACCAAAACACCACCGACGTCACTCATCGGGGCGTATATTAGTTTTTGTTTTTCGCCTAATCTCCTCCTGCTCTTGCCTTCGGCCTGTGCTCTAGCTGGAGTAGGGCATGGATCCGGAAGTGCCTCAACACTAGCAATCGACAAATCCCCCACACCGGGGATATGCACTCTTCCACCATCTGCTGGAATATTGAGGCCTCTAACATAGCCATACAAAGCGACAGTCCTATCTGTCTTATGGTTCTCTTCTATAGCAACCGGATCTGTCAAGTCGACCATACGATCCGCCAAGAGGTAATAATGGGAGTTTCTCCAGACCAGAGGTCTAGGGTTTTTCATGACAGAGATAAATCTACTTAGATTGTGAATTTCACGATCAGGATATCGTCCATTGATGACTCCAGATAGGTAGAATAATTTTGCTCCCTGGTAGAGCTCCGACCAAAAACGATGCTTCAATCTTTTTTTTGTGGTCCGGAGAACAGATTGGGATTTGAAGAGATCCAAATGAGTAAGGATCCCAAAGATATTTGAGGGCAGACCATGAGTGGCCATGATATTGAGGAATTCCATGGTCTCCATTTCAAATCCGAAATTCCCGTCAATCAAAAGTAATACAATGTCGGCGATCTTAGAGATATCAATCATTGAAGTCAGGGAGTTGTCGCACTCTAAGAATGTCAGGCGGCGCTTCTTGCTTGATACAACTGTTATTGGCCCTTGGATTGCTGTCAACGAATGTTTGGTGTAGCGTTTTACGAGGGATTTAATTAGAGTGGTTTTCCCGGTCTAGGATATTGTCAACCAAGAGTTTAAGGATAAGAGAAGGCTCAATTACTTACCCCCGGGGGACCGACGACAGCGACTATTAATGGTGGTGCTTCCTCGGGGAGGCGATCCACCTAAAAATATCAGTACTATGAAAGATGAAAGATACGAAGCGTTCTTACCATGGGCACGTGAAGACGCTTCTCTTTGACCTAAATTTTAGCAATATATCAGTACAGCTTCTCAATCATAATCGCCGCGCCATAATTTGAAAAGCGCACATCATGGGATCTTGTCGCTTGTTTTTGAAGCTTCCCGGGATTCGCAAATGCAAAAGCCTTCGGATTCTGCCCTTTCTCTCCTGTGTTTTGAGATTAGCAAAAAAAAAAAAAAGCGTACGTAGGTCTCATCCGGAATAAACCTACTAGTGAACTTCTTCTTCTCTTTTGGCTTTCGGTGGGTTTTGTTTGACTGATCCATTGCGCCTTCAAGTGTTGGAATTCCAGTGGAGAGGTTGCGGCTCAGTTGCGAAAAGAAGATCTCAAACTTTTTTTTGACAGTAAAAAAAGCCCTAACCCATGGCTGACGCTAGGCCAGATTGGGCCTAACACTAGATATCCTCAACACCATGTGAAGCTCGATTAAGCATGTGGACGTCATAAAGTTGCAACCCAATATGTCGGACGGCCAAGATTCTGAGGATTTCGTACGGAATAAAAAAAAGGGATATCTATCTAGAAGAAATCTATAATTGTAAAATACATGTATCTATCTTGCAGTAGAAGAAATTATACAAAGGGCCTGGCACATCAAGTTATAACTAGCATACACATACTACATGTATACAAGTAGGTGTAGTTACATGTACTTTACATGGAATAAGAGCCAAACTAAAACTACATGTACATGTACATCTACATGATTACAACTTGTTCGCAGTGCTTTGATTCTGAGCCGGCTGAATCGGTCGCCGCATACTAACGGGCCATCTAAATTCTAGGTTTAAAGAAATACCGTTATTATGATTATTGGCACTATTAAATACATCGCTAACCACAGGGCACTATAATAAATTACGACTATCTATACACCGATCCTTACAACCCCACCCGTTATGATAATTCGGCTGAGAGCTATGATACTGACTGTTAGTGATAAATGAACGACTAAAAACAAGGAAAGTACTTACAGTTTTTTCGATCCCAGCTGATGTATAGTCATCTCTTTTCATAAGATACGGCTTAAGCAAGTGTGGTTTCACCCGGGAGAGAACGCCGTCTCTCATGCGTTCTTTTATGGCATTGGGTCTATCGAAAATGTCAGTCCCACCTTTTTAGCCCTAATGAAATAGTCGAGTGGGTACGTACCTCACAACGAAAAGGTTTCCAATCTCATGGAGCAATTCAAAGCTTTCTTTGAGTGCTGCAACACCCCATTTACCAACAATGTCATGGTACTTGGTAATATCCCTTTTGTATAATTAGTAACTTCCCCACGGATTTAGGGCAAATAGTCTTACTTCGATAGCATGATACCACCCGCTTGGTTAACCTGATACTTCTTCAAGTGGTCAAGCAGAAGCATTCTGAAACCAGAACCGATCTCATTCAAGAATCCGTCTAAATTTGCGCCATCAAGGGACTCTTTGGCAACTTCATACACCTTCTGGAGGAAAGCGCAAACCGTTTGACAAGCCTTATATCTGGGTGAGCTAAACCCCCACTAAGAGATATTCCCCATATTTACTTACTGGCGTTTGAAGAGTTGTCAAACTGACTTCATCGTCCTTCGGCTTGAAATCCGATTTTTTCTGTTTGCTAAGCAATACTGTGACGTAGCTTATTACCACTTCATACCATTAGTAATCGCTTAAAAGTCCTTGAATATTGGTAACATACTATCAACAGTCCTTTGAATAATATTATTCACTTTCTGTTCCAGATTTGCCAGTGTAGTGTTTGTTAACTTGCTCATTTCTCTTCTAACAGTAAGAGAAGTTTGGGCCAGGGGAATCAAGGCTGTATTGATGAAAGAAAACATCAAATGCATAATTGTGGTAGCGGGCTTTATCTCCAAAAAGTAGTTTAGATCTGGTTCTCCTTTTGTCTGACCTTCAGCAGTTTCCAAGGCACTTATAAACATTTCTCTGTCAGCTAGGACCAAAACTCCACTTGAAAATCGGTGTGTACTTACGCATCAAGGGCAGTGTCCAAGTACATAGTTCGCATGTTGTCGATTAAGAGATTCAATAGTACGGTGACGTCCTTCGGCCTATGAACGGAATGAGTATTTGGCAACCCCCCAGGAAATAAAAACATTAATCATACGTATCAGCCGGAGTGCTCAGCTCAAGACTTCTCCCAACGGCCTCGGCCAGCCACTTTAGCATTCTTTTCGCCGATTCTACGTTTAGTTTACCATCCGTTTCCGATATGACGACTTCCGACAATTGGCCGGTTTTCCCAGATTTACGCTCGAGGCCGATAATTCGGCTAAGTGCATCGCTTTGGGATTTTCCAAGATCGCTATCAAGAACTTTCTCAATTGCCCTTTCTCGTGATTTTTTCAATCGGTCAAGAACTCCGAGATTTTGTTCCTTTTTCCGTTGTTCCTGGGTACGCAGTTTGATGAGTTTCCAAATCGACTCAAGCCTCTCTCCACGAATGTCTGGCAGGGAACGAACATGAAACATGCCAAATTTCAATAAGATCCCGGAATAGAGTTGCTCCAGAGATTCCTTTTCTTTCTCCATATATCCTCTGTCCTGGAGGAAAGGTACAAATAGTTCTTCGACATTCTGGTCAATTAGCACAGTCGTAGTAGACGATAAGGGCCCGGGATGCTCTGTCAAGCCGTGTGCTTTGAGGTCATCTGCTAAAGTATTGACGCATGCCCTAGATGCTTGTAATGTACGGAGGAATGCTAATGGTGACAAAGTGGATGTCTTATCTAGAACCATCTCAAGCCTCTGCTGTAGCGACTGTTGGAATACACGCTGTAGGAATGTACCAAGCACTTGCTCTGGGAAGGGGAAAACATCCTTTATAGTGATAGACTCCGCTTTCATTACGTCTCGTATCTCATTTACCAAGGCCATCAGACTTGGCTCAAGTCCTGGTGAACCTTCATCAGGGTCGGATAACTTTTCCTCCCTACAATATTGTCAACAACTTAAGCCCAAGGATCCATAGCGGCACTGTTTTTAGTAAGATAGAAAGCAAATTCTCACACTGTGGTTTCAATAACAACTTCCCCAGCATTTATCTTTCCAGTTGCGATAAAAAAGTCCATTTGATTAAGGAAATTGCTAATGACAGAATTGCCGCCATTGAAATCATGGAGCACTTTTGCACATCCCTGATAACATTGTCAGTTTCCAAACCCTCCAAAAGCCTTAACCTGGAGAAAGATTCGACCTTCATAGATTCGATATTGAACTTCCTATAAGCATCGTCAAATTGTCTTAAGAGGTCTTGTTCCAATGTCTCTGAAAATGCCTCTATAAGCTCTTTCGTCCGAGGATTCGTTCCAGGGCCTTCAGTCCTTTTGACGATCAAACTCAATTGCCTGCTAACGACAGCACACCTGATGCTATCCTCAATTCTGCCTGTCCTCCTCAAGCTCTCCAATCTTCCCATATCTCCTCTACTAAATTCAGTATAGCATTGTATCAAAAATTTGGCGTCCTCCGCTCTCTGACGTTGTTTATCAAGCGCTTCTAGCTGCCCTCCAATTCTTACTGCCATACCTCCACCATCAGATATACTGCTGTCCAGGCGTTGAAACTCGGCTAAGGTAGAGTTAAATTTAAGGCCTAAACGCTCCAGAGTACGACTGTGGTCAATTTCTGCCCGACGTACTCCTTCCTTCAATTCTGATTCCTTTTCTGAAAGTGTCTCGTCTAGGTCTTTGAGGCGTTCTAGGGCGGCCTCGAACGTGCGAATATAGGGCTTTGGATCGAAAGCTATAGTAAAGTTAGCTCCTAAACTTATACTCAGTCTTCTAATACACTATTCACCATTAGATGGGACCCCGGAGCGGCGGTTGATAGCTCTACTGGTTTCTGTAAGGCCCTCTATGAAGTCTTTGACAATGAAGTCTTTGCTCTGGCTAGGCGTCAGTAGATCTCTCCCTGGACCATGAACGTTCTAGCTAGACTGACCGAAAATGTTGACAACGAGAATGCCGCGGGCTTTGGGTAGATTGATCGCGATCCTTCAGTGTTGTTCATCTTGTCGGTCTTAAAGATCGGTAGTGCTCGAGTGCTGTGGTTGCTTATCGTCAAACGCGGCTTCAAGGGTGGACTACCTAGCTACATGTAGTCAGGTGACCAATTAAGGGCATCACAAAACATGCCAAGATTATCACAGCTCTATATCTACTGTTAGACACCTCAAGATTATGGAATTTGAAACCTAGATCTGTACTTTCTACGTGCAAATAGAATTAACTAAAGATCATCCTTTCCACAAGCCGTATTTTTGATTTTTAAACTAAAACTAGGAATGAAACACTGCACACGGCGCGTTGCGGGCACAACCCCCGGTCACAGCCAGAGACAGACCTGTTTTTTTTGTTTATCGAGCTATCAACATTACCCAATTCAATCAACATTATCACGATCATTTAAGTTCCTATTCCAAGACTAGAAAGAATGGCCTTTCGATCAAACGCAAGTCTCAATACTCCCCTATAAACCACTTCCTTACTAGCCTTTTCACGCCCTATCCCCATTTGTGGAGGCAATATGCTTCAATGGGTAGTACCAGCCGACATCTACTACACCCTAACTTCTTAGCAAGCTGAAGCATATTTTGGTTTTTCCTAATACATTATATCGATCCAGAAAATTTCCAGTCTCCGTCCTCAAAAGGGCCCACCCATGTCGGCTTTTCACAAATGATAGTTCATTCCGGATCTTGTTCTCCCAGTCAGCGCAAAAACAAAAACAACAACAAAGGGGGTTTCTACCAATTTGGACCACCTGAAGTCTCAGGTCTAAAATTTCTTGATTACAATGTAGTCACTTGTACTAAACCCTGGCCCCCGTGAGCTCACTACAATTGAATACATGTACTTATTTACATGCGGTGGTCGGGATATCGCATGGAGTGAAGGGTCTAGCTTCTGCATAGCCCAACCTAAGGGCTTTCTTCGGGTTGATGGCTTTGAATGAGAGGAAGATAATGACCGTGTTTCCTTGTCTGTGCACCGATTCATTGCGTCTGTTCTGTTGAGGCAAAGTGCAGAAATACTTGGTGCTGGTTTGCTGGATTTACTTCACCAAATATCCAAATAACACCAAAGCTCAAAGAATTTTGTTATGCATGGAGGATCAACATTACTACTAATGGAAATCCTCGAGACTGATCAATATCCTTCAGCCAATTGTCAAAGGAGATCGAGTTTTTGCGGTACACCTTTTTAGATCCGATTATTCAAGAGGCTCATTTATTCAGAGATTTTAGCCAACCGCAAAATCGCTGAGATGAGAATGAGTAATGGATTGATTTGTTATCAGTGACAAAGAGTTTTGATGATTTCTATTACACCTACACATGTAAGCCTGGTATTGATGTAATTCTCCGGAATTCCCAGTAGGAATTAAATGTCTGTAGATACTTGATTGATCCAGAGCATACCCAAAAGAAATATTCCATTAAAATAGCGATATGTTATCACTCGTTATCATCCTCCACTGCCATAAGCGTTAGGAAAATGTATAGCAAAACCTGCTGAGTGGATAAAATAATGGTTGAAACATACCAATGACATCCATATTTTTAAAGACGCCCTTCGTCTTTTTATCTGCCCCACTACTTCCTCCTGCATGTTCCCTATCTTTTTCCCTCTCGTTTCCATTCGTAGCTGACTCTCCATCCTCTCTCTCCTTGCCTTTCCCCTTTCCGTCTTTTCTCCCCTTCAAAGATGGGGCTCGACCAATTCCCGAGTATCCTATCGGCGGAACACTTCGACCCTCGTAGTATGGTCGCCAATTATCCTCCTCGTACAAATGCATGAAGGTACCACTTGGGTTCTCGTGAAATGTTGGCAGAACTGGGAATTCGGGAACAGGCTCTCGACGAGGTAGCGGAATGTAAAGCCGAGGGTGGGGATTCGCCTCTTGCGCGGGCTTCTTTCCCCAGAAAATGCTGGGTGCACAGCCCATCTTGTTAAATATCCAGCACTGTGTTGTGAATTGTGGGCCTTGGGAGCTAGCAAGAATCGGTAAGATTGATGAGGAGAGTGTTTTCTGATGGACTCTTCATGATTTGGTGAATACCTATGTTTATGGTAGTTGAAGTTCACGAATTCAAAGGGGGGCTCTTGTGGAATTCTATTGCTCTTTCCTGCAAACATTGACAAGATCACATCATATGCTATCACTCGTGACTGTGCCACCCGTGCCACAGAAAACACGTGCTACAGGCTATCAGATGCAAATAAATACATGTAGTTACTAACCTAACCCGTTGAGGCAGACTGTTGACAACAATAATTTCGATGTGTTATTATTTCTTCATTATTGGATGCTCCCACTCAAAGCTGAAATTCAACAGGCGATAGTACTCGTAAATTCATGAAGTTTCCGAACACGACTGCTATTGCATACCATACAAAAAAGCGCCAAATCCACCTTTTTGTATGTCATGCAATATTAATCGTGTTCGGAAACGCTATGAAGCTACGAGTAGTGGATTCTCACAGTGTGCCATAGCCCGGAATTTCCAAGCACCATGTGCATGAATAGTATCATAATGATAGGTATTAACAAATAGTAGATCATTACAATGACGCATAAGTCGGCCTGCAGATCGGAGTTCATTTATCGATCACAATGTAAACAAAGGACTGCAGCTAACAAAACCAAAACAAGATCACGGAAATTAAATGTGTATTGTTTTCGGTGTATTCGAAAAGGTTCGTTAAATATCGTTACAGATAACAGCAATACTCGACAAATTTGCTTCCGAGTGTCCGCCTCCAAAAAAATAAAAAAACCACCATGCCACCCATGTAAACTGGTCCATCGGCGCTTCGGAGCTATGGAAGGATACCATAGCTTGGAAGATAATAATGCACCGCACCGAACGGTATACTAACAAACGCTGAAAGTATAAACAAGAAACGAACTTGCCAATGAAAAACGAGCACCGAGAAAGAAGGGGACTGGTATAAAGGAGATCGTTAAAGGAGGTATGGCAAAGAAAAGAGAAACGAAAGAAAAACTCCGAAGAGGCGCCATTGCGAAGGAAAACAGCAAAGGACATCTCTATATAGACAAGTTAACCAAAATACTGGAAAATAAAAAACCACATGTACCAACCAAAGTTAAAGATAGAGCAAGTACGCAGGAATAAAGTAATAAACAAAACAGAGAAGACACCGCCCAAAATCCACATGAGTAAAAAACACAAGACGCAGGACTCCCGTTGTAAGATTTTTATAAGAGTTCCCAATGTTAGTGTTTCGTCATCACTATCCTCAGTCGCCCGATAAGGCATCGTTCCTTTCGTCCCAATGACGGCAATGCAGAAATGAAATAGAGAATAATGCTGGTAAGAAAATGTGTCAGAAGTAAAGAGATGACATAGGAAATAGAAGATTCGTCTAATCGTCGTAAATAGTGCACAATCAGCCGCCTTGGAACGCAGCAAATGACTTAAACCCAGAAAATACTCCAATCACACCAAAAAAAAAAAAAAAAGAAAGGGAAAGGGATATAAAACTTAGAAATAGATAAAAATAGATAATTTAGTAAAGCCACTCTCCACTTTCGGCTCCACCATTGCCCTGGTCGAAGCTTAATCGTGGGAGCTCAACTTTAAGCTCTTCCTGCTGTTGTTGTTGCGCGAGCTCCTTCTTCTTCCTCCGCTCTCTTCTCGCCTCTTTGTCATTAACCTCTTTGTGATGGTAGACTCGCTCAAACCTTGGCCCGAACCGTACATCGGCCACCTCCCAATCATCAGCAGCGGCAGCGGCAACCCATGTCTTAAGCCCCTCGTGGAGAGCTGTATGAAGTTTTTCCTTGCAGGTCCGTAAACTGCCACCCAGTGCTTTTTCCCACCCAGAATTTCGGAGATCAAGTCGAAGATTGTTCCTCTGTTCTCTGGTTTCCAGACTCGCAATACATGCGTTCAAAAGATCCAAATGATTGGCAAGATAGTTTGTTGCCTCCCATTCGACCCCACCCACATATGGGGCGGCTGGAACCGGTGGGCGTTCAGCGGGGAAGTGAAGTGAAATGTAGCTTTCACGTTCACTAGCGGGGTTGTAGGAGGTCGGAAGAGGAATTACATTTGTCCCATGCAGGAAAATCCAAAAGACTTCTTTAGTAACATTAACGACCTCTTTGCACCATCTCTTGTAAGGTCTTCTTGTATGTGCTGCTTCAATGAATTCGATTGGACGTTTGTCTTCGTTTGGAAGTTTATCCGCAAGGTATTCCAAGATTCGGCGAGCTCGTTCAGGACGTTGACTAACAGTTGCAGTAGAAAGATGGGTGAAAAGCAACTGAATGATGAGGCCACGAGTGGTGAATTCTGATGGGCCCTTTTTCTCCTCATCGAATAACAGCTCAATTAGACGTGGAAAGACTGTTTCCTCCATATCTAATAGCTTTCTGAGAGCTGATGTGGCGGTGCAGAGAGCTTTAAGACAGAGAAGGAGCTCGTGAAGCAACATATCCTCATGCTCCTCCCTAGACAGTACAGTTAATATCTAATCTTTGATCATAGGTCAAAATGTGATAAATACCTCCATTCAACACCGAGAACACGTTCAAGGACACCCCAAACCGCCTGCATACCCCCCAACTCAACGAATTTTTCCACCCATTTTAGACGTTCGTTTCTCAGAATCAGTCTGAGCTTATGTAATTTAGCGACTTCAACGTCCTTCATACCCCTTTCACCGCTCCCTGAAGGGCCCTTTCCATCAATGTCTTCTGCAAACATCTTGTTGCCCATGTTCTTTGGTATTCCAGCTTCCTCTAGCCACTCGACCCATTCTTCTGGTATGAGAGTTGCTACCATTACTTGAGGCGTAGGACCATTATTCATGGCCGAGGCTGCTGTAACAGGCGGAAAAATCACACCCTTTACTCTCATACTCTTTTCAAGAGGGGGAGCTACCTCAGCAGTCTTCTTTTTGGCAGGCGAGCTTGGTGCCGTTGTTGTACTAGAATGTTCCTTTTCTCTTGAAGTGCCAACAAATGTGCGACTTCTTGGACGGGCTTTCTTAACAGGACTTGGCGGTGCTGGTGGACTCACATCCAATCCTTTGGATGATTTTGGCCTAGCCTCGGTCTTCATGTTATGTGATGTTTGAGGTCTCTTCCCAAAGATACCCATGCCCGCAAAAGATGCGGTGTTCTTTTCCGCGGATTTCTCCATCTGAGCCTCCTTACGAATGAACTCCTGTTTAACCCTAATATCAAGACTGCGCATGCGATCGCGCATGTTCGTTGGGACGCCGCGGGAGTCCTGTTACAGCTAGTATTAGCAGGCATGATTTTTTACCGAGTGATAGAACATGAAGTGTGGATAACAAACAAGTAATGCTTCAAACGCAATATCAATGCCGGCCAAATCTAACCCTGCACCAGTTTTCTCGCTCTTCAGGCTACCTTGACTGCTGGTTGATGAATTCTTGCTGCTGCTGCTGCCGCTGCCGTCCTTGGATGCATCAGGTCGCTTCTTTTCCCAGCCCTCTCGTAGCTCGAGACTGGTCCTTCTTGGAGAATCTGCACTATGCCCAGTTGAAGCTTCTAATGAGGGTATATAGGCGCTCTTTGGTCTTTGCTTGGCAATGCTGTTTGTCGTATTTTTAGGAACCAGTGTAGGCTGTTCGTTTGGTTTATAAAAATTCCGCTGGGATGCAGGTGTGTATTCACTCGGGGTATATTTCTTAACGAGCTCTTCTGTGTTGCCCCGAAGGTGTTCAGTACTAGCCCGATGTTCAGTACTGGTGCGCTTGTCGGCAATGTCTCGTTTCTTAGGGCTCAGTGAGGATGAGGATCCCGTGGAGGAGCCAGACGAGCGCGGCGCAGGGGGCAGTGGTAATGTAGGTAGAAGATTACGAGAAGTTCTTGAAGACTGCTGAACCGTTCGCGGATTAGTTGTAGGAACATTTCCAGATCTGGAACCTTGCGCATGCGGGTGATTTTGCGGCAATGTGAAAAGCGGTAGCCCAGGGGTATTGCTAGGCCCGTTACCAACAGAGTTAGGCTCCGTGACAAACCCGGAGCCTGCAGAAGAACTAGGGGTTAGTTCCGGAGTTGGTCTTTGGTTCTCTTTATCTTTGAACATAGTTTTGAGATCATGCAAAGATTTTTTGTTTTTATGACCCTTCAGAATAGAAAAATCAATCGTGCTCCTAGACTTATTCGGCTTTTTTTCGGGTTTCACAGAATTATGATCGCCATGAAGGAGGTCTAACACTGTTCCTCTGAGATCTAAGCTCTCTCTTATAGACCTAGTGGGGGAACCCGCGGCCGTAGCATCCTTCTTCGTCGTGAAAGACGAGATAGACAGCGAAGAAAGAGACCGTTTGTGACGAGCGTGTTGAGCAAAGGGGGCTTGCGGCGGTTCCAAAGGTGGCAAAAAGGTTGAGGTATCGAGAGGTGGTAACTGTGGGGGGGGTACACGAGAGCTGCCGACCATATAGGTGTTAAGAGGGTTGGAAGTAGTGGTGGATTGAGACGCAGTTTTTTTGTGGGAGGACTTGTTGGGGGAAACAATCGATTTGAAGATCGAGGTGGCTGTCCGTTTATGGTTAGGTGCGATAGGTGGGGGAGCCGTGATAGTTGATACCGGTGCCATCGCGGGAGCCATCTCGGTTGGAGAAGTTATAAAAAAAGTGTGGGTAGCCGTACTTTGATGTTTGTATCCAGATTGCAGAGTCTAAACAAAGGCGGGGGGGACTGAGCAATTGCAGATGCAATTGAAACGAATATAGCCAGCCAGCTCTCTGAAGACCTGCTCAGAATAAAGTACGAAATAAGGACAGAATCGCGAAATTTGGGGCAGAGTGTGGGGAAGGTAAGTTAAGGTAAGGAAGGCGATGGACTGAAAAGCAAAGGGGCAGGCGGGAAAGGGGCTGAAGAAACCCGTTGAGACACCACAGAAGTCAACAACAAAGATTCAGTCAAGCGAAGGAACGATATGATGCAGTCACGGGGGGGTTGAACAAGGAAGAAGGGAGAAGGGGAGAAGGGAGGAATGGATAGAGTAGACGGGGAACCGAGGGGATAAGTAACAAACCGGACACCAGAATGTACCCAAGCTGCGAGGTTCTTGCAGGTCCCGCCCGTTGTTTATCACACTGAGCTGGCAGGGAGGGCGCGGCTCTATTGCGGTTGCCACAGTAACAAACTTCAGCCCCGCATCCAAACAGATCCAAAGCCCATCCCTCCATTCCGCATAGGGGTTAGTCTGATCAGGCTGTGGTCGTCTCCCAGCAACCGGCACCCCTCTGTTTTTTTTTTTTTCGTTGTTATGGCACTGTTGTTGGCATCTCATGCTGTCCTCCTCTTCTGCTGCATGCACTGCATCTCTCAACGGCCTGTCAACCATTCCGTCGCTTCTCGTTTGTCCATTTCTTATCAAATCAGAGTGCTCGAAAGAGAAGCCGTCCCGCCGCCGAGAGTGCACAATGTAGAAACAAGCTTAGACATGGGACACTTAAAGAGGGATCTCTACCTAGCAGAGTTCAGAGCCCGGAGAGAATCCACGCTACTAGAGAGCTATAGCGGCACTACCATACTCTATTCTACTCTGGACGAACATGTGCACTTCTATCCACTGGTATTTTACTCTAGATTGAGAAGTACCTACATGAACCCGTAAGAGCAACCCCCAACCTAGCAGGGTGGGATGTTTACGTGGTGTCCTTCGAGTCTGCAGAACGACATGTATTGGTAAAACACTACCGTAAATACCGGTTATACGAGACTGCATTTATACCTGGATACATGTACAGTGGCCCTACAGCATCGACGCACTGACTTAACTCGAGGGGTTCCAGGCTAATGGTGATACGCATACCCTCTTAAATCTTTGCCTGCACCTTATTCAGGAACCAAAAAAAGCAAGCATGTAATTCGGTTGTCTGGGGAGCGAGTCATCATGCTGTCAACGGCGGGACCACACTAAAGAGAGGAGCCACAAGAATGGAACTGGAACAATAATAATCACCCCAGACAAGACTTTGAACAGCGAAGAATCCCCCCCCCCAACTCCTATGATGACAGAGACCTCCCCTCCGCCTTCAAGTTACCGAACTGCCGAAGAAGGATCTTTTGCCGGGGATCTTCCCGACTCATCAGCAGCATCAGGCGATTCCGTTACTCGGGTCAGCTCTGGGAGAACAATCCTCCTCCTCGGTGCCCCCCGTGCGTCCACCCTTCGAAATCTGCCGTTGATAGACTTCGACAGCGATGACAACAACAAAGAGGACCTCCCCGCTTTCTGGGGCCAAACCAGCGGCAATGTGGATCATGTGACATCAACCTCCCTGCCAATCCCCTCCGCTACGGAACATCCCGCGGTTTGGCGAATATTACCACTGAAGCGAAAATACCTACATACCGGGTTTTCACAGCGTCCTGAGGTCCACACCCCTACTCATCTACGTCGAGAAGAGTTCAGCCAGGACTACAACTCTTCTATTGACCCCTCTTCGACTACTTCCACGAATGGAGACGACGATCTTAACCGCTCATTCGCGGTTCATAATATGCCCTCTTCCCCAGTCGCCGGCCCGTCAGATCTCGAAGCCTCCTTTACTAGTACCGCCGCTGCCTCATCTTTCTCGTCAATCACAGAAACTCCAGCTCCACCTCCAATGCTCTCAATTATACCTTCTATGGCATTGACCAATTTGCAGAACCTCCCAACTGCGAGCTACCTTAAATCTATTGTCCCCCAAACAATGAGTATTTCAGCAATCGTCGGGATAATACAAATCTTCGAGCCACGCACATTTACCACGAAACGTTACGGCACGCAACTAACCATACAGACCCTCTTGGTGGGCGATGAAACGTCTGCTGGCTTCAAGTTGGACCTATGGCTACCCAACGGGAAGCTTACATCCGCAGGTGAAGCCTTTGTAGCCACTGTCGATTCACTGCGCGTTGGAGACATCATACTAGTTCAGAACATGGCACTTGGCTTTTGGGACAACCGAGTCAATGGGGCAACATTGCGTAAAGATCGCACTCGGATCGAGTTGATATATAGAGTCAATTACTCTGGTTCAAGGGAAAGACAGCAGTGGAGAGCCGTAGATCTAGAACGTGTATCGGAAGATAGAAGCGGCGTTGAAAAGGTCAAGAGGGTTCTGGAGTACGTAAGAAACTTTGTTGAGAGGCCGGCAAAAAAGATAAAAAAGAAACCCGTTGAAGTGTATGAAGAGGAGGAAGACACTTAATTACTGGTGATACACGGTGCAGTACACAGCTCTGTAGGTGTTTAAGACTTGAGCTCCCGCAAGCAATAACTATTAATTGACCATATCTGGCACAAACTATCTACTTTCGATTAAGAAGTTCTGCAACGAAGAGCTAGTTGCATTCATACATATACCTATCCCAAAGTGTATACGCAGAACTATGAGCCAAAAGGGCTGTTTTACCTTGAATTACTAAATCAGGCATCCTCTCTCGGAGATTAAATGTCGAGATATAAGCATAGAATCAAATACCGCTATCTCCAGCCAGGTATTATCGCTCGAGTGATTGGCTGGACGGCATCAAAAGTTTATTATAGATCTCTGGTAGTTAGATCTCTCGAGTTATGTATGACGGTTCGTCTATAGATCTATAAAAGCCTGATCAATGGCACACTATTAGCTGGAGAATCTACAATTACAATCTAATCGCATTTATCTTCTATAAAAAGGGTCAGAACGAAAGCTCATCTCGGAAATGGCGGGTTGCGTAGGCCAGGAACCTAGCGAGAGGAGAAAAGTAAAAAACGCAAAATAGAGATAGTGAACCCTCACTAACATGCAAAGGAACATCCATTTCCCCATGTCCCAGAGTAGTTTGCTGGAGAGATGCGGCTGGTAGCTCCTGCTGAAACAACTAATAGATCTAGATATTGTAAATCTTTAAGCCTATTAATCAGCTGCGATTCCAAAAAACGAACACTAGATTTCAGCACAATCTACAAGAAAGGGTAGTCAGCTCTCAGCAGGGACAGCTAGATGAAGGGTAATCCCCTCATCCCTTACAAAGTCATAGATCCAATGTCACTGTTACCAGGCCCAACGCCGTCAGACCAGGCTTAATCACAACCAAATTTACTCACAACCAAATTTGTGTGCCAATGACTAATTTCCCAGTTTCACACGGTACCAGATTTCTCCCCTTGCAGTGGCAAATAACACCGGGCTACTAGTTACTATCATCCCCTCGTTCGTCAGAGCAAAAGGGGAGACAAATTAGGCCCACGACGGCGTGGTGATATTCAGAAAATCTAGCTACCTACAGACTGTGGAGACACCAGAATAAGTGTAGGAGGGGTCACAGAAGGTGACTTCACAGCAAAAGAGGTTCACGGAGTGGGTTAGCATGATTAACTTGCCAAGTGCATGCCAAGCTATTGGTATTAGCTACATAAGCCTACCGGTCCGCTACCTAGCCAATGTGGTTGCCTGACCTGCTGGCCTGTGCGCTTCAACCTCATGACATCGCTCTCATCCTGCAGCTTAAGGTCCCCACATATCTCAGAACATGAACTCCCATTATCAAGAAGAGACAAAAAGGTCACGAAAATCTCTTAATTTCAGTGAAAATGAGGAGGAAGCGCCGCGGAAGAGGTCCAAAAGCAGCGAACTGAGTACGTTTGAAACGCACTTTCATTCCTTCCATTATTCGAATAATCTAACTTCCAAAAAATAGATACAGAACAAATTGTTTCAATATACGATCTCGTTGAAGAGTTGCAAGACAAGGAGGAAAAATTCTACAATGGAATCCAGAGACAGCTTGAGGTGTTCCATATATTACAGCAAGCCCGATATGAGGAACTTAAGAAGGATATCTACAATATTAAGCGAAGGTTACCAGGGGAGAAGATTTTAAAGCCTAAGTATGAGACTAGCAGACGAGAGTCTTTTAGTGCCGAAAAAAGATCACTAAAATCCGATTTCTCATGCACTGGGTCTCCTGAACCACAACCTGAGACGGAACGCTCAAGGTCACCAGAAAAAGTCCGTTCACCAATAAGGAACAGGAATAAAACAGAGAGCCCATTCTCGTCCACTAGGGCGGCTTCACTACCACCGCCTTCCCCTTCTCCTCCTCCCACCTCTTCTCTTTCTCCTCCTCCTCGGCTTTCTTCTTCTCCTCAACCTCCGCCTTCTCCTTCTCTACAACCACCGTCTCCCCCGCCTCCTCCACAATCCGAACGTGCACGCCGGAAACTCCCCAAGAGAAACTATGAGCCAAAGCTCTCCATTCCGGGAGATGATGGATTTATACTTCTACCCCCCAAATACGACGGTTCTGATGGCGAATTCGTTCCCAGCTCATCTCGCCGAGATCCTGATGATGAGCTTTCTCCCTATAACTCATCAACGAATCATGCCAAGAAGGGAAAATCAAAACCTCGGAAAAGCAGTATCAAAGGCCAAAGAAAGGAGAGCCCCAAAGAACTAGAATTGATCAGCAAGAGTATTGGTACACCTGGTATTGCAAAGAGAGAGACTTATCAAAGCAACCTTCTTGGATATTGGACGAAAGGGGCGAAAGGTGGCGAACCACACAAAACCGCACCCTCGAAACGTTCAGCTACCATCTCCCGACCTCCGCCTTCGCCTTCGCCTCCACCTACATCGCCGCCCCCACCTCCGCCTCTACTAGCGAAGTGGAGAGTTGAAGCCCCCAGGCTGTCGGCTTCAACAAATTAGGGCTTAAACCTTTCCTTTTATGTTTTGTTTTTCTCCTTATCTGAGCACTCGCTCTCCACAAGTACCATTTCCCAGTCTAAACCTCATCGCTATGGGAGTCTGTTGTTGCAATGTTCGCTAGCTATTTCTTACCACGCTGTTTTTTTCCTTTTGCCTTTGATACACATCACACCACGTTTTTTTTTCTCTTGAATCCCTTTCTTTTCACTGGCACACATATTTCTTTTTTCTTTACTTTTCGGGACATAAAACGATCAAACAATGAGAGAACCACATTTAAGTATGTACAGTACGCGCTTTAGTATGCCACAAAGGAGATCTACGGGGACTATAAAATTTGATGATTTCATATAGTTGCACGATATCAGAATAAGAATGCCTAACTACATGTACTTACATAGTATTTCTGGGTATTTAATAATGATGGGAAATGCTTGAGCTACTTTAGTTTATGGACAGTTATAGTAACCGTCAGAGCAGCAGTGCTTCCTTAAAAAGAGTGGGGTGTTTATAGTTTCCGGAGTGTGTAGGGAATTCTAAGTGATCCTTACTGTTTCTGTTCGGATACAGGGTGATTTTTGATGATTCAAACTACCGAGTGATTGCTCATGATTCTTAGCGATCATATTCCCCCTCCAGCATTAGTACCCTGTAACCCTCATGTGTAGGAAATTGAATGCTCACTAGAAAATACAACCCTCCTCTGATGATAGTCTAGATTTCGTGGCCGCATCCGAGATAATCAGCAATACCAGAATATAAGGACAAGTTTCCTTTCCTTTATACATACACGTGCACAGATTCTGATTTTACTACAGAGAAACCTATCATAATTCCGCCCTCTCGAAATTCCATCCCTACCAAACTTCTAGTGGTTGGAGGGAACATACCTGCAGCTTGTTAGCAAATACATCTCTCTAAACTCCATCCCTGCGATAATTCCAGCAAAATTCGGTCACCGCGGGGGTGGGGTTGTGGTAGGTTTTGCTGTAGTTCTAATTCAAATGAAGCCGGACGGACCGGGGTTACAATCGGACTCAACTAGAATACCAAAAGTTTTGGGGAAGAACTATCTGAAATGGTTGGAATAGCCAAGACAATCAACCCTCTCCGTTTAGTCGTATCTCCCTACCTATGATAGTGTGAACGTATGATGACAAGCCATACTACAATCAGAAATCACTGAATATCACTCGTACATTCGTATTATAGCAACAAAAGAAAATCTATGTAATATGATAATCCCATCCCCAGTATAAAGTCCAGCTTTCCCTTCAAATCTACTGCGCCGTAACCTCCCTTCTCCACGTCTCCTCTTGTCTTGTCCCCTGCGGTAGCCACCCGTTGGCGCCCGCTGCGCCCACATTCATCCCACTGATCTCGCCGTCTTTATCTGTAGCATTAGAAACTGCATACCCATTTGTGCCGCTCCGAGGCCGTCCCATGGGTATATTGTCTTTACTGCTGCTATTTGCGGAATGGGCATGTGTGGAGGGCAGCAGTGTATCGAGTCCCCTTGTTTGTTCAAGTTTGATGTGGCGCTCTTTCCGCGAGACATCCCCGGCTCGATCATAAAGATATAGGCCCAAAAAGCTGCATATTCGAAATTAACACCGGGATCCTAATCTACTAGGAGGTAAGGAGGAAAAACATACGTCAATCCAATTCCGACTGCTTGCACTGGGGTAGTCTTGTTCCCAAACCAGACGATTGCCATTACGATAACAAATATTCTCTTCACCAGACTTGCTACTGAGTACGTGACGGGAGATACCAGACTCAATAACACGAATGCAATGATATTCTGACCAAAATGTACTGTTCCGTTGAATATGAACTCGCCAATCAACCCCAACCCACTCAGCGGCTCCTCGCCATGCTTCCCTATCTGCACAACCAGTGGTACCCGCCCCTCACGTGCGTATGTGCTTAGTAGCTCGAAGCCCTCTGAGTAGAACCAGATGGGGGACGTCAACAAGAATGCCATTCCTGAAGAGTAGCAGAGAAGGTTGAGTTTGTCCAGCTTACGACGCGAGAGTGGGATTGATGGATCGGCGGCAGCGGACGACGACTCATTGAACAGCTTTTTAGAAAAGATGTTCTGTGAAACAAAAATCAATGCGCCGATGAAAGCGCAGAGAATTCCCCATAGGTTGCCATGGAATTCGACTGAGCAGGCGAGCATAACGCCGATAGTGAGGGGTAGGAGGGATAGGTAAGTCGCGGTGGAGTAGTGAACAGAGAAGAGGAAGCGGTAGGCGATGACCGTGAAGAGGGGGGACATGCCCTGTGTTTGGAGTTAGCCACCGGAAACATACCTTCTAATGAGGAAAGTAGTACCTTAATCGTATGAACTAGGCTGACAGGAATTTTCTCTGTAGCTATACTACTGGCAATATGGCCTCCAACTTGGAATAAAGCCAGCGGCGCAGTGGTTCCGATAATTGCCCTGGTCGGGAATCTTAAACCTCCGGATAGGCCGGGGATTGTCCGCAATGGTGTAAACTTTGCTAGGAGCGACAAGGTGATGCACCATGATGATACAAAGCCGAATTGTACAATTGTGAGTGTTACTGGCTGGGGGAACGAGTTAAGGATTGTTTTTGAGGAAGTGTTTGAAAGTGCTGATGAGAGGTACCTGCAGATCTCCGGAGATTTCCTGTTAGCTTGAGTGTGCCAATAAATGAATTCGCTTCACCATCAAATATAAGAAATGAGATCCTAGCTATCCCCAATAAAAAGGAACTCAACGATGCCACAGTCGGAAATCTAAACATGTGGCCCCGCGAACCAAACAAAACCAAAAAACCAGGGGGAATGTACCATATCAGACACAAAGTCTACACCATAGTCAGAACCAACAACAACCCAAGCGAATCAGTCATTTCCCCCAGTTGTACTCACAATAAGGTACGGACTCAGCGGGGCCTTCAAAGCATCTACGACCTCTCCTGCCGTGACACTTCCGGATCTGTTGCGGCCATATCGCATCCTACCGAGGACGTCGGAAATCTTTCGGGAGTGGGTGTATTGTTGGTGGTAGACTCGGGGGTGCCACTTGTCTTGTTGCTGCTTCCGCGTAGGCGATGTGACGCGGGTTGGGAGGATTGTTGAAGTCGAAGAGGAGGAGGGAAACTGGAATGTTGAAGATGATTTCGGAGAGCGTGTACGGGATAACATGACAGCTGTGGAGTGGTCTGGCTAATATATGGAGGGGACGCGTTGGCCCTGTCGCAAAGTGCAAAGACCCTGTGGTATAAATATGGAACTGTACCTGGACTCGGAGGTTACTCGAGTAGGTATTTGCGCAGATCTAGCTGATGATGATGATGATGATGATACAGATGAACGAGCGACAGTGGAGCGATTATCTATTGGTACCCAGACGAATAGAATCAAATGTCTTATATGAGCTGTAAGTGCACAAGAAGAATAAAACGATGGATGGATGAGGATCACTCAATTATTGTATCTACATGTAGGTAGGCTTCTTTTTGTGGGTGTTGCATTTGGGCTGTGTCTATTCTAGAAGCTGACATTTTCCGCAGGGGGCGGCTGACGCGGGAATGGGAACAAAGCCCGCTGCCGTACCTGCGTAAAACCCCCTTCGAGTCTTCGAGCTTCACACCCCACCTAAACGGATTGTGATTGGTTGATTCAGTGCTGTGGCTGGTTGCTACCAGCAGCGATTTAAATACCCATATATACTGCAGCTGCGTATAATTGAGCCCACTTTACAACACATTACACCTAATCATTTAGGCCTGAAATCGATCATTGTGGTTTGATTGAAAATCACAGGTATTTCAAAGTATGTACATGTATTCTTCTTTCAGTAAGCGGGTCTCTTACTAATCTCGGCACGAATGCTACTAACTAATCCAGGGTCGAAGATACATGTAGACTACATGTAGCTCATTTACAGTTCCTGGTCTAAAACATACAATAAGAGTAAAAATTAAGAAGGAGATATATACATGAGATAGTACCAGCACCTCTTAGATTTAATATCATCTTGACACCCCTTGTAAAATTTTTGATATTTATTGACTGTTCTTCAAATGTCAGACCCAGCAGTCCAGAATGGCTGCAGGTCCCGAGTGGCCAAAGTCTCTTGGCCTTGGCTACATGTACATTAATGTACATTAACAGTACCTTACAGAAAATTGGGATATTGCAGATCATTGTTCTATGATTGAAAAGTACGCAGCCAATGGCATTTATCTAAAGCCAAGTATGCATAGTCAGCCTTGGGACCCTGACCTCACGCGGGTTTTTGTAGAGTCGCGATGCCATCTCTCTAGTTTCCATGATATTCTTCATGAAAATCTTAGGTTTTGCCTTGCTTTGGTCATTTCCAATAGTGATGACCATATTGTCACATTTTACCACCTGCGAGTTGTATTAACCGGTACTTACAGTACAGCAACACCGACTACTATGTAAACCCATGAGTAAAAAAGAAAGAAAGAAAGCTATAATACAAACAAAACTTTTATCTACTACAATTTTCTTAACGCCTCCCTCACTAGTGCCCTCTGCTCATCTCCTGTCAAGTATTCGCTTTTTTGTATGCATGATCCTACACACAATGTGACCTTTGTATCCTCACTGTCAACCCACACCCTTCCATTTCTGCCCACCGCAATCTCAAAGGCCAGTACTCTTCCTAACTCCTCAAGCACTTCCATACCGTTTGAAATTTCCCCACCTTCGGCCTCAGTTCCTTCTGCTTTGCGTGCTCTCAACTGTAGTTGCCTGATCTTCTTCCCGTCTCCGAGGAGTCTCCTAGCCATCCCCAGAGAAACATTGAAGACCATGCCACCTTTCAGCTCGCCAAATCCTTCAGCTTTCTGTGATTCTGCGTCGTAGCATTCCAGCTCTGGGTCCATGTGCTTGTTGGCTAAAGAAACTCGTGCATACACAGTACATCCTGGATGGAGGATTGGGCGGGTCTTTTTGGTAGCCTGCGGGAATGCGAGATGTGGGAGAAGGGCCTGGATGCTAGCGGGGGCAGGCGAGGTGGAAGAAGGAATCGCAAGTATGTAGGAGTCAGATGTGGATCTGAGGACAGTAGCTATAACTGCGTCGTTGAGTGAAGGGATATACTGATGTGGAACATTAGTTAAGTGGGAAATAACACTAAAACAAATAAAACAAACCCTCTTCCCATTTCCTTCCATCCAAACGGCGCATTTCCTATCATCGACATGAAGCTCTCCAACCCTGTGCGCGACGACCTTGTCAGGTGGGGTATAAGTCAATCCCGGCCCGACTTTTAAAGCTGTATTTGTCTTCTGTGGGGTCGGAAGCTCCGGGACGACATCGCCGGGGAAAAGTAACATTGTGGTCATTTCTGTGTATGGTTGACAAGATTGATGTTGTTGGAATGTGGAGATTGAACCGTTCCAAAGTGATGCGCATCGACGGCTCGTATCGAAATTTCGACCTTCGCCTAACAGGGGAGGTCTTAGATCATGTGATTAACCCCGGGGGGGGGGAATCAATATGAAACCTCCAATTCGACACTTTGACAACGACCCAACGATTAACCGTGCAGCCAGATCTCCAACGAGTGCTGCGAGAAACAACGCCCCCCTCGGCCGGTTGAGCAAACTCTCCTCCCAAACTTCTTACGATATTCCATAACCTGTGGGACAAAGATACCCAACCCCCGCAGTCATAACTCCGGTCCTTTCGATAACACCACGGATTTCGATACAAGAAATTAAATGAGTTCTAAACAGCAGACCGTAGCAGCGGCTCTGACCGACTGGGTATGTGCTTTGTACTCACGCGTCATACGAGTAGGTGTGGCGATAAGGGATACAGAGCTGATTTTGAAGCATAGATCAACGCGTGCCCCATCGAGCCCAAGATATCAGATTTAAAAGAACTGAGCGATGGAGTAGTTATAGCTAAGGTCTTATGTATGTTTGTTTGCTTCTAGTATCTTTCCTGGCCGATACTGATGATGGAACAGTGGATATCGACCCCTACTACTTCAAAACGGCGGCCGCAAGCTCCGAGGGCGGGGGAGGAGCTCCACCCGGAGCTCATTGGGTTCTCCGATTTCAAAAGCTCAAGAAGCTACACAAAGAGCTAACCAGGTACTATACTGAGGCTCTTGGCCACAGACTCCCGAGTGCAGCCCCCAACTTGACCATGATCGCGAAGGACAGCAATGTGGAGGAGAGTATAAAGCTTGTCAAGATAATTGTTGCTGCTGCTGTTCAAAGTGATAGGAGGGAGGACTATATCAAATACATCCAAGACCTTTCGCCGATTTCCCAAACAGAGCTAATGGGAGTAATCAATCAAATGATGGAAATCGACGCTGCAGAAAAGATAAGGGTAGAGGGACCAGGGCCGGAACAAAGCAAGACTGAGGAGACGGATATGGACCAGTTTCGGATGGAGGAGGAAATGGCAAGATTGGTTGCGGAGAAGGAGGCTGTCGAGGCCAAGAATCGAGCTTTGGAGAAACGATTAGGAAGTCTACAAAGCGATTTTGATGAGAACCAGAGTCATCTGTTGGTGCTGCAGGATCAGCTTTCCAGCGGGGCGGTGGATCAGGGGTATGCGAATAGAACGGACCCGATGATGAGGAGCCAATTGGATCAGCTTCAGAGTGATGTACAGAAACTTGAAGATGTGATTGCAGAAAAAGAAAACACGATCCATGGACATGAGAGTGTTATTTCTTCCCTCAACAGGCGCGTGGATGATCTACTACCAAAGGCGGAAGCGGGGATGAAATATAAGGATGATCTGGATGAGGCCAATCATACGATTGATAAGCTCAAGAAAGGCCAGAATGTAGCTGAAAAGTACCGCAGAAAGCTCGAGGGAATGGGAGAACTTGAACGACAGGTTAAGGTAAATACCACCCATATATTTTCTACGATTTCTCTAAACTTTATCATTTCTCCAATATTTTGCTCCGTTCCTCACATGGCCTTTTTCTGGCATGAATTTAGACTTTAGAGCAGCAGCATGCTTCGATACTTCAAGATCTCCATGCCAGCCAGGAGCATTCAAAGCAGGTCCCCAGTCTCAAGAGGATTGTTGAACAATATAAGAAGCAAATTGATAAAATGGAGACGGAATATGCCGAGTTATTACGACACAGGAATGCTTTGGATGTAGAGCGTAACGTACTCAAGGAAAAGGTTCAAGGTGCCGAAAGCCAGAAGAGCAGAGACATGGAGAGGATACAGTATCTCGAGGAGAGGGTCAGGGAGATGGAAACTGGCGTTATCCCACAAGGCTCGGAACATGCCAATGGTGATTTAAATTCGGAATTAACCTTCTCGACAAAGACAAAATCGGACCTGTAAGTGCCCCTACTGATTTTGATTTGCAACAAAATGGCTGCTATGTTGCCACGAGGGCTTTATTCTAATGCGGACCACCAGCAAAATGCAAATTGCACGACTGGAAGCAGAGCTCAAAAACCTGAAGGAAGGTGGTGGAGTCAATGCAGATAATATGATGTTACAACAACTACTCGACGACGCCACTCTAGCTAAGAATAAACTGGAGCAAGATTTCCTAGTAGCCCATACTGACAAATTGGTTCTTGAGGCGCAACTGACTGCTATTCGTGGAGGTACTTCAGTCGAGGGGTACGTCCGTTCTAAATTCAATGCCCGGTTTATGCTTGTATTTGCATTAGAGAGAATTCTTGCTCAAAGATAGTTTTTGGTGTTTGGTTCATTCAGGTCCGATGTCATGTTGAGGCTGCGACAAAGCCTGGTTGATGCTGAAAAACAACTCTCCGAGTATAAATTGAGGTGTTCGGAAGTGGAAGCCGAGCTTTCGGCCACAAAGAGAGAACTCGTTACTGCACAGTCTGATTGTTCGTCCAATCCCAATCCCGACAAGCCACACTTCTGAGACCCCATAAACTAATGCATGTGATCACGGGAAAAATAGTAAGCCTTGTCGATAAAGATAAACTTGAAATCCTTGCAGAGCTCAAAACATTGGTTGGAGCTGAAGTCATTGAGCTCCGTCAAGAGCATGAAGAAATGAGAATCAAAGTACGGGAGCTTGAAATTGACGTTGAGCAGAAGAAATCTCTCCTCAACACTGTCCTCCTCGAAAAGGACGAAATTTCAAAGAAGGTCTCGGAACAAAAGGACCTCATGCTTGAAAAGGAGAAGTCCAATAGCGAACTTAAGGCTACCATCGCTGCATTTACGGGATCTACGGAGGGTAGAGACGGGGCATTGGAGAAGAGAGTGATGCAGTTGCAGAACAAACTGGAGGATCGCAGGGAGAAGATGACAAAGACCCGAGAGGTATGCGCGCGGAAGTACTATTACATCGTTCGAGAGAATCAGAAAAACGATTGGAAAAAGGATTTTTGGTTTCGACGGGTAGTTGCTGATGCGGGTACCGGAACAGCACATCAAAAAGCAGAACGGAATCATCAAGGATCTGAAAGAACAGCTCGAGCAGGCAGTCACAAGCACCACGGACGCGAACGTCAAAGCAAAAGAGGAGCAGCTGGCCGAGTTTAAGGTCGGTTCTTCATCATTCCTGCCTGACGATATTATCTGACAACGGTTTTGTGCGTCCAGAGGAAGAAGAATGAGGAGTTAGCCTTCCTCGAAAGAGAAAACACTCTAATGGCAACAGCTTGGTATGACCAAGCTAGTCGCTTGCAGATGAACAGCTTTGTCCTTCAGAGGATGGGCGACTCGCCATCTAGCTGGCTGAACAAGCAGAGGAATGCGATACACAGCAGCAAAGTACGTCGACGCAGTCCACCCTCTATACTTACCTTTCTTCCAATCTTTTTGTTTCACTTTACTGATGGTAAGCATTAGAAGAAATAAACACCCCTAACCCCACTCACTCAAGTTTGTAATGTGCAAGGACCCTCTCTTTCCACATCTACATGTATTCCCCCATCCCCTTTTGTAAACACTTTTTGGTGAGTTATGAAAACAAAGTAATAGGATAGGTTACGGATATTGCCCCTGTATTCCCTACCTGGTATGTCTTTGTGGAACCCCTAATGAATACCCCCTCTCGCCGTCTCTTTACCTACTGTACCCTTTTGTCTTTTGTCTTCTTTTTATTTCACCTTTTTAGTTACGTATTTCTGAATCTGCGTGTGGAGGGATAAAGAAACCTGGGGCTGGAACTGGGAGTTGAGGTTAAATTCGATTTCGTACCTTTTTCTACTTTTCTTCTCTCTTTCCTTGTTACTTGTTCGATCAATAGAGGAATGAAAAATCTTTCTCCTTTTTCTCCTCCTTATTGTTAGTTTGTAGAAGGAATGAATGGCTCTTTTTTTTCTTTCTTTTCCTTTCGATGTAGAAGAGGCCGGCCTCTGCATTTATTAACAATTGTACCCTTCTTTCTCCCCTGTACCATATTATATTGGATTGATAAGGTGCGGGAATTCAACAGAGAGTATAATAATCTTAGGCCACTCGTTTCCATCTTCTGCGGATATTTATCGCTCTGGATTATAATTCTTTTTTTTCTTCTTTATTTTTGTATTTGTTTTCTCTCTGATCTCTCATTATAGCAAAGACGTATCGTATGGCTCCCCTAACCCTAGGTTTTTCCCCGAAATCCTGGTCCATAGTGTTTCTAGAAATACATACCGCCGTTGGTCTAATAGGTATTCATCATGATTCCTCTAAATTTCCATAACAGTATATTTTTTGTGTGTGTTCAGTGGGTTTTTCTTTCTTCTCCTTGTACCTGAATGGTAAGCTTAAACCCACTCCACGGGCTTCTTGAGTATATTCAGGAGACGATCCTCCTTGGAGCCTGGTGCTGGTGCGTGCATGTATTGCCACCTAGCAGTCAGTGGAAGTGACATGAGGATTCTAGTTCATGCCAGTGTAAGTACGGGTAGGTATACCGTCTCTAGCAAAAAAATGAGTCATAAACCTACGATTCCACACGTGCGCCAGGGGTATTGAGCCCAAAGGCGGTGCCTCTGTCATGGACCAGGTTGAACTCGACATATCGCCCACGGCGAATCTGCTGCCATTCCTTCTCCTCGGGCGTGAACGGCATGTTCTATGCACAGCCTGTCAGCCCCCAGTACTTACCAGTGGAATAAGATGCGCATGTGTGGGGGGTGGGGAGACAGACCTTTCGCTTCTCGATGATTGGCAGGTAGCTGGGGAGGAATGCGTCCAGGCAATCCCGGACAAATGAAAACAAGTTCTCTGGATCCTTGTCGTCCAGATCGTCAAAGAAGATGCCGCCAATGCCTCTAGACTCGCCGCGGTGCTTCACGTAGAAGTAGTCATCGCACCACTTCTTGAATGCAGGGTAGTAGCGCTTGTCGTGGCCGTCGCAGGCCTCCTTGATGGTCTTGTGGAAATGGATGGCGTCCTCATCAAACAGATAACTCGGCGTCAGATCGGTGCCGCCACCGAACCACCACGACTGCGTGCTCCCGTCGTCGTTCATGGTCTCAAAATACCTGTAGTTGAGGTGCACCGTGGGCGCCATCGGATTCGACGGGTGCAGCACCATGCTCAGCCCTGCGGCAAAGAAGTCCAGGCTCTCAACTGTGGGATCGAGGTTCTTGTGGTCGGCCCTCATCTTCAGCACCGCCGACCGCGGTAGCTTCCCGTACACGACCGAGATGTTGACGCCGGCCTTCTCGAAGACGTTTCCGCCCTGCAGGACGCACGAGATGCCGCCGCCGCCGGAGGACTTGCGCTCCCAGGTGTCGGTGGTGAACTTTTTGCCGTCGACCTCCTCGAGCGCGGCGACGATCTCCTTCTGCTTCTCTTTGATGAAGGCTTCCATCTTCAGGCGCATGGGGGACGACTCGGTGACGCCGGACTCGCGCTTCTGTAGCGCATCCCGCTGGTCGATGGGGATGGTAGAGGAGGATGTGCTGCTGGTGTGGGGTGCTTCGCAGAGGTATGGGTTGGTTTTCTGGGGGGGAGGGGGTTAGTGGTGGGCCATTGGGTGCGGGTCAGGGTGCCATACTTTGTAGTAGAGGACGGCGCCGGCGCCCAATGCGACTGCAATACCAATTATGGCGGCAGTGGTTGCGGTTTGAGACCTCGATGCATTGGTGGAATAACTTCTTGAAGCTTGGAAAGCTCTGGGGCATGATCGAGCAGCATGGCGGGGTACCACTGGGCGAAGAATTGACCGGGAGATGAGACGGAAAGACATTATGGACCGGGGAAAGAGGAGGAGGAGGAGGTAATTGAGATTGAGAATTCACAATTCGGGGGAGTGTATTTTTCTTTTTAAATAGGGGGAAGTTTTCTGGAGATGTTGGACCATAAGTAAGTATGGAACACGAGATGTCACCCGATTCTGAGACGACGTTCCTGGCGGTTTGGTTGGCTGGTTGGGTTACATGGCTTCTTCAAGTGTTGTCGAATTCCGGCACTTGACGCAGAGCCTCAGGTCGGGGGTGGAGGATGTGCGGATATGTGCTGTGGCTTGAGACGTTGCTCTGCAGCAGCTTCTTCTATCAGACTGTGGCGGTGGAGAGAGAGGCATTATGTCACAGACTTGGGTTCTTCTAGCTTTGTATCACGAGACATGGGAGTTCCAGGCTTTAACCCCTCTTTCGTTAGCGTTCTAGGGAGAGGTGATGAATCCGTGATAAGTCGAGTCCGTTTGGGGTGCTCTAGTTAACCACGGTACGGTCGCCCCTCCTCGATCCTCCATATCAGTCACCCTTCACCAGCTAGAACAGGAGGGGGGGAGGGAGGAAGCTTCTCCTGTTGTTGCGTTTCCACTGATCGTTTCTCTTGTAATCAGGCCTTCCCTCCGGCTCGTCATAGGCAATAATAGCAACAACAACCCCCCCCCCCCCCTTCTTCTCCCCTCTCTTGTTAAAACATAGAAGTTGTCAGCAGTAGATAGAGTAGATAGATATGAAATAGATACATTTGATCAATAAGGAAAAAAGAGAAAGAAAGACTCATCGAGAAACACATCAGCTGACCAGCTTCTCGAGAGCCATGCCATAGGATACATGCCCTATACCTTGTAGCTTGCTTGCTCTGTGACCTTCGTGGTTTTGACCTTGTGGTGTTCCTGCTGCGTCTAGCCAAGTGAGCAGCGTGAGTCTGTGTGGTAGGTACACACTCGCACGCATCCTTAACCCTTCCTTGCGCTTCCCTCCCCGCCCTCCGCCTTCTTTTGTATTTGTACTGTGCCCATTACTCACCCAGGTCTCGCCTCATTATCCACACACCAACCTTCCTTCATCTACCCTTCCTCTCCTCCCTCTTCTTCCTTTCTTTCTCCTTCATCCACAACCACATTCTTATCTCCTGAACAAGTCCTCACCACCACCCCTCCCGGCAATCAACGCATCTGTATTGTCAGCTCTATAGCATCTCAAACTTACCTTCAACTACCAACAACCCACCAAATCAATCAATATGCGTAGGTATGTAACCGACAACCACCCTCCTTCATGCTCGCCACAGAGCTCTTTAACCATGCAGCAAGCTAACCTCCAACTCTTGTCTGCCCTCCACAGCAAGTTTAAGGACGAACACACCTTTGAGAAGCGTAAGGCCGAGGCTGAACGCATCCGACAGAAGTATGCCGACCGTATTCCGGTATGTACAAAAAAATCGCCCCTCCTTCTCCCTTGTGTTTGTTCCGTATATTTGAGAATGTAGAAAGCCAACAATAGCTCGTGTTCCCCCCCCCTATAGGTCATTTGCGAGAAGGTCGAGAAGTCAGATATCGCCACGATTGACAAGAAGAAGTACCTGGTTCCTGCCGACTTGACGGTTGGCCAGTTTGTGTACGTCATCCGTAAGCGTATCAAGCTGTCGCCTGAGAAGGCCATCTTCATCTTTGTGGATGAGGTGCTTCCACCGACGGCTGCTCTGATGAGCTCAATCTACGAGGAGCACAAGGACGAGGACGGCTTCCTCTACATCACGTATGAATCACCCCCCAACAACAACAACCCAATCCAACCCAACCCCTCCTCGGCTATTCGCGGAAGACGGATAAAGTGAAGCTAACATTGAGCCATTCATAGGTACTCTGGTGAGAACACATTCGGAGAAGCTTTGTAAACTCAGACACGGATTGGGACCAAACGGGATAATATGCGATGGGGGCGTTGTTTTAGTTTAAACGGGGGACAGGGGGAAACGAACTGGTGGAGAGGGGTTCACGTTCTGGAGAAGGGCGTTCATCAACTTGGATAAACTTGGAGCGTGGCCCCGGAAGCCGCCCCCGAAGCTAGGCAGCAGCGAATAACACATACAGCTTGGGGGAGAGGGGGAAGAGGGGTGGGTGAGCGCAACCACCTTTCCGTTTCTGGAACCTGTTTCCTTTTCCTTTTCCACTTGGTTTATGTTTCTGCTTTTTTTTTCTCGCGGTGTTGAACTAGTTATTATTTTCCTGTTCTTGGTTTTTGTGCATTTTCCTTTCTCTATTCTTTTTCGTGTTTTTATTTTTGACTGGTGAAGAGCCCTCACTCGAAGGATTCACAGAAGAGGCAATGTTTTTCTCTCATTCTCTTTTTGATCTTTGCTTGGCGGGGAGGATATCGGAACCGGGCAAGAGGAGAAGCATGGGAGGGTTTGGAAAGGGGATTTTTTAAACTCGAATAACGTGCTTATCAAGGTACTATTGCTGCCTGTGGGCCACTGAGAAATAACAGATGCTTTTTTTTCCAACTGCTGCATTCTGGGTGTTTTGTAATTGGGGAATACATAGTAATGGATTGGCTTCTTCTCACTTCTGAATTATATACATACATTGCCGTTGTTGTAGAGAGTGCATAGATGGATAGCTCCGGCGTTGAGCAAAGATTCGTATTGCGAGGAGCTGTTGTATCCTGCATGAACTGTAGTAGCTCCGCGGGGTCATAGCTCATAGCTCTCTCTCATAGCTCGCTGATAGCTCCAGCTGCTGCGTGACTGTTCCGTGTGGCAGGCAACACTCATGCACTCTTGTACGGTATAGTAAACACACATGATAGTATCTCTGGTATGCTATGCCAAAACAAAATACATGTCTTCTACTACATACATGTATGTAGGGTCTGTCTGTCTGCCCGTGAGATCCTTCCCTTATCGCAATGACGAAACGGACCCTATCCGATCCAAGACGCTACATACGCTGCGCAGCACGCACGCAGGAAGCGTTTGTGCAACTTATGCAGGGGTGCATGTCAGGCCCGTACCTATGCAGAGTATGTAGATAGAGGTACTCTACCGGGTCCATGATCCATTCCAGTATATCCTGGGGGTTATCTACTCTAAGCAGAAGAGTAGACTACATGGTATTATCTATTCCTCTTCTTGTGACTAAATGTAGGTACCGCCTGCCCTGGATATAGCAGGGGTGGCAGAGTCTATGATCTATGATCTATCCTGGTATGGTATGGTGGGTATGTCAGTCAGAGTTCGAGTGCGAGTCACAGCTGATGTTAATTCAGAACAGAGGTGGGAGGTGCGAGGTGCGAGGTGCGAGGTGGGAGGTGCCAGAAAGCGCATCAGGTGATGTCGTTTTCGAAAACAAAGGATTTGCTCCCTCCAACCCCCCCCCCCCCCCAAAAACCACGGTCGCTGGGTGGATGGGTGGATGGGTGGATGAACAACAAGCCACTCGACTCGCCCCGCCGCCTAATTCAGCCGGCGCGGTGCTGGAAACGGACCCCCTAGTACCTACCTGGGTGATTGATAAAGGAGGGAGCGAGTGATGGGTTAGTAAGAGGGTTGTGAAGAGAGAGAGAGATGCAGAGACAACTCATGAAGTGGTGGCTGGTGGTGTCTGTGCAGAGAGAGGGAGAGAGGGAGAGAGAGAGAGCGTTAGAGCAGAGACTCGGAAGAGACCCTGGGGATGTCTATTCTCTACTGTATCTGCTCTACACACCGCCCACAGAAGGGAAATCCCCCCCGCGTGCCCCCCGCGTGCCCCCGAGGCTGTGGACAGCAAAGTAGAAGACAAAGCCTTTGTCTGGAGTAGGCATTCCCTGGGCTACACCCATGCTCCTGTTTACTCAGCACGCTGTTTAGTTGTGCGGCTCTGCTGATCTACGCCTTGGCAGCGATATTTCCAGAACGGCAGAACAGGGCTCTGATCCAATTGCACAACCACCACCACCACCACCACACATCATCACAACCACAACCACCACATAGACAGACACACACCCCACACCCACCACAATGTCCTCCCGCTACGTCCGCACGCAACTCCCCCGCCGCCCCGCCGCCCCCGACCACAAACGCTCCCGCTCCCGCTCGCGCTCCCGCTCCCACTCGCCCCCACCGGGCGCAAATCCGCGCGGCGCTCCTCCCCGCCGGCCGCCACCGTCGACCGGCGCAAGCAGGAGCGCTACGCGCGCGACCAGACACGCCTCAACGCACTGCAGGAGAACGAGACGATGCGCGAGTGGGTCAACCAGGAAGACACGTTCGTGCTCAAGCAGGCCAAGAAGAAGGCCGAGATCCGCGTCAAGGAGGGCCGCGCGAAGCCGATCGACTGGCTGGCGGTCAATCTGCGCGTCATTGACAAGGAGCGCACCACGGACCCGCTTGACGACGAGATTGCGGATGAGGATCTGGATGTGGTGGATCCGGAGGCGGTGCTGGATGGGCTTGCTGCCAAGGAGCTGGAGGAGTTGGAGGCCGATATCGATGTGTATGTGGGGCTTGAGACGGCGCGGAGTAATAGGGAGTACTGGGCGACGATGAAGGTGATCTGCCGTGACCGGCGGGAGAAGAGTAGTGCTGTTGCGGCGCCCGATGGGGGGCGCGCGGTCAGCAGCGTGGCGGGCGATGTGGATAAGCTGTTTGGCAGCAAGAGGCTCGAGGAGCTGGAGGCGCTCGAGCGGCAGATTGTGGGGAAGCTGAACAGCGACGAGATCTTGGATGTGGATTATTGGAATGAGCTGCTGCGGAGCGTGAGGGTGTGGAAGGCCAAGGCGAGCCTGAAGAAGATGTACCGCGAGGTCATCAACAACCGCCTCGACATCCTCATCAAGCAGCAGAAGGACGAGGCCCGCACCGTGCGTGCAAAGCTGGAGGCGATCCTTGGCGGCACAAAGGACGTCACCGACGAGAGCACGCTCGAGTCCCTGCCCGTGCAGGCGTCGTATCCCGCGGCCCGCATCGTGCCCTACAACCGCGCCATGGACCCGGAGCCCATGCTGCGCTTGCGCCATGACGAAAAGGCACTCGAGTCCTGCTCCGAGAAGGAGTTCCTCGATAGCCTCACGGAGGAGCGTAGGAAGGTCCTCAAGATGGGCTACGTCCCCCTCAAGGCCCGCGCGCAGTACAAACAGCCCTTCAAGAAGCGCCTCTTCTGGCACAAGCGCTCCGGCGCCGCTGCTGCAGCTGCCGCGGTCGTCGCTCGCCCAGCTGCAAGCTCCGCTTCGTCCAGCGCGCCACCGACATCCCGCTTCGCGGCGGTCTTTGACAATGACGACTTCTCGCAGGCGACAAAGGCGCTGTACGAGCGCGAGGTTGCGCGCGGCGTCGGCGACAACGAGGAGATCTTTACGGGCGAGGAGGAGGTCACGACCTCTGGGCCCAAGCCCGCCTGGGCGTCCAAATACCGGCCGAGGAAGCCGCGCTACTTCAACCGCGTGCAGATGGGGTACGAGTGGAACAAGTACAACCAGACGCACTACGACCACGACAACCCGCCGCCGAGGGTCGTGCAGGGGTATAAATTCAACATCTTCTACCCGGACCTGATTGACAAGTCCAAGGCGCCCACGTACCGGATTGAGAGGGAGGGGGGTAGGAAGAGGGGGCAGAGCTTTGCGCCGGCGGGGGAGGAGGATACGTGTGTTATCAGGTTCATTGCGGGCCCGCCGTATGAGGATTTGGCGTTCCGGATTGTGGATAAGGAGTGGGATTACTCGGCAAAGAGGGAGAGGGGGTTTAGGAGTAGTTTTGATAAGGGCATTTTGCAGTTGCATTTTCAGTTGAAGAAGATTTATTATAGAAAGTAATGTCTTTTTTTTTCCCTCTGTTTTTTGTTCTGTTTTTTTGTGGTTTGGTTTGGTTTGGTGATTTGGTTTTTGTGGCAATGATTGCTTTTGCTGGTTTTTACTTTCTTTTCGTGATATCTTTTATTGGCATTTGTATTTTAGAGCACACAGCAGCAGCAGCAGCAGTAGTAGTAGTAGCTAGTTAAATTGTGAATGTGGAAAGAAAAATAAAGAGCTCAAGTCAAATGAGCCGAGTTTTCATTAACAGTAATATATCCCCAACTCGCAAGAAACCAAGGTGAGCTCCTCATTCCCTTCATTCCTTTAACTGGACCACCCAAAATAATAGCCCCCACGTCTTCACCCACCAACCCCGTCAGTAAACAAGCACCCACCCCAACATACGCAATCACAGCATCTCACTCACCTCACAAAGCTGTTCCACGTCTCGGCCGGTGTCCTGCCAGCCTCCTGCTCCTCCCGCCTGACACGCGCGGCCGCGGCACCGACGCCGACAAAGAGGGCGAAGAGCGGGTCGCCGATTCTAGTGGTTGTCAGTATTTCCTAGGGCTGAGGTCTGGGGGCGGAGGGGGGTGGGGGGGGGGCTACTTGGAGATGAGGTATTTGGCCATTGTGTATCAGCTATCAGATATATCGGGGGGATATATATTGGACTGCAGATCGGATCGGTGTGCGGTGCGGGATGCGGGATGCGGGCCCAGATGTTCGCGGGCGTGGGTAACTAACTGTGCGGGATGTTCCGTGTGGGTAGCGCAGGGGTTTCAGGGGGAGCCACGACTCACGGAATCACTCGACATCTCAGCACTCAGCACTCAACACTCAGCACTCAACACTCAACACTCAACACTCAACACTCACTCACCCGCTCACGACACTCGGTTTTGAATTTTGAAGACTCAATTCGTGTGCTGGAATTGGGTTGGGCTGGTTTTGGGGCTTTGGGGACTTTATCTACTATCACTACTGCTACTCTCTATACTTTTACACCTGTTTACAAGGGGTTCGAGTCTATAGTGATACTCACCTTTAATTGCAATGTCGGACGATACACATTTCTTCGCCCTCCTGACGGGCTCCAACAGGTCTGCCCCCTCTCTCGATATTCCTATGTACCAATTACACCCCATACTAACTCTCTCCCAGCGGCCTCGGCCTCTCAATCGCCCACCGCATCCTCGACGAATTCCTGAGCACCCACCCACCCACCCACCACCTCACCCTAATCCTCACCACCCGCTCCGCCTCCAAAGGCGCCGCCACCCTCACCACGCTCACCAAGCACCTCGTGCACAACCTGCCGCCCACCGCCACCTCCCGCATCACCCTCACGCACTACCAAGTCGACCTGACCAACCTCCTCTCCATCACCGCGCTCGCCGCCGCCCTCTCGCGCAGCTACACAAAGCTCGACTACGTCTTCCTCAACGCGGGAATGGGCGCCTTCACCGGCATCGACTGGCTCAACGCCGTCACAAGCATCCTCACAAAGTGGGTCCACGCGGTAACATACCCGGCCTTCAAGCTGCAGGCCACGGGCTGGACCACGAAGCAGCCCCTGCCCCTCGAGGGCGAGCTGGGCAGCGTCTTCTGCGCAAATGTGTTTGGCCACTACTACCTCACCGCGGAGCTCATGCCGCTGCTCGGCCGCGGGCGCGGCCGCATCATCTGGACCAGCTCGCTCGAGGCCTACCCGTGGACGTTCAGCACCGCCGACATACAGGCGCTCAAGGCCACGCACTCGTACGAGAGCACGCGCCGGCTCACCGATGTTCTGGCGCTGACGTCGGGGCTGCCGGCGACGGCGCCGTATGCGGATAAGTTTTTTTGGCGCGGGGAAAGGGGAGAAGGGGTGGACGAGGCCAAAGACGTATCTGACGCACCCGGGGGTGTGCGCGACGGCGATTGTGCCGCTGAATGTGGTGCTGTGGTGGTGCATGGTTGCGGCGTTCTATGTTGCGCGGTGGCTGGGGTCGCCGTGGCACACGATTAGTAGCTATTCGGGTGCGCGGGCGGCGGTGTGGCTGGCGCTGGCGGGGGAGGAGGAGCTGGCGGAGAAGAAGGCGGAGAAGGTCAAGTGGGGGAGCAGTGTTGTGACGGGTGGGGTGGAGAGTGTCAAGGCGACGGAGGTGGAGGGGGAGGGCGGCGTGGAGTGGGAGGAGTTGGGGAGGGAGTGTTGGAGGTTGATGGAGGAGTTGAGGGAGGAGTGGAAGGGGAAGTTGAAGCAGGTGGGGAGGTAGGTGGGGTTTGTAGCATAGTGGGGTGTAGCGTGCATATATTAGATATCATAGCGTGGGTGTTGTTGGTGTGGAGGTGTGTGGTGTAATGTCTAATGGGCAGAATATAATAATAGTATTAGTTGATGCATCAATGATTGAAAACACATGTATTCTGCCAGTCTTTGGAGTGCGAGTGAGAATTATCCACACCAACCCCAAATGCCGGCTCTCGACCCTACATGGTATAAAACCCAATCAATAAATTCCATTGACCTGACATGCCAATATCTAACAACTAACCGGGCCCCATAACCCAATGCCAATCCCACAACCCCCGCCTACACATAACTACACCCACCACCACCCACAAACCTCCTACCAAACCACCATTGACCTGTCCACCTATAACCACCCTCTACATTTCACTAACCCCCACCCACAGGGCCCAATTCCAACCACGGCGCCTTCGCGCATAGAAAGAAGAATCGATAATTGTAATTTATACTTATATTTCTATCTACACCCCCCACAACCCAGAAAGAAAAACCCCCCTCTATACCCCACCACCAGCACCAGCACCAAAGCCAGCACCTCACCTCTTCTTCCCCTTCTTCGCCCCCGCCTCCTCCTTCGTCCTGATCTTCTTCGGCGCCCCCTTCCCTCTCGCCTTCTTCCTACACGCCCGCCACCTGTCAGCCCACTATCTCCCCCCCCCCCCCCCACAACCCCACAACCACAAAAAACCAAACAAGGAAAAAAAAGAGAAAACATACGCCTCCAAATCCTGCAGCCTCTGCGCCTCCTCATGGTCGTAAAACTCCATCATGGGGAAGTGTCTCTTGAGGTCTTTGAACGTCGCGATCCTGCGCGGGTAGTACTCGAGCAGCGTCGGGCCCTTGAGCCGCTGGCGCAGCACCTTGTTCCCCGTGCGGGCGTTGGTGGGGTTGAATGTTGTGGAGAAGATGCGGCATGACACCTGCGGCGTTGTTTTTTTGTGTTAGTGGGGTGGTAGTAGTGGATAGTGGGGGTGGGATTGATATAATATTATGAGGAAGAAGCAGGGAGATAGGGGAGAGGAGGAGGAGGGGGGTCACCTTGGCCAGCTCGAGGAGACGCTCTCGTGTGGGTGGCATTTATTTGCTGTGTCAGTCGTGTTTCGCCGTTTGGTGGGGGGGCAATTCCGGCGGTCTTGAGGTTTGAATGTTGAACGTTGCTTTCGGGAGAGTGCCAAGGAAAAGGACTGTACCTACAGGGCTTGGTCCGTGCACTTGTGCTCCTCCGAGGACCTTGGGCTTTTAAATGACCGCATTCCGGCTCCCGGGCGATCGGATCACATTTATCATCTTTGAAAATGGCTTCTTTTTTTTTTTTTTTTTTTTTTTGATTGAAGAATCCAATTGAGAAGAGATAATTACTTAAACAAAAAAAAAAAAATGATCATTTCCCCCATATCAACACTACAACTATATTCTATTTTCCGAAAAGTACGCACAACACCCGCAGCAACGAGAAATTTTATACCCTAGGAATACAGAACTGAAACATGAATGTTTTTGAGGGACCGGAGAAACCTTAGGTTCGAGATTCTTGTCCACAATTGCCAACTTTTATCTTCCAAAAGCCGTTTAAAGCTTAGCACCAACCAATTCAGCGTACTTCTCAGTGCTGAAAGACTTGGGCCTCTCAATAGGAGCACCGACGGCACGGTCAATGATGAGCTGAGGAAGGACACCCAAAGCACGGGAGACACCAAAGAGGACGGTGTAGTAGTTGGCCTCAGTAAGACCGTAGTACTGGAGGAGGACACCAGAGTGCTATACAGAATTGCAATCAGTAAAAGAACGCTTTATCGTTTTGTAGGGGAGAACATACAGCATCAACGTTGGGGTAGGGGTTCTTGGTCTTTCCGTGCTCGGTCAAGACACCAGGGGCAATGTTGTAGACCTGGCTTACGAGCTTGAACATGGGGTCATCAGGAAGCTTCTTGAGAGCAAACTCGCGCTGGGACATGTAACGGGGGTCAGTCTTCCTCAGGACGGCGTGACCATAACCAGGGACAACACGGCCAGAGTTCAAGGTGGACCAGAGGTAGTCCTTGATGGACTGGTCGCTGAGGTCGTTGCCAACAGCCTTCTTCATCTCAGTGAGCCAGTTCAAGACTTCCTGGTTGGCCAATCCGTGGAGAGGACCAGCAAGACCGTTCAAACCAGCGGCGAGAGAGAGCATGGGGGAACTGAGAGCAGATCCGACCAAGTGAGTGGTGTGGGCAGAAACGTTACCACCCTCCTATATAATTATTAATGTTTGTATCTTCTTTTTGTCAATCATTTTTAGAAATTACGTACGTGGTCAGAGTGGATAACGAGGTACAACCTCATCAAGTCAACAAAATCCTTGTTCTCTCCGAAACCGAGCTGGTTGGCCAAGTTGAAACCGTAGTCCTTGTCCTGCTGGATAGGAGCGACCTTTCCATCTTTGAAGACGTTGCGGTAGATCTTCGCCGCAATGGTGGGGAGCTTAGCAATGAGGTTCATTGAGTCCTCAAAGGTGTAGCTCCAGTACTCCTTCTTGTTGATACCCTTGGCGTAGGCCTTAGCGAACTCTGACTCGCCCTCAAGAGCAGTGACGGCAATTGAGAACTGGGCCATGGGGTGGAGAGTGTTGGGGCAGCGGTCAATGAGCTCCTCAACGAACTTGGGGATGGTTGAACGGGCAGCCCATTCAGCAGAAAGTTCGCGGACCTGCTGTTCAGTGGGAACCTCTCCGGTCAAGAGAAGCCAGAAGAGACCTAGGATTTTGCTTAGCCACAGAATTCATTTACTTATCAAATAGCGAAGACCGACCTTCAGGAAGAGGCTCCTCTCCGCCAGGTGCTCTGGGAAGGACTTGCTGGCACTCAGGAATCTGCGACAAATTAGACTCAGCCCGACTTAAATTTAGGTAATTGAACACTCACGGTCTTTCCTCTGAATCTGATACCCTCCTCAGAATCGAGAACAGATCCCTGCAGCACGTGTCAAACAAAGCTCCTACACATAAAAATTTCATCGAGAAACACAAACCTCCCACACAAGGGACTTGATTCCACGAGCACCACCGTAGACCTGGTCAAGAGTAACCTCTCCAACGACCTTTGATCCATGCTCCCTAATTAAAACGTTAATTGATGGAATTCATTGAACCATATTTGCAAAATCTTACTTCCTGAGCTTCTTAATCTTCTCAACCTCCCCGGGGATCTTCGCAGCGAAGGTCTCCTTGAGAGTCTTATCGGAAGGAATAGAATCAGCACAAATTCAATTCTAATCTGCTAATCTGGGAATAATTCATACCTTAGGCTTGACCGCAGAGTAGTAGCGGTAACCAGCCCTCTTAACGGAGAAAGAGGTCGACGAGGCCAGCGAAGACCTAAGGGCAATAGAGCCCAATCTCATGGGGGAAGCAGCAAACATGGTGTATATGATAGATAGAAGGAGATGTCACTTGAGGAGAGTGTGCTCTGAAGTGTGGTGGAGGAGAAGGAGGGAAGAGAGGGAAGGTAGTAGCCGGAGATCAGGAAAAAATGTTGAGAGATTTTCTCCCCGTTCCGAAACTCCTTCCCGCCGAACGAACTAACGACGTCAACCACCCGCACCCGGTGATAATCCCACCATTCAGTAACCGACAAATATCGGACATTACAATAAAATTTTAGGCAGAAGGTTTGAATTGCATATATAATTTCACTAAATTTACTCCGATTTTTTGGATTTCCTTACTCTGGTTCCTGATTTGTGGGCGTAACCCGGTTGAGGTCATAAAACAACGAGTTTTAGGGTCTAGGGTAGCGGGGTATTTGAACATGCCAACGGGCCAGATCTCGACGTTGTGCCCGAAAAAGAAAAGAAACCTGTCCAGGATAGGTACCTACCGGTAGGTACTCCGAACTTTGCTTGGCTTGAAGATGGTATCTCCTCGTCCCCTTACACAGAGAGTACAGGCTTACTGATTACTAGGCACTTAATGCGCACTATGAAGTTTCAGAGAGGCATGTCTCGAAACTTCAGAGATCGAAATCACTGGTGGATAAAGATCGGAACGGCTGGCGGTTGTTGAAGAAAGCGGAAAGTACACGATGGACGAGTTACACAGCGCAAACCCGGATTCCTGGTCTCATACTTTGGCTTTTCCAGAAAAACAAATATGGCGTCCCCTCGATTTAAGACCAAATAAGGATAAGTCCAGTACGAGTGAGAAGTCGTGAACATGACTTTGCAGAATCGATTTCAAACAATATCTCAACCTGCAGTGGCCTTCGCCGGTTAGACTTGTAAGTCGTGTATGATGGGTTCTTAAAGAATTGGGGGCAATTAACATGTTCAAACTTCAAAGGCTGTCCACGATTCACATATACGGACAAGAAAGTTTTCATCTGGCATATCCCCCTAATTATATACCCCCGGACCCTGGGTAAAGTTCCTTAGGTCCTTGGGTTTGAAGCCAAATACACTATCACAGCATTCGTACTAGTCTTTTTGAAGCATTAGTACCCTCGTCTTGTATCGGTGTCTACAACTACAGCACTGTACTTACTTAAACACCTTGGAATAATTTTTCTGATCATGACTCTCTCTACCAGAATATAACGGTTTAAATATAAGGCCCGGTGCTTTTATTCACAATAATAGAGCTCTCAGCATTACTATAATATATGGACCTAAGGGTACAAAGAATGTGCCAAATATCTCAATAATGCGCCTTAATGGCATACATGTAGTTACTATCATTACCGAGGATCGACGTGGAATTAAAGTGCGGCTATGACTCGTGGCTGCATGCATGTCATCGTAAGGCTTCTACCGAAGCTTATCTACTTTAGATCATAGGATGAACCCTTGAGCTTGGAGAAAGGTTTCTCCGAAAGGGCGTACATATCAGAATGTGTGGGCCCTCCTCAAAAGGCGGATTTAAATCCCGGTGGTTTTACTTCGAGCATCCTATGAATCGCGGCAGTTATCAATAAAATACGGAAGTGCTGGACTGAAGCTATTATTTACATAAATACTCTGGATCTTTTGGGCAAGCAGCATCTGTTCCGGGTATGAACTATGATTGACAACAATTCCCCATACGTAGGCCGGGACCTGAAACCCCTCAGACCTTTATTCAAGTGGATGAGCCCCAAGGATATACAGAAATAAAACTTTATAAACCCCAGTAAGATTCCTCGATTAATTCAAAACAAGGCTCCGATTCTATTGGGATTGAGTATATGTATACGTGGCCAAGGGTTCGTTTTGAGGGGTCACACCACCTGATCAACAATCGCGACGTAAAAGAAAAGATTAAAAACAATGAGCTTTCGGTTACTTCTAAAGAGACACGGGGCCATTTGGCACTCTTTATTATGAACAAGAGATTTCATTTCGGCTTCTTCGGATGGCCGGCGGCCAAGAAATATACACCGGACGAATGGAGCTACAAACACCCGATGCATATGTTGCATGTCTTAACTCCCATCTACGACAAGACATATCTCAAAGTGTATATATGCAGGGTCCTCATGGATTTTGAAAGCAGAAATTTTCCCTTCCAGGCGGTAGACTAACCTGCTTCCTCGGTCCTCCTCTGAAAGAAGGTTTACCGAGGCTATTAACGATGGAAATTGCGATTTTTTTATACCCAAATCACAGAATGGATGAAGGAAGATGCGGGGAATATGGACCAGTCGATATACTAAGGTTACCAGGCGCTGGGCAGCAATCAGACTTCTGTGATGATCAGGAACGGGTATATATCGACAGCCCCATGTTTATTTACTGCATGTCATACCCTTTTCCAAAGCACTGCCTAGAAAATTCAAACATTGCTCATCGATTCCTCTTGAGACTTCTGGTTGAAGTGAAGATATTACGAATATTGTTTTTACTATCGAGAACCGCCTTCAAACCAAGGATTAGAACAAATAGTCGTATCTTTGGGTAGTTCTTCCACAGATTATAATTTGGGACGGAGTATCTTTGGGCGATTTCCGTTGGTGTCGTTATTTCTGAGGAATTATCAATGCTACTGCTAAGACAGAGTAGCTTTTATCAACGATCAATATACCTCTAGTTTTGAGCTTAGGTGTTACGATATGCTAGTATTACTGCCAGCTGCTTGTTTTAGGTGTTGTCATAAGGGGGGGGGGGGGTGCACGATTCCAGAAAAATGGAACACATAATCCTATCGGATTCTAAAGGAAATCTCAATTTACTATTTGATTGGCCCCATGCTTGTTTTATCAATCGCAGAACTTGATCCCCAGGATCGATTCTACCAAGAAACCGAGTGATATTTCATGGAGGGCGTTGACTTGTTCTACATACAAGAAGCGAAGCCGAAATTAAGTAATCCTTAGATGCGTGCAAGTATATTCGGATCAAGATAGCTCTTCTAGTTAAGAAGCTAAATAAATATTCGTTTTCATAGTAAGGTCCGGAATCAAGGGTTAGGTTTTCTGATTTAGAGCCCATCAATGCACTTTTTTCCCGTCACTTGTGAAAATGATTGTGGTCTCAGTCTTTATGCAACAATCATAGCACTGCTTCACTCTCTTTATATTCCGGGTTATATACTTTATGAAGGTCGTGTTGTCGCTGCACAGCATGAAACCCAGGGATCAGTCAGCTAACCCAGAATGTCTTTTTGCAGCGGATGTTTATTTTTCTTATAAAGCAAAGAAAAGCTCAAAGTTGCACTTATCAACCGTCGTTGTTCACGTTGAAGCCAAGCAAGATGCTTCACTTGAAGCTAAGCTCACGTAAGTCTATTTTTAGACCCACCAGCCCTCGCTTATCACTAGCGCCTCGAGACAAGCTCATTTAGGGTGTTTACAAAATTTACAAAAGCTCGCGCCGAGAACAACAGGATTGTTCAAAAAGAGCTGAGCATGACCATCACGCTTCTGAGACCTGTTCCCACATGCTCCAATGCAAAGTGATTGTGGCACATATTTAACCACCTGTAAGAGCTGCAGGAGATGGGGTGGGGGGGATTCATGTAGCGTCTAAGCCCCGTTGTTCACCGTTGTAAATTGGGTGCTTAAGTAAAGCAGCCTCACTCAGCCCTTTTTTCAGCCGTAGCACCTTCACAATAAGACTACTCCCACTCGCTCGCTCGTCTCTCCATTTGCAGACTGCCACAGTGCCGAATCTCTCTTCTCAAGGAAATCTCTTCAAGACTTATCACTAAGGATGTCTGGAAATGTGAGTTGCAGTTGTAGACTTCCTACATCGGTCGTCAAATACTAATCGCCATGTAGGGCTACGAAATGGAAACTCATCGAGCCCCGCTCCTCGAGTCCAACCAGTACGCAGGTGGGCACCAAGCGATGGAGCTCCAAGAGTTTCTCAACGAGGTTACTGGTATCCGCAATTTAATCTCGACCTTCAGACAGAATGTCTTGAACATCTCGTCTCTGCACAACCAGAGCTTGCAGTCATACGACCACGGATCAACCACCGGCTCATCAGGACAATTGGAAGCGCTGGTTGCAGATACCTCTATCTTGACGAAACAGCTTCGCGATGGAATAAAGTACCTGGAGCGAGATACTTTGATGAGTGATTATTCGGCACAGTCTACAAAGGGTGCGCAGACAGAGAAGTTGAAGTCTGATTTCGACAAGGAATTGAAAGCGTATCAACAGGTGAGACATGCATATATACTTACTTTTTCCGCCGCCAAAATGCTTATGACATTTTGCTATAGGTTGAAAACCAATTTCGGACACGGTATAGAGAACAAATGAGCCGACAATACCGTATTGTGAATCCCGAAGCCACGGACGCAGAAGTTGAGCAACTTGTTGAAAGTGGTGAAACACAGATCTTCAGTCAAGCTGTAATTCCTCCACTGCTCTCATTACATGATCGACACCACTGACCCTTTACTAGCTTCTCTCGAGCGGAAGAAGCCGAGAAGCAAACTCAGTCAATGCAGCCGTAAAAGCTCGTCAGCAGGAGATCCAACGTATTGAGACCACACTTATCGAGCTTTTAGCACTGTTCGAACAAATGGCCGAGCAAGTAGTCCTCGATGAGCCAAAGTTCCAACAGATCGAAGACAACGCGGTAAAAGTTGAAGAAGACGTGCACCATGCAGCCAACCATTTAGAAACCGGAGTTGTGAGCGCGAAGGCAGCCAGAAAGAAGAAGTGGATGTGTCTCGGCCTTGGTGTCACCATTGTCGTTGTCATTGTTATCATCGTTGTGGTGGTAGTCGTGGTAAAGAATGGTGGAGTTGGTGGAGGCAACAACAATAACAACAACAAATCAACCGAGACTGTTACTGCTACTACTACTGCCCCTGCGGCCGCAACATCTACTGCGGCAACCTAAGATTCCTAAGACTTGGCGTTTCGGCGAATGGGATGAATTGCGGGCTCACTGAAATTGTAATTTGTATATGATACCTTGTATGACTGGTCAGATTTTTGCCTTATGCCTGTGAGTTTCTGGGGAAGCACCTAGGCTTGATATTTTGCGCACTGGTGTGTGTAGGAGAGTCAAAAGGGCAATTTTTTTCTTTTTTCCTGCAGTGTGTTGATCAAATTATTTGAACTCAAACCGCTAGATCCATGTGATTGACACTAGCTGTGATCAACTTTACTCCTGCCCAATACAAGTAGTTAGTCTGATACCGAAAATTTTGATAAAGCAAAAAATTACCAATTCCTATCCGTTTGAATGCCTCTTTTACGGTTCTAACAAAAGTTCTACTATTTTGTCAATACAATAATCTCCTGGTACTAACCAAGATTTTCTATTGTGCGATTGCCACTCCTCACAAAAAATCCGGTCCCAAGTGGGTTTCGATTTTGCCAGAAATACACCCAATTAAAGGGGTGAGGACTTATTATCATCATGTTCTCTCACTCGCGGTGTTACTAGCGCACGTGGCCATGCACCGGACAGGAATCAATGATCTACAATGCATGAATGTATACATGTAGTTACAGATTCCGCCATTCCTGTGCGTATTTTCTAGATCTGAATGAGTAGAATATCGTACCATACCGTAAAATCGGGATTAAGTTATCTCAGTCGATCCCGCTCATTACATGTATGTAGTACCTAGATCGATGTTTCAGTTCCGTAACACCAAATACATATATAGCCAGTAGATATATCCCAACTTCATCATCTTACGCAGCTCATGTAGACCTCTTTGAAATAAATACGGCATTGTAGTCATGATAAAAATCATCGTGTTCCTCGTACGCCAAGACGGTACGTTGATAAACACTGATACATAGCGTATTATTGCAAATGAACCACACCACCCCCCTGAAAGACTAAATCTCACATGGGTATGTCTGCTGCAAGTTGCAACAGGACCTCAGTCTACCCGATCGCCAAGGACCCGGGGAAGATAGTTCCTCGATCTAGCGACAGATGTAATGACCTCACCTTGGCTCCCTTTCCAGATTCGCCATCTACCACTGATTTACAGGCCATACGCAATTCCATCTACGACCCGAGAATAAACACTAAAGCCCTTAGATAAAAGAAAGGAAGCAAAAAAATAGAATAAATACCACCATGAAACCCATCATAAGTCCCATAGCTAAATGCATCACCTCAAAACCTTCCCATTTAGAGCAATTTCCAACCCCACAATACTCCCAGTTTACAAGAAATCTCTCTCCCCATACACATACACCACCATGAGCACTCCTCCTACTCAGAACCTACCCCCTTACCAATTTGAACCCCGTCACCCCCCGGACCGATTCCCTCTTCCCTATACCCCAGACCCCTCTGCTAGTCTCCCACTACCACCAGACCGGTCAGCCCTGGTCCGGGATATTGTTTCCCTTTATGCTGGAAACCCTAGTGAATCCGCGATGCGGCATTATCACGAAAACAGCATCTACGATGACCCGTTCAGCTTCTGTGACACGCGGTACAAAATTGCCGGGCAATGGTATGGACTGCCGAAAGCTTTCAAGAGCTTGAACCCCAAGGCATATGAGGTAGTAGCGAATGAGAAGGATGAGATTGTGTTTAAACTCAGGCAAGAATACACGTTTAAGCTGGTGAATATTACAAAGGTGGTCGACTCTCTGATTACGTTGAAGCTGGACCCAGGTGAGGTGCGTTTATCCGGATACTTATCAATACGCCATGCGGATATAGCTTTCAACTTTGCTGATACGTAGTAGGAAAAACCTATAATAAGGTATCATAAGGACCAATGGGACGAGAAGGATTATGACCATGAAGGGTTGGGACATGTTTTCAAGGAGTTGAATGGGTATGTGTGTTGTTGTGGATCATTGTCATTGGGGAGATAGGTGAACTGATCGAGGCTCATGGTGACCTTCTAGAAATCATCTACCAAAAGTAACAGAACCACCGGAGAGTTTGAAAGGCTCTGGGGATGCTTAGACTAGATGCCGTACTTTAGTTCTCATGCGCATAGTGAGCGCGCTTTCGTGATAGTTTATGACAAATTGCAAAAGATCTGATACCTTGGACATGATCTGAGCGTTTGTTTGCACTATGTGATTTGGATACCATATTTAGGTGCCATGGAAATTCATAGTAAAGAACTTAAAATTGCAGAGGAATTTTTATTATAGTTAAATAACCACTTTAAGCGCGCCTACGATCATGATCTCACTGCTCACTAAGACCCACCTCGAAAGTTTTTGTAGATCTCGATGATTAGTCATACCATTGGAAAGCTCATGATCAATGATAGAAATTCCGACAGTGAAAACCTATAAAACTGTACCCTGATGTGCTAATATAACGCTCCAGTTTGAGAACTGATGAGGCGCCTAGTTCAGTGAAATTTAGCAGATGATACGTAGTCAAGAGAGGGGGAAATATGGTTCCGTGGTCGATCAAGTGATGCGTGTGTGACCTGCACAACTGTACGTGAGTGACGGTGAAAAAACCATCGTAATTTTCTTCATTTTAAGTTTCTTATCAGGAGTGGGACTCTCCTTCTTCCGAACTGACACGTAGCTATTTACGTACCATCTCAATGCCAGTTCCTCGTTTAGATGAAGATACATGTCCGTAATCGGAATTTGGAATAAACCGAGTGAGAATCTATGAAGGCAACCAATTGCAATTGATTGTATGTATGTGCAACCTTCAGGCTATGATACTGCGTTAGCCACCACCCCTAGCTGTTGGGAACTATCAAACAAATGAAATAAAGGGAATATGTAAGATATTCCAAAATATTCAACTCCAAACAAACGATCGCCCTTTTTCCTTCCCCTCGCTGACTTTTCCATTGCCATTGAGCCCGCCTTCATCTAGCTACCATCTAGCTAGTTATCTGTATCAACAAGTAAAACCACAGCCTTTGAGTTGAAATTAGAGGTTCTAATTGAGGACTGAACTATTAGCCCTACTCTCCTAAGCAGACCTGGAGCTTTGGCGGCTGGTTTGAGCTCTAGTGGCTTCATGGTCGCCAGCGGGGCTCGTACAGACCCACACTTGTTACATGTAACTACGAACGGAACCCTCTATATACTTCCCCAAGCTAGCTACAGTAGCCACAATTCCATTTTTGTTTCGATATATTAGCTTTTCTACCAGAGTAGTGTCTACTCTATAAAATTGTTCATGATGGCACGGGCTATATATCAAGGAAATGTAGTAGAACTTATAGCCCCAGACACTTGTACGCTCAAGGCTATAAATTAAAGATCATTGCTCATATAAAATTTAGCTCTTATCCATAAAGGTAGGGAAACTGCTGTGAGTGGGGTGGTTTTACAATTGTACACCCCCGAGTTGTTTTATCCGATCGATTATTATCATACCAAGAAATACTATAGGCTAGAAAACTGAATATACAACAACCATTACATATATCCACGGCTATAGGTAGCCTGACGTTAGAATCCAAATCACAACCTGGTTTTCCAAACACAAAAAATCACTCGCACTCGTTGCTAAAACGAGTGATGTCCGTAGCCCCAACCAAAATCATAATTGGAGATAAGTGCATATATTCACCCTTCTACTAGTACTACGCAAAGGATGATCAAAGAGAATATACTCATTACAAAAAACGCAAAAACCAAGGCGCACACGCACGGGGATATAGAACCGCATCACATCGCAGATTATCGATCAAACAAAACTATCCTAAAAGAACAAAGAAGAAATAGAAGCCTTCAATGATTTCCTGGCTAGACGAGCATACTAAAGCTACCTCTTTTGGCGAATACAAGTCAGTAATCAGTGATCAGTCCATCAGGACGCCACCAACCAACTGGCTTTCAGCCAACTCAACCTTGTATCCTTCCCTTTCTGCCTCTCTTGTGCTCTTCTCCCATCCGTACAGCCCCTTCCTCTTTCTCTCCTGGATCACCCTGTTCTCCTCCTCCAATTTTACCTGCTCCGCCTTCAATCTGGCCAGTCTGTCTTCGCTCGCTTTATCAACCGCGGGATATAATCTCCCACCTGGAATTGTAGTACCGGGGCCACTCGGCGCTCTTGGAGGCGGCGGGTGGTGGTGATGATGCGGGTGCGGTGGCGGAAGTGATGTACGGTAAGGGAAGTTACCCGCACGAGGGCCAGTTGGGATAGCAGATGTGGTGGGTGGGTTTGGAGACGATGCAGGCGGGGTAGAGCCATTTGGTGAGAGCGCGGAGGACATGCGGCGTGGTCCTGATGGGGGGAGTGCCATCGCGTTCCGTGGCTGAATTGGTGGATTAGGCGTGGCTCGTGATGGATAGGATGGCGAGCGGCCATGAGAACTATGAGGGCCTGAAGGTGAGGGGTGGCCATGTGAGGGTGTAGAGAGTGTGCGATTAGGTTGATAGGCACTTGGTCCACGGGGCGGGACAACGTTGTTCATAGGCCTGGTGCCACCAGATGGGCCGCGAGGAGGAACAGTCGAGAAGCCGTTGGAAAGTTGTTGAAGCCTCTCCGGGTGAACAGCAGGGCCGTTCGGAGGAGGTGATGCTCGTCTTGGAGGTGTTGGGCGGGGTGAGGCAGCGGCATTGCGTGGGCCACGTGGGGGTGACATTGCTCTAGAGGGGGGTGAACGGGGGCGAGATGGAGGGGCCGGCGAAATCTTCCTGCTGGTCACTCCAGCTGATGGTGCAGGAGAGGAACCAAAGCCGGTGGCTCTGACCGGTGGTTTGCCGTTGGCGCTGCGTGGTGATGTTGCTACAGACTCACGGACCGGGGAACGAGAACGAGGTCTACTCGGGGGTGGGGGTGGTGAGAACGGCCTCGCAGATCCTCTGCTAGGCGGGGAACCACCAATTCTTCCTCTTTTTCTCGGAGGAGACCCCGGGCTTCTAGACGGCCTTGCTCGAGGGGATCTGGAATCTCGGCGCCTAGGGGATGGAAATCGCGGAGGTGTGGACGAACGACGCCTCCTTACTGGCGACCTAAAAGGTGAACGAGATCCACGCCTAGGAGGAAGTGGTGATCTGGGTCTTATGGGAGACCTATCTCTCCGATCACCTCTACGGAAATCGTTACGACGAAGTGGAGACCTAGATCTAATGATTCTTCTGGGAGAACGAGACCTTTCCCGTCTTCGCACAGGTGATCGGGGAGTAGGAGAGCGCCTTCTCGAAACAGGGCGAATCGGAGAGCGGGTTCTCGCACGAACTGGGACTACGCGCTCAGCTACTACACGGTCAGACACCACACGCTCTGTGGGATGGGCAGGAGGTGACTGCCTGGACGATGGTCTTTTCGTAGCAGAGCGGGGCAGGCTCCCTCCTCTAGATCGATCCCTCCTTGGCGGGGGAGTTCTATCACGCCTAGAGGGGGGCGATCTATCCCTCGACCTATCCCTTCGAGGTGGTAGTGGAGAGGGCGAGCGACGTCTATGACGATGCTCTCTAGGTGATCTAGACAGCGGGCTTCTTCCACCCCGTCTACGAATTGGTGTCAATGATCGACTCCTATCTCTTCTCCGAATAGGGCTTCGAGATCTTGCCCTGTCCCTGTCTCTAACAGGTGACCTAGAAGGTGACCTGTGGCGGCGAATCAGAGAGCGGGACCTCCCTCTATCCCCAAATGGTGGGGAGCGAGAGGGGAACCGACGACGCGTAGGAATATAGCTATCACCTCTTAGAGGAGGCGGAGAGCGGGATGGGCGGCGACGACCAGAGCCCGAGGAGGGTATATAAGAATCGAGACCGCGATGTGGTGATGGATCGCGGAAATCACGAAATCTAGTTACAGAGAAAGGCCGTCAGCAAAACAACGTGTCTTCTAAAACATGATAATGGGCTAGAGGACATGCCATGCGACCTGAGATCACACTTTTTGTCCCTTTATGGATGAAAAGGAGTAGCTTGATATTTTGATGATGATATGATGTTTGTACCTTCTACTATCCCTATCGCGGTCTCTGTCCCTATCTCTTTCCCGATCTCGGTCCATAATAGAAAGACGGAAGCTCCTTTGTCTTTGTTTCGATCAGAAGCAGGTGTATAAAGGTTGATTCTGGATTGATTATAATACCGTAGTAATAGCACTTGAGGCAGCAGTAATTGTTGGCAAGGATTCTCGGCGGTTATGTTATACTACCTAGTGAGAGTAGTAGTAGTTATTGTGGGGGGAATTCGCTAAGAGTTTGACAGAAACAGGTATATTTAGAGCTGCGGGATGTGTCTGGCAGAGCGGTATTCGGTGTGTCGTGTTGGCTTTGATTGAATTGACAAGTGGAGTGGGGGGTGGAGTGAGTGTGAGTAAGTGAACAAGTGACGGGTGCCTGCAGTCGAAGGAGAAAGGTGTAAGGGAAATATTCAAGGAGGGTGGTTGGTAAGATTAGTATCTATCAATTCCCTCAAAATTGAAGCATTTACATGTACACTTGATAGTCGTGATAGCAATAGTTATGGTAGTAACAATAGATATGTGATAATTGAGGTACTGTAGATACAAGATATAGTTGAGGTGACTACATGTACCTACTCAACACAGCAACCACGACGACGATACTAGCAGACTTTTCTCCAGGATTTTTTTTTGGTGATTCCATTTTCTGGAAGCAACCCCAAAATCGCCTGGTCAGTGACAAACCCTTGGCACCTACTAGTACACATGCACACGCACACGCACACGCACGCCACGCTAGTACCTTTCCTTGATGCGGCAGAATAGGCTTGGTGCACAACCCTATTTAGGGCCACCAGCGTTGTTGTTGATACCAGTCAGCCTCTCTGTGGCGCCTTTTTCGACTACCTATGTCTACATGTAGTCAAGTCCCATGGATGTAGCTAGCCAGCTTATTCATCCCCAAGACCACGAAGCTTCAACTCCCCGACCTCAACTTCAAATTTCTAAATTCCCACCTATTCACCAATAATACAATAATCAAACAATGAAGTTTCTACTGGCATCCCTACTGGCATCTGTTGCATCAGCATTTACCGTAACCGGGACCTTCGCACCCTCCCCTCACCTCCCGAATCCTGCTCTCCTACCCCCCACAACCTCACTTACACTCACCACCTCCGGCACCACCGCGCGCACCCTCATCTCAACATCTAACGGCTTTACTTTCCACAACATCTCGGCAGGATCCTATCTTCTCGATGTCGCCTGTCCATCTCACCATTTTGCGCCTCTTAGAGTCGATGTTGCTGGTAACGGTGATGTGAGCGTACACACCACGTTCCGCGGGAACGAGTGGAGCAATCTAGGGGAGGCACGGCCGTACCCAGTGATGCTACATGCGATCAAGACGGCAGACTACTATGTAGTCCGTGAAGGCTGTATGTGCCCCTTTCCCGATTTTTTGTTTCCATACATAGATAATTAATACCGTACTGGTAGTCAATCCAACCAAACTTCTCGCCAACCCAATGATCCTCGTCGCCATTGTATCACTCGTGGCGATTGTCGGCCTCCCAAAATTGGTTGACAAGATGGACCCTGAACTCAAGGCCGAGTTCGAAGAGTCGCAGAAGAAGGTTGGCGCGGCGCAGGCGAACCCATTGGGCGGGTTCGATGTTGCTTCGTTCTTGGCTGGGACATCAAAGCCCGCAACACCAGAGGTGAAGCAGAGTGGGAAAGGGAGAAAGAATTAGAGTATGGTGGGGGGCGGGTGATATATATCAATGATTATTGTAGAATCCCTTTTCTTGTGTTTTTTCTTTTAGCTCAGCAGTTATCCTCCTCATTTTGATCATACATAAGTCCTATGAAGCGGATTGAATTATCTCGGGGAGCATGGGCTTATCTGCAGGTTGTAATGTTAATGTATCATTACGGATAAATGACTTTGTGAATGCTTCTATCGAACCTGAGATCGTCGTTTGAATTTGCCCATGATGGAAACACGTTACATCCTGTAGGTAATGTACCGGGGTTCATCATAAATACCGAGAATCTGGTAAGATAAACACTATTGTACAGCAATATTCTCTTATCAGATTCTTCGTACTTTCCCTCAGCCCCCAGTACATAGCTGGTTGGCTAACAACCCTATCCCTACCGGCGCATAAAACCTTAGCATATCGCGCCAACAATCTTATTTCCACCTTACCATGATTTTTAAATAGAGCATTAAAAAATGATTAATCCAAAATCCCAGAGGTATATCTCATCCTAGCGTCGTATCATATACATCCATTCTTTTTTAAAAAAAATTCCAATTGCCCAAAACACCCGAGAGAAAAATTGATAGGTATCTATTATCATCCGGACAGGATGACATGCTTATACAATTATTATCAAAGGCATAAAACAGGGAATTTCTAACTATTAAAAAATATCCCCACTAATTCCCAACAAAGAAAGTAAGAAGAAGCGTGTAAAGAATGAGAAACGCTTTAGTGCTTCCCAGTAGGAACTTCACCAGTGAGCTTCGCGACGGCTTCCTTTGCCCTGTTGTCCCGGGTGGTATTAGTAGATGATCAGATATAAAGAGTTAAGTTTGGAGAGAGGCATACATATCACCCATCCCAACCATGCAGACCGTCTGCCAAACGCCAAGTCCGATTCTAGGAGTGACACCACGGTAAAGTCCTTTCAGTCCATTCTGCTGGTAAATGTATTTTGCTGCCGTGCTGACCGTGAGGTTCTTAGGACGGTTCGGATCCTCTTTCTTGCTCTGCATCTCAACACGGATGACCTATAATATATTTAGCGTCTTTACCCTCATAAGATCTACATGTATATTCACCTCAATCGGTTGATTCCAAGCACTCAAACCACCACCAAGAACACTAGCCAAGATTTTCTCCCATACGGCCAATTTATCACTTTCACCCTTTCCAGTAGCCTTTCTGATACCCTGCTCAGCGAGCCTGCTCAAACCGAACCTGGAACCCCAATTGGTCATTTGTCTAATCGCAACAGCGTTAACACCTCTGTTGATACCCGCGATACCATCCTTGCGGTAGATATCGGCAAAGACGCCAAAAGTAGACTGCGGCTTAATTCCAGAGGCAGCCTGTTTGTGACGGGTGATTTCGGCCGTCTTCATACAGGTACAGAATCCCATGGTAGCATATGCCTGCGCAACACCACCGATAACACCCCCCGTGATACCGGCGGTGAAGCTCCCAGCTCCGAAAGTCCGAGCATGGTATCTGCGCCGATGGTTAGCTGGATTTTTCCCCCAAAGAGAGGCACGTGGAGTTCACTTACTCAGCTTCCGAGGAAACAAAAAGAAGAACTGCTCCTTTGGTTGATGCCTCAATCCATGCCTAAATTTCGAATTATTGGTCAGTTTACGTCTCCGTTCAACCGGCGATTGCCGACGCCCTGGTTCTTTGCATGTGCCAAAACATCAAAAGGTGACAACTAACCCATGGGATTAACCCCTGGTAGACTAAACGCACAGGTAAGAATCAGCTGCCACTCCCGCGCAAGGCACTAAACTGCGGGGAGAAAAGTTGGGGGGGAGGGGCAGAACAACGCACATCCGAAAACCCCACCACGACTCCATGTCGTCTTGAAAGCACTCCCAATGCTGTCGCCTCGGTTGGCTGCCATATGGGTCTGGAACAATTTATTAGTTCTACCATATCTTTAAGAACCTCCTATCGGTGATGAGAAATAGTGGTTTACCTTGACAACCTCAAGAGGCTATCTCGATCAAAAAGAAAATACTAGTTAGCTACCTATTGGACATTTCGCGCAAGCCTGTGCGATCATACCTGTCCCAACGTAGTGACCCTATTGGCAAAAAAAAAGAGAGAAAATCAGCTTTTTTTATCTTCAAGGACGAATACCCATAATAACCAGAATTTGAGGAAACATACTCGAACATATTCAATCCAGCTCCCACTATTAACTTCAGCGTTAGACCTCTATCTCTTCTTCGAACGCATATAATAAAGGGAGGACGTACAGAGCAGATTGGAGAAGCTCACGGGCTTCTTTTGGATCACATTTGTGGTGGTTTCGGCTGCCATTGATAATTATTCTCTTGTCTTAAGGGTCCTGACCAAGGACGAAAAAATTGCAGAGTTGAGGGAAAGTGTTGGGAGATGTGCTGAGACGACGATAGCGAAGCTTTGACGAACAATAGCAGAGTTAGATGCAGTTCAAGAAAAGAGGGGAATAAGGGGGGAGGGTAAAAAAGGGAGGGTAAAAAAGGAGTCAAGTACTTGTATGTACCTACTTACCAAGGGGGTATTTAGTTTGGGGGTGAAGTAAAAAAAATCGCAAGCTCTGGTTTGTTGAGGACACCACTGGGGTCGCGAACTCGGCGTGCGGCTGGTCCATTAATGCCCGTGCTTTCGTGCAACCATCAAGACAATAACAGTCCCAGCAGAAGATCCGAGTATGTCAACTCCATCCTGGACACGTTTAATATATACCATGTCACAAAGAAGTCATTTCTACAATATCTCCACATATAATACATATACCTATATGGATATAAATATGTGCTTTTAATCCGTTTTGTCTATCCGATCATTGCCCCGGCCAGTATGAATAGTTGAGGCTCAGAAATCCAAAGATCAGGAATCTCATACAGGCCCATAGTCCTGGATCCCTGGGTCGGTAGGACGGAAAGCTAATACAAAATCCCTATCTACATGTAGCTTACCCAAGCTCTAGGATTGATTTAAAATCTAACAGGACACATATATCTTTATAGAAAAGCTCCTTGAGCTTGAATAAAGTCCCGAGGCCGTCCATTCTCGTGGAGTTTACAACATTTCAATTATAGGAGAGACGCCTGCAAATTTACTGTCTATGTAGAGTGGGAGTTTTCGTGTCGTGTCTGTCTAGAGCTCCCCACAATAAGAACCTCCACTCTTAAAACCATATTGTTTTCGGCTGGGGTTTTTTGCAGGTGCATGTACGTACTCGGCGATAAAACTACTCAGGTCCCTCGAATTAACAGCCCCGATAGGATATGACTATGGGCCCAGAGTTCTAAGAGGCTTGGCATATATAAATTCCCTCATGCTCAATCCGAGTCAGATTGAAGTACAGCGGTGGGTAATAAGTCATCAGACGGAACACCACCAAAATACGCGTTTGCAGGCAAAATTGTGGCTAGGTCGTCCGATGACTTATTACCCACCGCTGTACTACATGTACCTGTTATGGGCTTAATCATATGGAATCACTCGGTATGTAATAATAGACATTACACGCATTATTAATAACTTGTGATATAGTTTCATAGAAGCAAAATCAGGACAATTAAAAGTTTTTATCCTTGGCATAGGAAATAATCCCACGGATTTCATCTCAAGATCTTCGGGTCCTTATCTTATCTAATCTCCTAATTGAGGCTCAAAAAAATTCACTCTCGAAACTTCAACCACAACCTTACAACAAATAAATCAAACAAACACCACAATGATTGTCCGCTACATCTCGAACGTAACGATCGCCTTCAATCCGTTCTCTCCACGTGCACGGACAGCGCGGCTGTTCATGAGTCTTCTCCCACCGGACGCCCGGACAATGATGAAGGTCAACACCAAAGTCCTTCCCCGGACATCTGAGCTGGGCGGGAGCATTCATGTTGTGTTCAGTATGTACACCTATGAACGGAAGAATTGGGGGAAACAAGATGGCTAATATGTCTGTAGAGGACGGGAAGGAGGTCAAGCTGGACACCTCGAAAATGGGTATTACGGACGTAGTGGAGGAATGCGATCGACACTCTAGAACACTGCAAAGGAAGGATGCATTGACGGGTTAAAATAATGCGGAAGAACATTCTGTGAAGAGGGGTGTATGTAATGGTTAATTACACTCAAAAAGACTTGGAAGGACCGCTGCGAAGATACCGGTTTAATATTTTTCTAATGCCAAGAGCATTGCATCCCGAATCTCACAATCAAAATCGAATCAAAAAATTAGCCATAGCTTCAAAGCCAATAAATAGCTCTTACATGTATGCTTAATGCCATGTAGTGAGGACCGAGGTAAGCGTGTGAGTTCAACGCAGCTACATCAGATATGCCAATGATAGGTAACTACACGAAATATCCATTGGTGTTAAGATAATTTTTATATGGATTTTGGCCGTTTAAGTCAAATAATTGTATTAGTGCACTTGGTCATACATGTAGTAATAAGTATGCTTTTTTCGACTATCAAAGAAAATGGGTGGCACTTTAGAGCGGCTGGTTTGATGATGACGTACTGTGAGGACAAATTCACTATAAATATATGTATTGAACACCCACCTATGTCTATTTCATACGTAACAAGCTAATCGTAATACTGCACCCATCTCATAAACTCCTACTTGTCCCTTTGACTTGACCTCTTCTTCCTTGTTCACTCTAATTGAAATATCAAGGCATCCTGCGTTCCTATAAATCTACTTCAGTTACGAGCATATTACAAAGTATCCGTACAAAGCCCGACATTCATCAATCCCCTTATCTCACTTCACCCTCCTACAAAAATATCCTGCTTGCGATGGAATCCAAACAAGAAATTGTAAACTTTATCGATAAGACGTTTCAGGATATCGGAAGCTCACTTAGTCCCCTGGAGCTTCCTTCCAGCATTCTACACTCAAAGGGTATTAGGGACCATAAAGTGGAGCCTGACGGTTTTCAATCGTGTTTTGAACATTCTAGCTATCACACCAGAGAATTTAATGTGAAAGCCCATGGTGTCCCACCTTTGCAACATCATCACTTGCATACAGACAAACTGGCTAGTGAATTGATCCCTTTTGCAAACAAGCATCCCATTGATCATACTGGAGCCACCAGGAACGCTGGGGCTACCGGAAATTCTGGAGCTATTAGAGCTCCTTTGTGGCACGAAAAAGCCACTACAACGGCCTGCCGTCCGCATGTGGGGGAATTAAGGGGAGTATATGAGTGGAAGAACGTTTCTGATGGCGTCAAACATCTAGGCGAAAAGGAGAAAAAGCAGGGACATGGGCAAGGTGTGAAGGAGGAGAAAGGCGAGGGAAGGATGGAAAGCAACAGTGGCAGCGAAGGCCAAGACGAAGACAGCAAAGGTTACGTTCACGTAATCTATGCAAAGTCGAGCGGATATTGCAATCAGAAGGTTAAGGACGAACTGCCTAATGTCATTTCAACCCGGGAGTCGTCTCCACAAAGCTCTTCCCCCAAAAATGCGACTCTGAGCGAAAAAGAAGAACCTTCTTACGAGGACGATTTTATCATTATCGAACATGAAAAGTAGAGCTATGGCACCATAGAACGCACCGAGCTTTAGGTATATTTCCACCCCGCTCCATGCATCCAAAAAGTCTTCTTTTCTGATTGCTAAGTGCGATGCTATAGTTCATGTATATCTACAAATATACGCGTACGCTTGGGGTGAGATAGTTTGCTTGAATGTTTGTCCACTGGAACAAACTACCGTAGGATGGGGTTTACAGATCTAGGATTAAAACCACGAGTGATTGTATGTGATCCAATTCGGGTAGCGGTTCTATTTTTTAATTTTTTACATATATCGATCGAACTTAAACTTCCTCCACTAACATACAATTAATCATCAGATACAAAGTTACAAACCATTTCCTATATACGAGCCACAGCCCTTATTTAGGCCTTGGTTGGTCAATTGGGTTAGCTATGATTAGAGTTGAAATATTTGCATGAAGTTCACGTAGCTAGAAGGCCTAGGGTTACCAGATTCTTGAGCTTCAACGAAGCTGATATACATGTAGTTTTCTTGTTCCTTTTCCCTTTGCTCTTTTGAATAAGATTCAATTTTAGCTTGATCAGGACTTAAGCTGTTTCTCCAGCTAGTTTACAGAGTGATACGAGGCGTATCCTGTAAGCGGCAAAACACAAGTTGTATGTCGTCTCTGTAGCTACTGATATAACAAGCTTAAGGCCGCGTCCTGTTGCAACGAATATCACGATATTCGACCTCCTTGGCACAATATGTGAGATTCTTTCTGAAGGTAGTGTTCGAGCAACCACTTTTTGTAATATTTGTCATCCTATTAGGGCCCTAATATCACGATCTAAAATATTCTGCTCAGACCAAAATATTCAAGGTTGTATCAATCAATCCTCACTGCACTAACACCAAATTCACAACCAAATTCACCAACCCCAACTATTGTATTGCTAGAGCTCTCATTCACACGAATTTACATTCATTGAAACACCATTGTGGCTTGTGAAGGCTTGATGTGTTATGGGTAGCAGAACACGCCTTAAAATTTATTTTTGCCAGGTTGCTACATTGGCAGGTCGTAACTCACAATATCTGAAATGGCGGTTGCGAGGGCGCGGCTTAAGGCTCCTTCATTCTAGATTTTAGCTCCTAAAAGTAAACATAATAACGCCCGTACCCTTGCCTCCATGTAATATCCTGAGATAAGCATGTATTTACACATGTAGCAAAAGCTAAACCAACCCTAAAACCCTTATTTCTATTTTACGATGGCAGCCATAGAATAATTAGTCCCATGAGGTAGAAATTCAAAGCTTAGATATGAATCCATGGAAATACAGTTCCCGCAATCTTGTGGGTAATCGATGAACTGACTAGGTCACCGGTTCTTGTAAATATACCTCCCCTTCTCACCCTTCTCAGCTTCTCTTCTCATTTCCTCAATTTTCCGTAGCCTCATTTCCTCGGCTGCTCCATGCTGCCTCTCGAGATCTTGTGTATCAGGGAAATCTGCGTCCCAAAACCCCGGGGGACTCTTTCGTCTAGGAAATGCATCTCTATGCCTTCCAAACCTGGCCGTAAACCTTGCATCCAACGCCACTTCCCCCTCCTCATCACAAGCTGTATCGGTGGATGCTGGAGGAGGGCTAGATCTCCACCTCGGCCCTTTAGGTGGAGGGATGGTAACCCAGCTGCCTCGACGAATCCTATAAGTCCCTTACAGCAGGTTTTTGCACACCCAGGTAGACATTTACGTGCCCCGCGATCACGAACAGTCTCGACAAATGCATAGTCCCTTCCACCATTGACCTTCGGGTTGACCCGAAAGTGCGAAATGTCGAGTTTGCTCTGACGTGAGTTACTCTTCTGTTTCCTTTCGGGATATGTTAAGGCATCAACCCAGTCTTTCTGTGTCTTTCTATTCGGCGGTTCACTTGTACTTCCGGGGTTTTCTGATCCCTTCCTGAGGGTCCTTTTCGGTGGGGCACTACTCCAAGCTCCCATTTTCTTTTTCAAATGTTCAAGGCTTGGAGTTTTCGGTGCAGGCGAGTGTAGCATTTCACTTAACTTTGGAATACCTTCCCGTTTCCTCTGTTCTTCAGATATATCATAAGTATCAATATCGTCGATCCCATCAGTCCCATCCTCGGTGATTTGTGCTATGAAGTCTCTGGCGGTTGTGCGGCGCTTTATTTTTGACTTCTCGGGAATGTCCCGGCCAGATTTTGGCTTTCTCGCAGCTGGTAAGGCTCTTCGAGTGGGAGTCAAGAGCGGGGGTTGGTTTATGTTTTCTATTAGGGGGGGCTGCTCCCCAAATCGTTGTTAACTCGCTGGTTTTCTCCGCCATATATCACAGTTCCTGTATCTGGGCCCATGTGGGGTGGTACTGTGGATTTAATATTCGTTATCCCGGGAGGTATCCGTGATATTTCTGGCCGGTAAGGGGCCCCAGCCGGATGCATGGTTGATAATGGGGATGCTGGAGACAAAGTCTCATCTTCATTATTCCACATAATACCTTCGTCCTCGTCTTGAGTATCCTCTACCATCATTAGGTCTTGGGTCTGTGGCGCACCCGGTATCTTCTTGACCGTAAACCCACCATTACTCCAACCAGGTCTACCACTAGAAGTTACACTAGATGTTGATCCCTCTCTAAGAAGAGAATTGGCTATCCTTTGTTTCTTACGAGGCGTATCTGGTTTATGACCAATGTCATCAAGATCCAAACTTTCTTGCTCGTAAAGATGATAGCCGAAGCCTTCACTACTCGCAACACTGGTTTCACTCTTGATCACAACAGGACGAGCGATAGAGCCCCCTTCTTGGATACATCTGCTGTGTGTTTCCCCCCTCGCATTTGGAACATTGAAGACTGTATCAAGGCGTGGGGGAGCAAGTGGAGGACGGTCATATAATTTCTGGGTCGGTGTAGCACCGATGTCTCGTGATTCGCTATTTTCACCCTGTGTACTGGAGGCGTTACGATCTTGAGGAGTAGTAGTCGGAGTGCTCTTAGGACTTTCTCTAGTGGTATTGACCGCCTTTATCTCAGCCCTAGGGGTTTCTGATAGTGAGGGGGGTCCTCGTCGCTTTCTGTTAGCTCTGAATGGACCTTTTCCACAGGTAAAACAGCCTTGTTCTTAACGTCTTTGGTACCGGCGGAAGTGCAAATATCAACACCTAGATCTTCAGATTCCGATTTACCAGTAGAACCCTTGAATTTTGCAAACAGGCTCGTTTTCGTTGGAATTGCGTGGGATAGCTCGGGTATAAGTATTGGCCTGTACGGCGAGAGTGGCGGTGGCTTCGTGTAGGGCGTTCTCCCAGTTTTGGGGGCCATAGACGTCGTATTACTATCTAATAGCTGCAGCCCCCCATCCTCAGGCATCACAGTCCCCTCCCGTTTCCTTTTTTTTGTTTGCTCTATGCGCTCTTTGTCTGTTTTGATCCATGCTTCCCAGACCTTTCTGTTCTTAATATATTTTTCTTGAAGTCCCAGGTAAGCTTTCTTGAGCTTTAATGTTTCATTTCGAACGGAATCGTAACGAGTACTGAGTTCGTAAAATGCCTCTGTGAGATCCTCATGACCTTGTATGGAGCTTGTTTGAGTTGTCTGATCATTTGAATAGAGGTATTCGGTTTGCACGCTGCGATCACTAGTAAGATTTGGCGATCTTGAAGTTTGTATTGACGATTTGTGAGGTGGTGATACTGGTCTCTCTAGAGTTGGGAGTTTTTGCAGGGGGGAGGTAAGATGATTCAAGACTGGAGGTAAAGGGTCCAAGTTCTCCTTGTCCTGTAGCTGTTCCCTTGGGGGTGTTCCAAGCCTACAGATGAACATCAATAAGCTTTCCGTTCAAGATGGGAAAGATTGAGATTAAGGCATACACTTTCCGCCTAAGCCCTCTATCTGATTTTACTGCCAAAAGCTCTTCGAGATTTCCGTTCTCGACGACGGCCTCTGCCAGTTCGCACTTTAAATGATGTATTTCGTCCTTTTGGTCCGCAATCTTCTTTAAATGCTCCGATTTCGACCGTTCATGCACGCCAAGCTATCGTTCGAAAATACATGTAGGTTAGACAGTCCATACCACTTATAAATAGCGGGATAGAATCCTACCAGTAGCTCTTGCTCTTGTAAACGTCTGTTTAAATCCTCAATGACCTTGTCCTGTTCCGCTTGTTCTTCAACTCCTGCTGATCGAATATCACGTAAGTTTCGTGTGATCATCAATTGGCACATAAAGGTTTGTGACTTACCTTTTTTCAGCGCTAATTCCAAATCTTTCTCTAAGTCCCCAAAAAGCTGAGACCCAATATTACTAAACGCGATGCGATGCCTCTCGATGATATCCATGTGAGGCGAGCTATAAGAGATCCTTCGGGAGCCTTTAAGAGGGTATGGTTTTATAGTAAGCTTGGATGGGGCCGTGATTTTGACAGATTAGGGCGCCTATAGTTCACTAGAGCCGATGTTTCCCCGGAGGTCACTTGGGACGACGCGTAAAGCGAAATTCGCTAAAAGTGACGTGTTGCGGGACATCATGCCCTGACAAAAGCTGACAAACCCAATCTTCAGCCACAAATCGTAAACGATTAGTCAGATTTAAGTCAAGGCATCCAAGTCCAATTTACATGCCAAAATAAAGAGTTACATGGGCCATTGCAAGTAGATTTAGATGTTAATAAAGTGATTACTGGCACTTGGATGGTTAGGAGTTCAGCCCAATCACTTAATTGGTACCAAGGATTAGTTGGTGTCAAGGATTATTGCTACTGTACTTTAGGTATTTTCACATTGATACAGGCGTAGATGTGGGTATGTACGTACTATGTACATGTATATATAGTATTTTATATTGGATTATATCGACATAATAGGAGAAATAATACTCAAGTACTGAGAAGAGTACTAAAATCACCAGCGATATATCATACTATTGAAACCTTGTTGAATTCAGTGGTATTAGAGCGTATTTGACAACTGTCGATTCCGACAATTGACAGTTCGCCGGCTGCAATAGCGGTTTGCCGAACCGTCAATTTTGATTGATGAGGGTATCGGCACATGGTACCGGAACTTGGAGCTGGACTCTATCAATGCGCAAAAGGCCTTATGTCTCGATCTCGTCACCACTGATAATGGTCGAGATCTAGTAAATAATTTGAGAGTTCGTGAAGTATAATGTCAATTTTGCGACCCGCAACTGTCAAAGCCGAACAGTCAATTGTCGAAATCGACAGTTGTCAAATACGCTCTATTCTGTCGGTCGAATCCGTAAGAACAATTTGGTATCTAATACCACTAAATGCACTTGTATAAAAGTAAACACTTTCACTACATATGAATTCTAGGGCATTTCAAAGTTACACAACTCTAGTGGCTATTCAGATACTACATGTAGTGTTGATGAACCATGAAGTGGCTATCAATACCAGGATGTGGCCCAATGTGCTTGACTAAGCTCACGATAACGCGAATAAGGAAATGATAAGTGAGTGGCTCAAGTCGCCACTGGTCATCCTTCAACGTCAATCCGTCAACGACAAAGCTCAAATCTCCGAGTAGACACAGCTTCAAAACCCGGCAATTAAGGGAATTAATCTGCGCCCACCAGTTTTTTCGGCGTAATGCCTAAACGACCAGCTTCGGAATCGCCGGAGCCATCTTCGAAACGCCACCGCCCAAATGTTGTTCCTTACATTAAACGACTTAGCGACGAGCTCTTTCTAAGGATTGCCTCTTTCTTGTCGATATCTGATCTTACATCATGCCAGAGGGTATCTAAACGATTCTCTCGTATTGCGACAGATGGCCAAATCTGGAAGGCGCTCTTCTACAGGAGGTTCGTACGTCCTCGAGCTTCTCGGATTCCAGGAGTATCAAGAGCTCCGCCTTCGAGTCTGCACTATTCATCGCGTAATTCAAGATGGTTGGAGGATGAAGGGCTTGCTAGGACTAGCGCAACCAACTGGAAGCAGCTCTATAGGCTGCGTCACAATTGGAATAGAGGGATATGTAGTATCAGTGAGATTGATATCACTGCCAATGAACCACTCCCGCCGCTCCCACCGCCAGTACCGCCATTGTTGGTCAGATTGCACGAGGTACACAGGTCTACCTCATTTCCTAGCGGATCACAGGTTGACCATGTGCCTTTAACATAGGGAATGGTCTTTACCGTGGACTCGACGCATGGCCTCTGTGCATGGAAGTGGAGAAACTCGAAAAAAAGTCTCATCGCTAATGCAGACCTATATCAAAGCTCTCTGGACCTCGGCTCGTACGGCGCTCCTACTGCAATGGCCATCGACGAAGATTGCGATGCGACGAAGGCTGTCAATATCACAGTCGGATTTGAAAATGGTGGATTTTGTGTGTATCAGCTGGACATGGAAATGTCATCCTCAACATTCAGGCTCCGTTACATCGATCCCCGGAACGGCCCTTCCCCGGGGAATAGTTCACACGGACCGATGATCATCTCAATGGCCTACTGCACACCATACCTACTGACAATGACAGCCTCTCAGCTTTTGACTACCTATCGATTTGAAGGATCAGACGACATTGACATTGATGGGAGCAAGGGTAGTGCTGAAGACCGCGAGCGCATGATGCATGCACCGAAAATCCTTACATCCTTGCATTCGCATACAGTCTGGCCCCCCTTATCGCTTTCGCTTCGACGATCAGCACAAAGCTCAGTCATTGCCTGCATCGTCTACGCGTTCCCGCTGTACATTTCAGGGTGGTCGGTGGGAATCCAAGAACTCCGGTTTTCAGATGATGCGGATGGAGTTCATGACTCAAGAATTGCAACGGCTGTGCCATCCGGTTTCAACCCAGTGCCAAACATGTCGCCGGCGAGTCCTCCCGCGCAAAGTAGCGTTGGGTCAAAGTCACATTCGCAGGCGAATAATGTGCCTCTTGCTCAGCCTACTTGTCTTTCATACACTCATCCGTAAGTGATATGACGCCTCATAAGACCGAATTCGAAACCCCCGCTTTTCAATCGTATCGAGTTTGTCTCAGTTTGTAGTACCAACACTAACACCCTGGGACCTTCCGTCTGATCTCAGATATCTACTAGCCTCACATGCCGACAATACTCTCACCCTTTATTTAGTCAAATCTACAGCTTCATCAGTCTCAATAGATTCCGGACAACGCCTTTGGGGGCATACTTCTGGAGTTTCTACAGCCCAGGTCAGCAGTCGGGGAAAAGCGGTCTCCATGTCTACAAGAGGATTGGAGCTCCGTGTTTGGGAGCTTGAGGGTGGTGTATCGGAAAAAAGAAGATTGAACGCGAGTGTAAGAGTGGAATCCTCCCAAGCATATAAAGGCAATGACGTAGTAGAAGAGTGGCGCGGGGATAGTCAAGGATGGCTAGGCGGATTTGATGAAGAGAAGGTGGTGGTGTTGAGAGCGAAGGACGAAGGTAGACAGGCCTTGATTGTTTACGATTTCTCCCGCTAGGGCACTATGGGTCCCAAAGATTAGATAGACTAAGAGGATAGGTGTTGAGGAATCTAGAGATCTGATGATACATTATGCGGCTATTTTGGGATCGTGCTCGGGGGTGCATAATATAGAGCCTTATCGTGCAGAAGCACGTGGGCATAGTGCATACTGCTACGTTTCTTTTTCTCGTCCCAACATCTCTGATTTCCATTTCGACGGAAGATCACTGCTAGGACCCTACCTATGCGTGAATTGGGAAAAAAAGTATTTTAAATGCCGTTATTCAAAGGAAGTCAGGACACCGTCCAAACGAATAGCTAATTAAGGCTATCTGAGTGTGGAAAACCGACCAAGGATTTCGCTTCGAGTCTAACAGCTTTTTCGAGACATGTATTCCAGTGTTGCAGGGTGTAAAGGCGGGGGAGGGGTTTGCGATCGCGCCAAGAGGGGTTTTGTATTACCCCCCCCCCCTTCCCAAAATGTGATATTCGGATCAGCTAGGCTGAGTCCTCGGGGAACTGTGACATTGGCGGGGAAAATCTACAGCCCGTGACTCCTGGTTTCTCTTCGGCGCGTAGGTAATATGTACGAGATGGAGCATGTCGAAACCCAGGAAATTTTATATGCAGAAGCACAAAGGGTATGTGGAGCACATAAAGTTGCTTGGTTTTAAAATGCGGGGGAGTGAGTGTGAGTTCATGCTGCCAGGTTGAGCATGAGCGTAAAGTATATATAATGTACTTTACCTACATGTAGGTACTGGGGATGGGTAGAGTACATACATGTATGTACTTTTCTCTAGGATCGAAGTTGTCATATGCACGTTGCACATAACCAAAGTCTTTCCTTCAGCGGGATGGGAATCTTGACGGATGTGCATGCCTAGAGTGCCGTAATTTAGGTAGTAGTGAGAGAAACCCTACAAAACTCCAAAAAGTCACAAAAGGATTCAAAGTCGGTTGAGAGCCAGGTTGTACTCGCTTGTTTAGACTCAAGACAGATAACGAACGGTGAAGGGAGGTTTCCCCTGTCGAAACTCGAAAAGGCGGAGTACCACGCGGGGCGGGTCCAATCGGCCCAGTAAATCTCCTTCCGGGACTGCTCTCGCCGTTTTCGGGGCGCCGAGAAAAAGAAGCTTCCCCGCCTTGGCCCACTGTCTGCAAATCGTTCGGGAGCAACAGCCGCTAGTCCTTTACGGGCTAGTTTTTTGAGGTTAGAGCCCTCTCATGGCTCAGGTTTGGGCACTTGCCCCCTGCAGTCTTTTTTCTCACATTTTTTTTTTTTTTTTTTTTTTTACATATTTTTCGCCCCGCTGTTTGCCTGGGCGAAGGTTTTGGCCTAGTCACTACACTACACTTCCCACAATCACAACCACGACCACCACCACCTTTCTCTCATTCTTCACCTCTCCTCTACACACCTGTTTCTCTTCCATCAATTCACTTTATCGTCTTTGTGTCTTTTGACCATCAATTCCACATTTATCATCTCCTCCACCCCACCCACCCCACCCACCTTTACACCCCTCCACCCTTAAAGTAAATATATATTTTTCAAAATGGAGTTCGGCGGTTCTAACGTTCGTGCTTGCTACAACTGTTTGTTCTCCCGTCCTCTTAACTTGATGTTTTCTTTTCACCGGTACAATTCATCATTGTTGCGTTTCCCTCCCTCCATGAGGGGAGGGAACGCCGTGATGGCAAGTTCCCCAATAAGAAAAATATCCGAACTATTATTACTACCCCACCCAACCTCTTCGCTCTTCATTCTCAGAATTGGTATAGAGAAAGGGATGGAAATAATTTTGGGGCTCGCGCTGATCAAAGATATAATGTAGGTGGCGAGGCTGGTCACCAGGTACTGCCATTTTATTGCTTTTCTCGATAAGTTGACTCGATTACTGATTGCAATTGAAGGCTCGCGAATGCCCTAAGCGTGGTACTCCTGTTTGGTAAATATTACCCCATACTTTCCCTAATCATAGTATTTGGGTCAATTTAAGATTGGATGGAATGTTTGAGCTGACTTTGCCTTGCCTTTAGCTACAACTGTGGCCGTATGTTAATACCTAATATAATTTTAACCACTCAAATTATACATGTTAACTTAGTTGTGTTATTCCATTTGCAGAGGATGGTCATATGAGTATGTTTATGCGTTTAGGAATTGATTATCTTGAGTATTGATCTAACGAAATTTTCAGGCAGAGACTGCACCAGCCCCGCGAAGGAGAAGAGTTGCTACCGTTGCGGCCAATCAGGTTCGAACTTTCCTAATTTGGAGATCCTCTTCTCCAATCTTGGTCTCGTGATCACATCGTGCTGACTGTACATAATTTAGGTCATCTCTCTCGTGAGTGCACCGAGCCTACCTCGGCTAGTGGCGGCGGCTACGGCGGAAACCCTACTTATGGCGGACAATCTGGCAGCGCTGAGTGCTACAAGTGCGGCAAAGTAGGACACATTGCCCGCCAGTGCACCAGCGCCGGTGGAATGCCGCAGCAAGGAGGATACGGAGGCTCCGCGCCTGGCAACCGTGCGCAGACTTGCTACTCATGCGGCGGATACGGTATGCCCTTCATTTTCTGTTCTAAATATGACCGATTTCCTTGCTAATGTTCCACTTACTACAGGACATTTGTCTCGTGATTGCACCCAGGGCCAGAAGTGTTACAACTGTGGCATGATCGGCCATCTTTCTCGTGATTGCCCCAGTGAGCAGGACCGTGTTTGCTACAAGTAAGTTACGCCTTGAGATTCCTGGAAACATAATGCATTATTTTGGTACTAATTCTGAAAAATAGGTGCAAGCAACCTGGTCACGTCATGGCCGCCTGCCCTGAGGGCCAAGCCGCGTAATTGCATCCATCAATTATCAACGCCTGATGTTCAAAAAAGTTCAAGCTGCATAGGTGTTTACGGTTGGGTTTGTTTTTAATGAACCGAATTTTTTTTTTCTTTCTTCGAAAAGCTTCTTTTCTTTTTCATGCATTCATTTTTTTTTTCAATCCTTAGGGCTAAGTGGGGTTCCATTGAACAAAACAAAACACGGAGGATCTGTGGAGAGATGATCGTCCATCTAGTACCTCAATCTCATGACACTGGTTACGGAAAAAGAAAAGAAAAAAGAAATGTTGATGATACTCATTGGGTTCTTTCTGGTTAACCTTCGGCTTGGGTCTTTTTTTTTTCTGCTTCTTCCATCTCCTGTACTTTCTTTTCTTTCCCTACTTCTCTCTTGTTCATTTAGCTGGTGTATCTTTAAGTGCCCACGGCTGTCTTGTGGGGAACGGTCGGTCCTTGGGTAGGGAAGCATGGTCACAAAAAGTCTGGTTATGAAGAATGGAAAAAAGTTGATTTAATTTATCGCTCCCCGTACTGTTAAAAATAGCTTTGGCTTCAATCAATACGATAGGGCTCATCATGGAGAAAATGCAAATACAGTACCGTATTTCTCTTGTGTACTGGAATATTTTCTGGTATTAGGCACTATATGCCAATTGTGAGCGATCTTTCAGTTAGCCCTGCCAGAGGACCCACTACTATGGTATCCGAATCAATAGGGTCTTAGAATCAGTTGATAATTGAGCCTTTACTATTTCACCTGAATCGAGTAACGACAGGTAGATCTGGGCTTCCCTCTTTGGGATTCTAGGTAAGACCGGCGGCTAAGCTACCGGTACTCAAGTCCTTCCTCCGTCCTACCTCTCTCAGATCCTTACCAGGTCTTCCGATGGGTCTTGCCCTTCAGGCGTAAACTTATCCTTTGTGAGCTGAGCCATTCTCACGGTCACGCCAATACCGCCCATGTCTCTCGGCCATTGGCGAATAGTAACTTAGAAAACACCTGGTCTACGCTTTTATTTTTGCCTGTCTACCATATGTATGCATGTCTAGGCATGTCTAGACGCCTGTAGATCACCCCTCCTCCTCTAAATATAATTCTAAAATGTGGAACTGATAGGTACATGCATAGAGTACGGTGTCCCATGGGGTATAATGGATAATGGGTTACATAAGGAAAATGAAGCCATGAAATCAATGCCCATCACACGTGACACCACATAGTTTGCCAAGAATATTTGTGGTCCTTCTTATCGATAACGATAAGGGATAAAATCGTTCCTTAGAATAAATAGGACCCTGGTGATAAGAAGTACGGAACGAGAATAGTCTTTCCGACCGTCGCCGGGGAAGGAGGGGAAACATATGCAGTCAAGTTCTAGGCTTTTTAGTTTTTGCAGCAGAATGATATCAGAGATCAAGCTTGTTCAACTCTTCCTTCACCTTCGGGTCGTGCGCTGAAAGGCGTGTGATTCGTGCGTCCTTCTAGCATTAGTAGAGCTCAACTGATGAGGTGCGTTTGGTTGTGGTGGTTGTGGTATGGTTGTGGTGTAGTGGTGGTTAGAGAGGATGTTTCGGATCAATTGAGGTTGGTAATGGGTTGTTAGCTTGGAGTAGAGTAGTCTCCGTCCGCGTGGAGTACTTTAATTTTGGCGAGTTAGTCGACGACCGCGGCCAGGGTCTCGAGTCTTGACTCTTGAGGGCTGAGACCGAAGGACTTGAGGGTAAACACCATGCAGGATCCATCGTCATCATGCATGAGAAGGGACCTTTAACATTCAGGATCTTACGAACCCGTCTCCCGCACTCGGGTCGCGGAGAAGCTACCCCCGTCCATTCGCATCACCCTCCTCTTCTCCGCTTGCTGATTCCATAATAATCAGCTGTCGAAATGCACTTTGGCGGATGAGAGAGATGTTCGCGGATCTCTATTAAAATAACAATTTCCATAATGGGAGATCTGTGTAGGGTGGGTAAGTAGGGTGGGTAAGAGTCGGTAGAGCTGCGGGAATGTAGTTCCGGATGGAGGGTGCACAATGGCGGGGTTGAATAGTGTGATTATTATAGCTTTTGTTTATGATGTATTCACATGCGAAGAGTTCAGATGAAATCCATCGCTAGATAACTTTCTTTTTGTTCCTTTTCTTGAGAGTGCAGAAGATTTCGGTACCAGTTCCAGGTAGACCATCAGCAGTGTTGTGATGTCAATGAGCGTAGAGGAGGTGCATATCTGCTGCACTTTCTTGACATTTTAGACTCGCAACTGCACTACATGTACCTACCGAACCAACCGGGGCATCATCATCTTGATGATTGGGCTGGAGGAAGAGGGGACAGAACAGAAGCTGAAACGGTGCACATGTGCTCAGCTCTTACAAAAGAAGCGAATCTCACGCTCCGTTTGGTCCCAGAAAGCAGGTCGTGTGATGCACCGATCCGTCCACCCGCATATCATGCAAGGGATCCACTGAGCGATAGGAAGCTCGGCGTCCTCATTTAGGATGAGTGATGCAGGGGCTTTCCATTGCAGAAAAGATACGGAGCTAGTTAGGAAAGATGTCCTGTAGGTATCAATGATCTCTATTAACAGTATCTTATCTTTGTCAATTGTGAGCGCAAATCTCTTTCAGGGCGGTGGGATTGAAGTTTGTGAGGAGGATACATGTAAGTACAGTACTGTATGTGACGGGAGCATTGTAAGGCTCAATGTAGCATTGAGTACAAGGTCAAGCACTGAGGCAGGGCTGAAACTGAATTCCCCATCTTTCAGTTCATCTACTAAGATCTTGTGTTTTATTGCGTGCACTGGATACATAATTGTAAATGTTTGGTACCTGCCATACGGTCCACGAGCACCCCTCCACCAGGAACAGGAACGGCCTATGTATCATAGGAGGGAGGACTGCATTCAATGTGTTTGTTTGTTTCTCTGTGGTGGCACGAAATCTGTACCATTTGGCGGTGGCAGTACACACAACCAACCAGCCCGTGCAGCATTCGACGGGGCGAATGAGTAATTGCCCGATCGATCTGAAGATTTCAGTTGAGCCGCGTCATGTCGGTCGGTGGTTGTCGTCCTCTCTTCCCTTCTATCCTATTCCTTTGCGGTTGCAACACCACCACAATCATCACCAAGCAACAGTAATTATTAACCTCTCCTTCCTCCGAGCTCGTCCGGTGTGATTTCTAAGGCCATCCCACTCAATTGATCGAGAATTGAATCTATCTACTTCCCCTCTTTTTTTCCCTTGTGAAAATCGCCCTAAATTCTTGAGCGATGGAGGGTGAGCAGTCTAGCGAAGAATCCAAGGCGGATGATGACGATAAGTCGGAGCATAAGAAGGTCATGCGTGATTCGTATGATGTATAATCAAACGCAAAGTCCGGACGAAAAGTCTTAGCTTTTCTCTGAATGTGAGGTGTCGTATTTTTATGAGAGGTCAACATCTTTTGTTGACCGCGGTCGCCGCGTTTCGAATGGCACTCCCTGTTTCCCATTTACAAGAGGTGAGTGGGCGGACGAACCTTGTGACATGAAATGTTTCCTCGAATATCATGGCCCTTTATTTTATGCCTTGGGGACGTGTGTAGCTACGTTAACGCTACCATAGTTGCAATTGAGCTCTGATTTCGAGGCGGCGGATGTTCGTGTCGGAAGCCTTATCTATACCTACCCCGCTCTCTCTATTCTCAGCGCGTGTTCAGCCTGCCACATAGCCCCTCTCCTGTTTGTTGTTGACTTGAAATCTTACTCCTGTCTGGTAATTGCTGGCTCGCTTCCTGACGTTTCAATTGAGGTTTATTTGCAATTGAGTTTTGTGTATGGGGTGGTAGCCTTGCTGCTGTGACCTGTCTACGTCTATAGCCATTCAGTTCTGCCTTGGTTCTCCCGCTGTAGTGTGTCGCCGTATAAAGACAACAACAAGGTCTGACGAATACATACTGGGACTCACTGATTTGGCATGTGCTTCTTGGAGGGAGGGGATGTGGTAGTAGTAGATGCCAGTAGAGTGGTGGTAAAGTAGCATGTACGTGTAGCATCATACTTTGAGTACCAGAGACAGACCGGGAGAGAGGGGTCTGAATCTTGGGACCCAGTCAGTCCCTTGCTTGAATTGCTCACACCGATACCGGCCCTGCAGGAATATGTAAATCTATTCAAGCAAGATTCCCTGCAAGAAGTAGAAGTCTTCGTGGGGATGCACTCGTTAGTCACCTGTCATAAGCCAGTGAGGTCTCTCCAAGTGACTCTTATTACTCTGTTCGCGTGCGCGACGGCCGCTAAGCCCCAGGCTAGACCAGGTACGGGAATAGAAGCCTCAACTAGGCTGTCATCCTACCAGTCATCCGCCTTAACTCTGTTTCCCCCTCCTCCTCCTCCTCATCTTGATGGTTTTGTCTCTTTAACAGACGGAGCTTTACGGGGATTCACAATGATCTGAGGTGGGGGATGGAAGGATGGACGGGTGATGGAGGGTGATTGGGGAGGGGGGGGGGGGGTTTCCCTCCTCAATTGAACTGACATACACTACTTCGACTACCAACAATAACCCATAACTCCCCTCTTCTACTCTCCCCACCCCTGCTTCTATTATCTCGAACTTTCCTGTTGCCATCTCACGCGCTCTGGTTTGCGCACTTACTAGAGAATAGAGACGGGACCTGCCCTGTACAATGGCTCACCACTCACATCACAGACACACCCCTCTTCTGCTTGCTCGTTCACAGAGAGAGAAGTGACCGGGAATCTAGTTAATTAATACTGTATAGTAGCATCAGAGCTGCTGGCATTGTAATGCTGTGGATGACTGGATGTACTGTAAAGTACATAATAACACGGCTGCTGCCTTCCTTACGTACCTGACAGGCTGGAACCCAGATTATAATTTCGATCATCTTCGGTGCTGTTCGCACATAGTATGTCAAGGAGGTGTGGCGATTCAATTGAATTTGTCCTGTTTCCAAATACAATGTCCAGTCACCGCTCACATATTTTATTATTACCAGATTCCAAAACATTTCTGTGTTGCCCTGTGTACCCTACCAAAAGTAGGTCGAGTACGTCGCGCGGTGACCGAGTTTAACAGCCTTTTTTTTTTAAGTGAATTTCGGTGACCCACTGACTAGCCTGTGCCTGCTGGACCCTTCTACTGCGCAGTCGGATATGAGAGCTGCCCCCAGCGCTTGCACTGTCAGGGAACGTATAGGTAAAAGGTGAGAGGTGTGAGTGAACGAGTGAGTGATTGAATGGGCAAGAAGTGAGTGATCATGGCATTCTATTTCAGGTCACCCCCCACCCGCTCACCTATCTGCCTCCCCCTCCCTTTGTTCGGTGTTCCTTGTGTCCTGCCTCAATCCATACACGCAAGCCATTAAGCACGCACCCTGGCCTTCCCACACTTTCCTTGACTGCCTGACTTTATTATAACGCAGTGCTCCCCCCTTCGCCTTATCCATTCTCTCCTACTTCTCCTTGCTTCACATCAGATACTATCCAACAACTACGACTCAAGTACATCTTATACGCCATAAAGATATTCTGAAGCTGTCGATAAAGCTTCTTCTTCTCTAGAACGTCCTCATTGCTTGATTAAATTTGCAAGTTCCAATTGCTCAAAGCTTCTCACCAATTATATGGTCCCAATTCAAACCAGGATTTGAAAGCTTAATTACGCATCATCACCTAGCATCCAGAGCTACCCATAGCTCACCATATAAGAACGGACTGCAATCCTGCAATCTCATAGCTACATATACAGCTATGGACGCTACCCCTATGAGCTACTCACAGACCCCTTCACTTACAAAAACCGGTGTCCTTGCCTCTCCTCCTGAACTCCTACACAGCTTGGATAGATTCCCTTCACCAACTCCTTCCAATACGAACCGGTGTCTATACACAACCCCAATGTCTGGAGTTCAACACTCCTCTTCAATTGATAAGATGTCTATCGCTGCTGCGACAAACCCAGCCCCCACACCATGCTATCTCCCCCCCCTTCGCCAGCTCGACGACTTGCCTCGCCTTCAATTTCCGTTTCCTCACCTCCCTCGACAGAGATTGCTGATCGGGTCCTATTTTCTCACTCTGAGCCCGCAATATCACTCGAGACTCCTCTATTTGACGTCTCAGAGCAGTTCGAGCCTTTGATCCAGAATGTCATCTCTTCAAAGACTAAGCGAAAGTCGGATTCACGGCCAAAGCCTACTGATGAGGAATATAATGCTTTCGTTTCTTGTGCGTGGAGATTGTGCCAGAGTAACCCGCGAGACTGGCTCAGGCGGGAGAAAGCGAACATGAAGATTATTGATAGGGCGGGTAGTAACAGGATCCAGAAGCCTACTGTATTAGCTGGGTACACTACTAAACGAAACATTGCACCTGCCCGATCGGTTAATAACGGCGCATCATCTGCCCTGAAGCCGCGAACTGCTCAGGGACGTTCTGCAAGAACACCAAGACCTACCCCTAAAGCAATTATAAATGATAGCTTCGCTTATCCAGATGGACGCCTCCCAACCCCCCAGACACCATCTTCGGCGGCAGTACGCGCAAGGGCAGTGGCAACCCGGGAGGACGCGGATTTTGAAGCTATTCCCGACATGTCTCCGCCACTCGAAACTCTACCTGGCTCAAAATGCCTCAAAGCTGATTGGAAAGGCACTGTCCTTGACCTCTCAGATGATCCACATGCAGGGCTTCTTCACCCTGCAGAGCTTCACCTCGCTTCTGTTCTCCGTCTCTCTTGCGCTTCCTATCTTACGTCTAAGCGAAGAATCTTCCAGATGAAGGTTGAGAGGGAAAGGATGGGCTTGAAATTCATGAAGACCGATTCCCAGAAGGCTTGTAAGATCGATGTTAACAAGGCTTCGAAATTGTGGACTGCATACGAGAAAGTTGGTTGGTTTGATAGACGATACATCCAACAATACTTGTGAGGTTGGCGCCGGGCGCATCGGACGGAATCGACGCGGTAGCTGAATTTGGCGATATTGTACCTTTCATTATGATCTGACGACAATGGTTTGCTTTTTTCCTTTTCCTTTTTTCTTTCTATTTATCTGATATCCTACTTTCGTTTTTCATGGGATTTGGCGATATTTTCTTTGCGTTTGTTCATACATTACACGGACTGGTTTTGGGCGGGGTTTTTTGTGTTCATTATGGTGTCTTGTTATATTCCCTTGCTCATTGGTTTTCTGGGACTGGTCGGGCCTGTACTTTCTTGGTTTTTTTCTTATTTCCTGGCTCATTGGGCGGTTGGTTCTATACCTCATTTTGTTTCCTCTCTTTGTCACGGACTGGGCTTTGGTTGGTTTGGGGCGGTTTTTCGGAGTCCTGTATTTTTCTCCTTTTTTATTTTCTCTTTGGTATAACTTTTGTCTACATAGGTTTTTCATTTCTCCTACTTTCTATTCATCACTCACATGGCATTGTGTGACATCTTCTTTGTCAATCTCATTTCTTTTTAGTTCATCTGCATGGCCATGCGCAGGAAGATAGCGTATTGTGTCCAGTCCGGCGTTTTTTTTGTGTGTATCATCAACCCAAGGGGCCTGGGAGCTTTGTGATTTTTTATTTTTTCTTTTCTTATTTCCTTTATTTCTTCGTTCTTTGAGAACATCCCTTATGTATTCAGCACATATAGGCCTACGTTTTACAATCGGGCAATTTTTTTATCTTATCTCTGGAGAATTGAAGTATCTCCGTGTTGACTTTGCTCTGCCCTAAACGTGAAATTGAATCGAATTGATAAACCAAGTTCCGGCTCATTATTAACCCGAATGTTTTACTATCCACTATTCAATCATGCCATCGATTGATGATTTTCTTTTTACCTCTTTCTTTCTTCCTTTCTTTGTCGTTATCTCCGTCCCACATATCTGCACTGTTTTCAGTGGTTGCGTGATCACGAGAATGTCCAGGAACAAGCTTAAGGAGTCAAGAAAGAGAGGGGGGTGTTCAGGGATCAATTGGAAGGTGGCACATCCGGTGGTTTGAGCCATGCCGTCATTGCACGTTTCGTATCGTATCGTTGTTCGGATCATTGGCGACCATCAATCCCTCACTCACTCCCTCAACCCAGCAGGCGCGGAGGGCATTTTTGAGTACACCGTTGGCGCCCCTTTGCATGGCACTTTTTTCTTTTTAACCCATATGCTCAGGGGCGAATTGATTGAATTGAGGGGGGGGGGGGGTTATTGTTGAGGAGGAGGAGGGAGGGAGGGTGGGCAAGCAAGATCATAGGTGCCTGGGAGGGATTATGCATTTAAAGTGTCATGGTAAAATTACAGGATTTCCGTGGATCATGGAAGAAATGGAAGTGAAGTGTAGAAGGGATTCTTCTGAAGAGTCAATTGCTTACGAATTGCCGTTGGAAAAGACCCAATTGCACCACTGTGGCGATATAGCAAAGCACAATTGAATGCATGCATGAAAGAGGAGTTGAAAAGGGAGTAAAATAGTAGCAATTGGGGAGAGGGGGAAGGGAATGGAGGGCAAGTAAGCTTGAACTGCAAAGGTTAGATACCGATTGTCGCTTGATTTAAAGGTTAGATACGGGTATTAGGAGGATAGATAGCTTCCGAGGCGGGAAACTAGACTTGCTGGGTTGTGCTTGTACCTGTGAAACTCCCCGCAAAGCCTTGCTCCCAGAGGGCAGAACGAGGGTTTCAGCTGACGCATATTGGGAAAGGAATGATACACAACAGTGATTAGGGTCAATTAAGTCACAGCAATTTCGATTGCTGGGGTTCACTGACTGAGGCTCGAATTAATTATGATTCTCTTACGGCCGACCGGCGCCGGCGATGCGGTGCGGTGGGGTGGGAGGAGTGCTTCGGACACCGAGTCGGTCAATCGATCCAGTTAATCATCCGGGAATAACCAAATTAGGAATTGAGGGAGAGGGGGGGGGGGGGGGTGTGAATAGGAGGGTGAGAGTAATTATAATTATTGAGGGCTAATTGAGCACTCTCGCTTCCTTACTCAATTCCTGCTTACGATATCATCTATGGGATATGTGCTTGGGGATTGCGGCACAGGGAAAGCTCTACTTACTAGTACTGTACATACTTACCTCTTGATCGCTAATTGAGCTTCGGTGAGGAATGTGCAAGAGGGTAGGTAGGTAGGGAGTACATGTACTTTCTTGTACTTGACTCGTAGAGTTAATGAAGCAAGGAAGTTAGGAATCTTGGGAGCATACATCTAGCAGTCAATGCCGTGATGCAGTTGCTCAGTTACAAGCTAGTATCTAGCAGCTAAACTGCATTCAGAGCTACTGGGCTGAGCTCAGGTCGGGGGCAGCTGGATTGGACGGATGTGTGTGGTCCATGGGGGGGGATGATGCATTTGATGGATGGACGATATGTAGATGGAATGGATGGATGATGATGGATGGCACCGCTGACGGTTGCCTTGCCGTACTTACTGCTGCTTGCTTGCTGCAGGTCATGTTCTCCTGCTCCATGCAGCCTGCACGCCTGTTGGTGTTCGGCGGTAGTCGCGCCGCTAACACATGTATTTTTGCAGTGCGAGAGAAGGATTCACGATGTTGGGGGTGGGGAGGGCTGGTTGGGAATGAACTTGGTAGGACGATATGCATAGAAGGCCTTCTAGAGGATTTCTATTTTCAGCCGCGAAAGGCGTTCTTGTCCAGGAATGGTGTGGATGGATGTGGAGATCGACAGGACCAGACACCGGACACTAGGCATGTAGGTGAGGGAGGGAAAAGGGAAGGGAAGGGAACAGGAAGTGGAAAGGGGGGAGACGGTGGAATTATCGGATCAGCGAAGCGTCGGCTTTCGGGAAAAGAAACTCGTCCTGCTTTCTAAGCCTGAAACGACGCAGGGTCTCTTTTCCCTCGAGGAATGCCAAGCAGTCAGCCAATCGTTTTGACGCGGACAGCGAGCAAGTCCTGAGTGATGATGATGTTTCCAGTCAAGTAGACATGAGTACATGTATGGGCGCCTATGGTCCGAACACCGCGGGGGGAAAAGGAAAGGAAAGCAGAGGAAAGCAGAGGAATCTAATCTACTGGCTCAGGGAAAGCGCCCTAATGGTGAATTGAGCATCAATCAATTGCAATTGCACAAACACACCCCCATTGCCGTGCCCTGGAGAATGGGAATCTGGCCAGCTACACCAGCACTAGCATCGACAACTCTCCACCCCAATCCCCTTCGCATTCAAACTACTTATACATATCCCCCCCTCCCATTGTGTTGTTCATGTTCCTGAGCTGCTGTCCGCCCATGAGATGCTGCCATTGCCAGATAGCGCTGCTGCTGTGCTGTGGTGTAGGCCACGACGTGGTGATGGTGGATGGTGGTGGGGTAGCTACGTAGATGTGTGTGTGTTCTGTACCTACATACAGGCAGACAGGCATACATACAATCAAATACAGCCTCTACCACTCACATGTCCTACAGTTCAGATCATTACCAGCATCATCACTCGAAATCCATCACTGCCACCACCCGTTGACTCGTGTCGTCTGCCTTCGTGAAAAACCCTCTGAACCGCTTTCCCAGACTTCACACTTAAGCTTATCCGTATACTCTCCTTCATTCGTGTTTCCCGTCGGGAATTCCAACTCGCTTAGCTACAGATAGAGAAACACATGGCAATGGAGCCCTCCCCAGACCTGATCCCAACTCTCCATAGGGTACTCGAGGAGCTGTATGAAAATCCCCCACCGTCCATCCCATCACCCGCTGCCACTCCCAAGCGCGCGTCTGTTGCACTCGTCATACGGGTAAGTACGATCAGAGATACAATGTGAATCATTGTTACATACTTGTGCTTGTGCCTTAATCAGCCCCTCCCGAGGCCCGTTGTGTTGGTGCAATTGTCCAATCGCTAAATTACACAATCCCCATTCCCCTAGATCCAACCGCATCCTTCATACCGCCCCAAAGACAACAACAATGCCAGTGTGTCCACTCTGGCGGAATTCTTTGACCTTCCCTGGGTACAGCATGGTGATCCCGAGTGCCTGTTTATCAAACGGGCTGCTAGGAAGGGGGATCGCTGGACGAGCCATGTGGCATTGCCAGGCGGAAAGAGGGACGCAGAGGATAAGGGCGATTACGAGGTAGCTGTGAGGGAGTGCTTGGAGGAGGTTGGGTTGGATCTCGATGGAGAAATGGCAATTGATTGTGGTAAATTGCCGGATAGGATGTAAGTGTCATTTGAGGGGTCAATTGAATCTTGATGACTGACCTTTGGATCGGGGAGATAGAGTGACGACTTCGTGGGGTACAGTGCCGTAAGTGCCGTTTTACGATTGAGTTTGTTACACACTGCGCATATAACTGAGTGTTAATTTGTGACAACAGGCTCATGGTTCTATGTCCTTTTGTATTCGTCCATATGTCTCCCACACCCCCACCCCTTCACTTACAACCTACCGAAGTAGCTTCAGCACACTGGGTTCCTCTACGTACTCTTCTCTCACCAGATTTCCGTACGGTCCACAGGTGCGACGTATCCGACCGCCTTGCGCGACAAACAACAGGACTCTTGGGCCGTTTTGTACGCTGGGGTCTCAGGATCAATCTAGGGCAGATGGAGTTTTCAGCTGTTAGACTTTGGCCAAGTCATTCGGTTTACTCCTCTTTCGGCGGTGACTTTATCACCGACTCCGGAGCTGCTAGCGGGAGCTGGGATAGACCCATGTTGCTTTGGGGACTCACCTTGGGAGTTGTGACAGACTTCCTTGAGATGTTACCTCACGGGGAGCCAGCTACTGGGTGGAATTATCCTACATTTACGAGTCCGGATGTAAAGGCTGTTGTATGGCTCATGACTAAAAGCCTCAGGCAAAGGAATTGGTTAAAGATGCAGCAAGGAAGCATGGCGAGGGCTTTAGAAGAGAAAAGAAGATTGGAGGATATCGATGCAGATGGGGACACGAAAAGCAGCATGGTTCTTGTTCAAGGAAGGAACGAGAATCGCCAGATTGAGCCTAGGACTAGTGTTGTTGGGACCTTATTGGAAGGGTATTACGATATCGTTCAGGATGCTGTTTGGATCACACTCTTTGGAAGGACATTGATTATTGGAACGGCTTTAGGGGCCGCCTGGTGGAAGCATAGGAGGTAAGAATGCTATTGGTTTACAACTGATTAATACAGGCAGTTTCCTTGTGTTATGAGGCCATAGATGGAGGTAGTCATCATAGACTGGAGCCTAGAGTTTGCATAACATGTGCGTCATAGATTTTCATTCATTATACCCATTTGTACATGTATCTACATTATAAAATAATAGTGGAATTCTATCCATTTCTTCCTACTGGTACATACAAGTACCTCTCTGACTACTAATCTGAAGGATCTTAGCTGTCACTATTCAATGGTTTCTAGCCGAGATGATTGTGATCAAAGAAAATACCCTATACTATCGTAGCAAACAGACGGCCGGCCACACAGGACGTCGGAGTTACCTTTTTCAAGTATGAGGGGAGATTAAAGGCGTATTAAAGACAGATAGCCGAACAGGGAATTTCAACGTCTCGTGCGACCGGCCGTATTACCGCGGTAGTAAATGTTTTCGCGGATTGCAGCATATACGTATTTATGTGAGAATATACTATATTCATAAAATGAGATTAGTAATACTCATGAAATATCACTCGATACATTGATCGGCAACGGGACACATATAACTCATTACCACTACAATGGTAATTGTAACTACTTACACCTGATATTGATATTTCCTAAGAAGATAAATACTCAGCGGGAATGTGCATCGAGTATGAATGTAGAGTGCATACAAAAAGCCGAGATGAACTGTTGTACGATGCACGGAAAAGAACCGATTGGGCTCGGTCACGATATCTTCGGGGTCTATATGGTGTTTTTATACAGTATTGTTTTCAATAGATAGTTCTTAAGACGTCGCCTTATGATAATCGGGGATTGCCAATTCCCGTTTGATGTGTAAAAATAGACCATCGGTTTATTCGGCAGCCCTCGTATGACGATTTGTATATAGACAAGACGTTTTCAGGAGTTACAAAGACCCTCCTGTGTAGAGATTATCAGCTTTGAGATAGCATTGATTTTGAAATTCGTCTCAGATAGTTAAAGACGCTGGCAGTTGCTAATTAAAAGCTCAATTCTGATTTTCGCATCCGATAGTAGTTATTGTGTGGGGTTTCATCTGAGACTTGTAAGCTGATCTTCCGATGTTCGACAAAGTATTAATAACTGATATATGTTTAGTGTATTCTATTGGAGTAAGACTTTCTTACTAGATGGAGTACTCCACTGGTGCAGGGGGTGAGCAGATTCTTAGTCAAGATGGAGTTGGGGGTGAGCCTATTAAAGCTAGAAACCGTGATACTGGCGCATCTAGGTTACTTTTATTGATAGTAAACGTGCAGGTAAAGAAGTCCCGGGCGTCCTGAGACACAATGCGCAGTATATCGACATCACCGAACTGGAGCAACCCATAGGTCTTAGGGAAATGACCAGAGTTATAGAGCAATTGGAGGCCGATGCGGAGAATTTTCTTGACGAAATCTCCATCATTTCTAGCTCTGATATCGCGTTGAGCAGTATTAGTAGAGATGCACCCAAGATGGATCCAGTGTACTTAGGGATCTCAGTGGATCCTACTGGGAAGACCACAGAGGAGCAACTGAGGGAGTACAACGAGTACTCGGTCGCTGCTGGGTTCCCAGATCTATCCCACTTGCATCAACCCCTGTCATATTTCGAAGAGCAGCAAAAACGTCTGGCGTGGGAACAACTTCAGCAAAAGGAACCCGGTGCTAAGAAGCTAGATGAGGATAAACATGCGAAATTTCTTGTACCAACGGGCGCGGCGGGATACAAAAGTTCTGAAAGCATTTGCTTGGAAGATTCGACGATATATCATACCGCTGAGGACTCCCATTCAGACTTGTCAACGAGTTCAACAGACTATCACACTGCTATTTCCGACCAGGAGAACGAATTGCCCCGTTTTATTTCTCCTACCATCATAGACCGGCTTGCATCACAGATATTAGAGACACAGGAGGATGGTGCTACATACACTTGTGATAAAGGAGTCAAAGCAGCTCAATCGAGGGGCCGTTTGATATTGCCAGTTGGGGCAGCAGCAAACGATTCCCCCAGGTCTGATAGCAGTGTATCTACTGTAGATGGGTTTCTGGATGTTCCTTTCTAGTGCGAGAATTTCGTCTTTGTTCTAAAATTGCGAAACTTGTCGAAATCCCAATCATATCTTGTTTTTTTTTCCTTGGCCGAACTCGCTTGGGTGGCCTATATGAGTTACTTCTAAGTTATTTTTATATCCTTCTACGATACTGTGTATCTATTGTTTTTGATCAGAATGGAGTTTTGTTTTAAATTGAATTGGAGAATTTATCTGGCTGAATTATTTTGACATTTCAGTAAAGAAGGTCCGTTTTGTTATTATTGTAATCCCGATAGATTTGAAATAAGTAGCTGGTATTCTTCTGATGAAAAGTACGTCTATAGAAAGTTAAATTCTAAAAACACACAGTTTTGAACGTTCGAACCTATCTCTTTTACCCCCCATATTTTGTATATAGACGTTTCATAGTACTAATAGCGCCTGATTTGTATCCGCTCCCGAATAGTGCATGATGATTCAATTGGTGATAACTACTATATAGTTAGATCACAAAATACCTGTTAGGGCAGGTAGAAGGGTATCATACAGCTGGTAAAGCTCGGCACGATCGTCATACTCTTTGACAGGCTCGGCTTTTGGGATATGTTCATGGTATTCGTTGAAGAATTTTGGCCCAAAACCACCAAACATCTTCATAATCCCAAACTCATACTCGTTATGTGCATAGCAAGCCTAGATCTACTTCAGTCACAGTTCTCGCCCATGAAAAGGGCCAAACTGACCGAAGGGTCAAAGACGACATCCTCTGGGTCTCCGTTTTCCCCATTCTCTCCAAAGCACCCCTTGGACGCATTTCCGCTCCATAGGTCCCCATGAACAAGAGCCGGCTTCACATTCTCAAGCACCCCTAACAGTCTTGGCACTACAGTGTCCACCGTCTTCTCTACCCACTCCCTCAACACCTTGTCGGTTCCGTTTTTCGCCTCGCTTTCAGCGAGAATATGCATCAATCTTCGTTTACCAAAGAACTCGGCCCAGTCATCTTCCCATGTATTATCCTGAACCGTGGAACCACAGCACGTCGGCACAGGAAAACCGAATTTATTATTATATTTTTCCGCCTGCGGCGCGAGGTGCAGCTTTGCCATTTTATGTGCTAAAGTCTCACCAGATGACGATGAGTGTCTGTAAAGGTTGATAAAATCAGTCACGAGATAGTAGCCAGGCTTAGACTCGAAGGCTCCGTGTGAGAAGGCTTTGGGGCATAGTGATGGTACTGCATTGTGGATTGTGTTTAAAGACTCGAATTCACCTGTTTCGTTTAGCCTTTCGTCTCAAGAAGGAGTGAATATTGTTTACCTTGAAACATTGTTTCTGCGTCCTTGCCATCCCCGGTCTTCATAAAAAAGCATTTCTTCTTCCCTTCCGCAAGAACCGTGGAGATCTTGAGTGTGGATGCGAATCCGCTACCGCCGAATGGCGCAATAGTAGTGGTATCGGATTGGAGAGCAAGGGCACTCAGAACTTTAGGATCTAATTTCGTCATCTCGAACAGTATCAATGATATGTATGTCCTATGGCTGTAGCTGTAGCTGTCGCGGGGAGCTTGGTGGGGTTCGTATCGCGATATCGACCATATGCATGATGTCACACCTTGCAGGGTATTAATAAAGGCCGGACAGCATATACGTTTCTATGAATAAACCAACTATCAAGCAGTTAGTGAGCAGGCTTTTATATAGATATTACTAAACATATACTTATAATCTTGTGTCTATATCTCGATAGGTAGATTTCAATTGCTGGAGATGATAGATACGTCTACCCTAAAAATTACATGTAGTACTAGTACGTAGGTAGGTGCAGCTATGATTCCATTTGAAACAACAAAGTCCTGAAGCACTTCCACTAATTTCTGCCATCTTACTCTAGCCATTCTTGACAATCTATATTTTAAACATCCGATTCATACGCAAGCCATTTAAATCATGTCCCTCAAATCCTTGTGGAACCGTTCAGCCGCATATCATTTCCCCACCTTCTGAGCAGTAATAATAGTGATAACTAAGTAATGATCTATTTGGGATAAATAAATATTCAGGGTACAAATTGATAAGATAAGATTGCGGCTGAGGATATGCTTAATGTGACAGAAATGAAACTGGATCTGTTTGTGCAGAGGGAAAAACTGTACCTACACCCGCTTACGCTGCTTTTTCTCCTTCTAGTAGTGAAGCTCCAGTTTATGATATCTAGCATGCCCTGATCTGACAACTAGCGTACTGCACCCCTGCCGATTTCCCAGCATCCAAACAAACTACATCCTAAAACACCCCAAGCATAAACGTCAACGCTGTCGCCCCGGTTCCTGCCTTCGGTTCTTCCCGTTATGCGACTCTCTTGGCTCTTATTACTACCCCCCCCCCTTTCCCCGCCTTATTTAACCGTCCACCTCCACGATTTTGATCATTCACTCGCCCGTCGGATAGGCGTCCGAGGCAAATCAAGGCGCAAATTAGATCGGATACAGTCGAAGTCTTTCCCCAGGTCATCTGGCCTATCGCAACTGCGGGGTGTGAGGATAGATGAGTGATGGATCATGATTCTCCTCAAATGATTACTCTCTTGCGCGTTGCAAAGACGCGCATAAAGCACATTTTACGTACTGGTCCATTTTGCAAGATAACAGAGGACCCTCATGGGATTGGACGCCTGAAAAAAAGAAAGGGGAGGAGCAAAAAAGAAAAAAAGCTACGTGTTTCACTGTGAAAAAACAAAAGAGTCAACAAGGCACCGGAAAAGCTTCTGCCTCGGAAAAATTTTGGAGCTCCTTTGTAACAACTACTTGTACTCTTACTCCAACTGAGCTAGGTATATCGTCTTTCGAGCATGTACATATATTTTTGGTCATCAATCGTTATTCCCGCTTATCTATCCCGTCTGTGCCTGTACCTTTCCGAAGTATTCCCCATTTTTAAGTCACAGCTGCCCCCCGCAAACAGATTCCAGCCTGCCCAGTATTAACTCTCTGGGCAATAACATCAAAACAATTCGCATAAAACAAGAAACAATGTAGACTAAAAGACTCCTATTGAACAAAATAGAGCGGCTGTAAGAAGCATAGCTCCTGCTACTCCATCTAGACCACAGTCAACTTCCCGCCGGTCCAGCTACACCTGCAACCGCAGAAGATCCTGAGGACCCCGGAGTATCACCCAGGGCCTCTTCCGCGCCCTCAATTATATATTTTGATTGTAATCTTCCAATCAGGCTCCTATAATACTCCTCCAGAACTTCACCCTTTGGTACAATCCTCCACCCAACCCTAACAAGAAACTCCAGCTCCAGTAGATTTAGCTCCATCAAACTAACACCACCAACTTTGGCATAGAACCCATTTGTGAGGAAGGAGTCACAAAGACCCTTAGACGCGACAGTTGCAGCCGTGATTAGGAAACGGTGCACAGTCAGCGAGGAGACAACGAATGGCGAGTAATGAGTAGACAGTATGTCAATATAGTAAACCATCGATAAGAGGATCGATGGTTGTAGAGACGCATGCAGTGCTAATCTCGATAAGTAGTCTGGGATTGATATTGTAGGCGGCGCTCTATAATTGCGCGCATGGTCAAGTCAGCGCTGAAAAATCGATCAAGCAAGTGAGTAATTTGTAAAAATGGGTTAGTACCGCGAGTGGAAACGGGTCAAGCCTGCCCCCGATAGTGGTATCTTATCATTCAAGCCCACCAGCTCAAGCAACATGTCACTGATCAGGTACACAAGATCATTTGTAGGACAGTGTTGATACAGCTGAGGAAGGGCTTTGATTGAAGGATCCATGTGTCTGGCTCGCTTGGGAGGAGATAGGGTTCCAGTATCATCGCGAGAAGGAGGAGCAATAGGGGTAGTAGGAGCGATTGGGGGAGTTGAGCATTTACTCGGGGGTGTGGAGGTAGATAGATTAGAGGCTCTAGGAGCTACTATGGGTGAAGAAGGCTTTGACGAAGTTATTTTTGGAGAGTGGGGGCGCGATGAACGTCTAGAGTGTTTCATCAGAGGAGAGGCTCTCGGAGTTTCAGAAAGAGGTCGGCCACCATTGGGGGTTGGTGGGGCTGACATGTGTGATGCGCCGCCGCTCGAGGTAGAAGAGCGGGCGAGGAGAGAAGGCGATTGGGTGTACTGCGGGTAAGAAGATGACTTAAAATCATCCGGGGATAGAGCCTTGACTGAAGAGGAAGCAGACCGGGGTATAATTTCGGATGACGTAGTGGTTGATGAGGATGATGAGGACGTACTAATGCAGGGCAGAGGTGGGTTCATAGCGGGCGATAGCTGGTTATTGCTATGGGAAGGTTTCAGTCGTAGTGGCGGTGATGGTTGGATGGAGGGGGTTAGAGGAAAGTTTGCGGCGGGGAATGGGGGATTTGGATTAGAGGTTGGTGCAGTAGCCGCAGGTAGAATGGGTAGGTTCCTTTTCCTTTTTAAAAAAGCAAATATAGCAAGCTGAAAGCTTGAAAAGCCTGTTAAAACTCCCCGAATCGCTGTAATAGCGAATGGAGGTAATCGATGGGGGCTCTTTCTTGAGTAGGCGATCAACTTCGACCAATGATAGAGAGATCAAGTCGGGTGAGGAATAATGTATGTGGGTTACCGTCGATACTAGATTCTAGGCTACGTGCCTGTAGGTACGTCTCGAACCACGAGAACGAGAGGACGATCGGGAACAGTATCCAGAACAGTATCCAGAACAGCAGAAGGAGGCTCTGGCGGAACGGGTGCGTTTATAAGCGCACAGCGTAAAAGCAAATACAAAAGGCTCTATAGCAAAACAAATTCCCACGCAGCAGTAGCAGCAGCAGTAGTAGAAGCAGTAGTAGTAGTAGTAGCAGCAAGTAGTAGTAGCAAGTAGTAGTAAATGTAGTATGCACGTATAGGAATGAATGATTGAGGGAATTGTTGGCACGTCGACACGAGTGGAGGGAGAAACCAGCTGTTGGTAGACACAAGTAGAGCAAGTGTATGTACAGAGGGAAACAGGCACCTTATGTACGTACTTATTGCTGCGGACGTCAGTCCGGGGGTCCAACCAACACCAGGGGAAGGGGAGTGGGAAAAAAAAGGAACCGCGGAGAGAAAAAAGAAAATAACAAGAGAGAAAAAAAAGCCCTTTCACGAACCCGGCGGAAGAGTACAGCACCACGACAACTCTCAAAGACGAACTATCTCAACGAATCCAAGCCAATGTAACACTTGAATCCCGTCCTAGCGGTCAGTGGGACAAGCGGCTCAGCACATGCACTCGTGTTGGGGGCAAATAGGTATTGCCAGGACACTCTGCACTGCTGATTTCAATCGATTGACAAAGCACACCTTCCGAGTGATAGGACACCACGAGTATATCCTCTTGTCACGATTGGACCCTCTATAGTTTCTTGGGGTGTTGGCGGCGAGTCAAAGATCCATTTATCGACTAGCCACCCTGTCTTCCTGTCTGCCTCGCATGCTGTTGTTGATCGGACGAAACCTCCGAGTGCTACTACTAGCATAAAAATGAGGGGTGCTAAGCTGAGAGAAAGAGGGGTACACAGATTGCGCACGGACTGCGAAGATCCGGTACCTGGGGAGCGGCGGCGGGCAGGGCACAGCCGGCGGCCTTTGCGTTACCGTCGATGTGTGGGTGTTGCTCTGAACACTGAGTGCGTTAGGCAACTGCTCACGCAACACAAGGTTACATAACACTTCCGACCGAAAGCTTGCTTCCACCTCTCTCCACATCGCCGAAAATTCTTAATTTCCGATCATATCCCCCCTCCAAAAAAGAGAGAGAGAGGTAAGTAATAACTTCATACAGTGCCCCCAGCCAACCCCTCCCCCCACATACACCTATCTTAATCGCTACATCAATCGATTCATCAATTATTTAACCCTTCCAACAATCTCTCGCCACGGATCCTTCTCCAATAACTTTCTTTTCTCATTTATTTTAAAGTCTTGTTGATCGCACCACCCGGCACCTCGCACGACAGCTACATACGACAACGACTACCTCTGCTGCTTCGCTCCATAACTCACCGCCGTACCCCCCCTCCAACACCCCTCCAACACCCCATCAACCATCCACATCATCATCATGACTCACTCGGAAGAGGAATCTACGGCTCTCGCCCTCCTCTCGCAGCTCTCGAATCTGTCGCTCTCACAGCCTCAATCTGTAGTTACTACTCTGAAACGACTTAAGCATGAACTCATCGGCCACGACCAGAAGAAGGAACTATTTGTGCGTTTGGGAATTGTTCCCCCGCTTGTGAAGATTCTGGAAGGTGGTACTAGAACAACGGATGAAGCTTGGGGTGATGCGAGGGTTGAAGCTGGGATTGCTATAGGAAGTTTGGCGTATGGTAGGAATTCCTTTTCAATATCAAGCCTTCTTCAATCTCACTGGACTGTACCTTTCGTTGCCACGTGAATTGCTCCGTGTCCTCTCCTTTTATGTGGTCCATCGCTGAGCTTCGTGAACAACCTACAGGCGGCGAAGCACACATTTCCCATTTGCTTTTCTCGCAGGCCCTTGCTCCTCTGATAGCTTCGCTCAATCCGTCCTACAATCCCCCCAAGCTCGTTCATTGCTCCCTTCGAACCTTGAACACTATTCTCGACACAGCGTCCTCATCAGAAGGCCCATCCTATGCAATTGCCACAGCGCTATACACTCCCGAAGTGTTGAGGAATATTTGCAAAATCATCTCCCAGACATCCCCATCTTCTGCTGTGCAGCAGCAAATTTGTCTTGCTTCATCGTTAATTGCAAAGTCATGTGGCCGGTACGATCCTGCGAGGATCATTGATAGTGGTGGGAACAGTTTATCTCAGGAAGGGACCCATGAAAAATTACTCGTTGAAACAGGAGTGCTGGATGCTTTGAGTGCAAGACTGGGATCCTTTGTTGTTTCATGGAAGGCTACTCAAAAACCGTCGAAGGGTCGCGGGGAGCCTGACATGCCGTCTCCAGCTCCACAAGGCGCAAAACTAGCCCCAATACTTGATGCTATCTCGGTCATAATAAAAAATTCGAAACTTCGCTCTTTGGAGTTTCTATTTTCACCAGCTTTAACGGCAATTTTCCCGCCATCTACGCTAACCTCCAACGCAGCGGAAGCTAAATCCTCCATGTCAAATAAGCATAGTGATTCTTTGCCCGGATCAACAACATCTATAAAGCTTCCTCAACAGAAGTCTTCTTCAAGCTCAATAATTCAGCCACCACAACTACTCATCACACCTTCTGCATTCCCCCCACTTACTCCATCTTCTGCTCATTTTCCACCCCTTTCTGCTGCCAGCCAAGGATCTGCGGATTATTCATCACTCCATCACTACAGCACGCAGCACTATCATCATCATCTCAACCATTCTATCGGAGTTGCAGAGGCTCAGTCTATGCTTCTTGGATCCGGGGGTGGGACTGACGATTCAGAATCCTCAACGGGAGGCGATACTCCTCTTCGTCATCGTGCGGAAACCACCGATGCAGAAGACCCAATTCTTCGAGCATCAAATCTTGAATCTATTTCCGGTGGCTCAGAAGCGGATATAGAGATTGAGGAATCGCCGGTAATTCTCTGGCTGATTTCTCAGGTTCGTTCAGGGGATTCTTTCACAAGATTGATGGCCACTGCTGTTTTGACAAACCTTTTCAAAGTGTCCCTTATCAGCAAGAAGATGACGCATATATTGGTGTTATTGGTATTGCCAGTTTTGGTAAGGCTTCTTAACGAAGAGGATATGCTTGTAAAGGTGGGTGTCGGTGTTGGCGGGGTGGACGCCGAAACTCGACAAAAGTGGGTCATCCAGGAAAGGGCGCCGGCTATTCTTTCAAGACTAGTCATGGATAGTCCGGAGATGCAGAAGGCTGCAGTTGATGCCTTGGCTATCAAGAAATTGGCTCTGATGCTACGGAAAGCGACAGAGTCCCCATCTTCCTCAATTAATGGCGTCACAAATGAAGACTCTATTGAGTCCGAAGAGACAGAGAAACACAGACGGAATAGGCCAGAGATCTCCCATCGCATGAAAGTTAAGGAGGGTGCAATGAGGTGTTTAGCAAGTCTGGCACTTTTCAAGGACGACTACCGCAAAACAATCATTGAGGCAGGGGTAATCCCTATGGTAGTCTCTTCCATGAAGCCTTTGGAGCCTATTCCTGGTGCCCCTGCTTCTCAAGAAAACAATACAGGGGAGGGCAACCCACCTGCTGTTCTTATTGCCGCTTGTGGTGTCGTACAGTCTCTCTCTCGATCAGTCTCAATTCTCCGTACTTCTTTAATTGATGCCGGAGTCGCGATGCCCCTATTTACGCTTTTGCGCCACGAGGATATCGAGGTCCGCGTCGCATCTACTGCCGCTGTTTGTAACCTGTTGCTAGACTTTTCACCGATGAGGCAGCCAATAGTTGATGCTGGCGTCATGGATATACTATGCACACACGCTAAGAGTGATAACGCATCGCTGAGACTAAACGCGCTTTGGGCTTTGAAGCATCTGATCCTTGATGCCGAGAGTGGAGTAAAAAGGAAATGTTTTGAAGGACTGGGGATTGAGTGGTTCATTAAGGTTATCAGCACTGATGGTGTTGGTGATCAATCAGTCGAGGACGAAGATATGGCTGAGGTCGAAGAGGGTGAAGCCGATGTGGGCGCGATGGAAGATAGTATCGGTGATCTGAGGAAACTGGCCCATAGGAGATCAGACGAAGAATTTTACGACGCTCCGGAAGAAAAAGTGAGGTCTAAAGCTCGGAAGCTCCCGCCAAAAGCTTCCTTGGTTATGGCACAGCTTGAACGGAGGGAGCCGGAGGAAATCACCATGAGAAGAAAGCAGAGCATCGCAATGCAGGAACAAGGCTTGGACTTTATCAGAAACTTCATTTGCAACAAGGACCGCACTCAGATGATTGATCTTTTGTTTGAGCGTATGGGCGAGAATCGTCTTTTTGAGATGTTGGAGGATAAGCTTAGGCCACGGAACATAAAGCTTCGGAACGGGAGCGGATCCACCCTTGCCCTACCACCAGGGGAAGTTGTAAGCTCTATTGTATACATCCTTGTTCACATCGCTGCTGGGGCGTCGAGCCACCGACAAATCTTGGCCGAAAGAACTGAGCTATTAAAGCTTCTCTCCAGCCTGTGGAACCATCGTCTTCCGAATGTTAGGACTGGCCTTGCTTGGATTGTTATCAATCTGACCTGGGTCGACAAGGCAGATAGCCCCGAGGAGGAGGAGGTTAGAGGCCGTATTCAGCAGTTGGTGAGGCTTGGATTCGA